CCACACTAGCTGTGTGCTGCAGCACAAGCACTGCCTGTGTGCCACACTATCTGTGTGCTGCAGCACAAGCACTGCCTGTGTGCCACACTATCTGTGTGCTGCAGCACAAGCACTGCCTGTGTGCCACACTAGCTGTGTGCTGCAGCACAAGCACTGCCTGTGTGCCACACTATCTGTGTGCTGCAGCACAAGCACTGCCTGTGTGCCACACTATCTGTGTGCTGCAGCACAAGCACTGCCTGTGTGCCACACTATCTGTGTGCTGCAGCACAAGCACTGCCTGTGTGCCACACTATCTGTGTGCTGCAGCACAAGCACTGCCTGTGTGCCACACTATCTGTGTGCTGCAGCACAAGCACTGCCTGTGTGCCACACTATCTGTGTGCTGCAGCACAAGCACTGCCTGTGTGCCACACTATCTGTGTGCTGCAGCACAAGCACTGCCTGTGTGCCACACTAGCTGTGTGCTGCAGCACAAGCACTGCCTGTGTGCCACACTATCTGTGTGCTGCAGCACAAGCACTGCCTGTGTGCCACACTAGCTGTGTGCTGCAGCACAAGCACTGCTTGTGTGCCACACTAGCTGTGTGCTGCAGCACAAGCACTGCTTGTGTGCCACACTAGCTGTGTGCTGCAGCACAAGCACTGCCTGTGTGCCACACTAGCTGTGTGCTGCAGCACAAGCACTGCCTGTGTGCCACACTAGCTGTGTGCTGCAGCACAAGCACTGCCTGTGTGCCACACTATCTGTGTGCTGCAGCACAAGCACTGCCTGTGTGCCACACTATCTGTGTGCTGCAGCACAAGCACTGCCTGTGTGCCACAATATCTGTGTGCTGCAGCACAAGCACTGCCTGTGTGCCACACTATCTGTGTGCTGCAGCACAAGCACTGCCTGTGTGCCACACTAGCTGTGTGCTGCAGCACAAGCACTGCCTGTGTGCCACACTATCTGAGTGCTGCAGCACAAGCACTGCCTGTGTGCCACACTAGCTGTGTGCTGCAGCACAAGCACTGCCTGTGTGCCACACTATCTGTGTGCTGCAGCACAAGCACTGCCTGTGTGCCACACTAGCTGTGTGCTGCAGCACAAGCACTGCTTGTGTGCCACACTAGCTGTGTGCTGCAGCACAAGCACTGCTTGTGTGCCACACTAGCTGTGTGCTGCAGCACAAGCACTGCATGTGTGCCACACTAGCTGTGTGCTGCAGCACAAGCACTGCCTGTGTGCCACACCATCTGTGTGCTGCAGCACAAGCACTGCCTGTGTGCCACACTAGCTGTGTGCTGCAGCACAAGCACTGCCTGTGTGCCACACTAGCTGTGTGCTGCAGCACAAGCACTGCCTGTGTGCCACACTATCTGTGTGCTGCAGCACAAGCACTGCCTGTGTGCCACACTATCTGTGTGCTGCAGCACAAGCACTGCCTGTGTGCCACACTATCTGTGTGCTGCAGCACAAGCACTGCCTGTGTGCCACACTATCTGTGTGCTGCAGCACAAGCACTGCCTGTGTGCCACACTATCTGTGTGCTGCAGCACAAGCACTGCCTGTGTGCCACACTATCTGTGTGCTGCAGCACAAGCACTGCCTGTGTGCCACACTAGCTGTGTGCTGCAGCACAAGCACTGCCTGTGTGCCACACTATCTGTGTGCTGCAGCACAAGCACTGCCTGTGTGCCACACTATCTGTGTGCTGCAGCACAAGCACTGCCTGTGTGCCACACTATCTGTGTGCTGCAGCACAAGCACTGCCTGTGTGCCACACTAGCTGTGTGCTGCAGCACAAGCACTGCCTGTGTGCCACACTACCTGTGTGCTGCAGCACAAGCACTGCCTGCCTGTGTGCCACACTAGCACCTCTATGCTACAAATTTACGGAGTGTTCACTAGTGTAACGACACTACTCTGGATATGGCGTAGAATTTCACAGTCTGAGAAATTTCTGTTCAAGTATTCTTAGAAAACGCAATTCTAGAAGCATGTATAGTCATGTGTTCTCTAACCTGTATAATCAAAAACTGCAGTCTTGCAATCCAGATTTTCAATTACCGGTATCACAACTGAGAGTCATCATGTGGTATTGCTGGGAAACCTCCGGAAGTTTCTAACAAAAAGTACATCGTAAAGGCACGAAATCGCATGTCACCGCATTGAAGTGCAGTGCACTCTTTCGAGACTCTCTCTTGGCTTACGCCTATCTGGTCTCGGCTCCGCTCAAGTAACGAACCGCATTGAAGTGCTGTGCACTCTCTCGAGACCCTCTCTCCCTTCGCCTATCTGGTCGTGCAGTCTTCGACCGCACGACCTTGGGTCCAACGGTGGTTGCTCCAGCAGTCTTCGTTCTCTAAATCTCCACTGTGCGTTTACGCCCTTGCTACACGTGCTCGTGCACTCTAGGATATGTATCCACGCTTCACAGTGCAGACGCTCTAAACTCTCCCCCCGTCTAGACTTTCCTCTCCTGTCTCCCTCCTTTCTCCTCCCTTCCCGTCCCTCGGCTTACCCTCCCTTCCCCTCCCCCCTCCGTGCGTGCACCAGTACCCGCTGTTCGCGTTACTAGCCTTCCGCCGTTCTGTACGCCTTCCGCCCTGCTTCAAGGTTCAAACGCTCCGAACTCTCCCTTCCCTTTCCTCCGCCCCCCTCTTTCCTCGCTTCCAGCTTCTCCCTGGCACGCACTGCCGCTGCCGCAGCTGGCATCACAGCGCCTACAGCACTTACTGCACGTGCTCTCGTCGTATGTCGCTGATAGGAAGGAGATGGGATGGGATGGGAGAGGAGCGGATGGGAGAGGAAGGTAGGGGAGGGGAGGGGACAGGATGGGATGGGACGGGACGGGACGGGACGGGATGGGGCGGGATAAGATGGGACGGGATGGGGCGGGATAAGCGGGATAAGATGGGATGGGATGGGGCGGGATAAGATGGGATGGGATGGGATGGGATGGGGCGGGATAAGATGGGACGGGATGGGGCGGGATAAAATGGGATGGGATGGGATGGGATGGGATGGGATGGGATGGGATGGGATGGGATGGGATGGGATGGGATGGGATGGGATGGGATGGGATGGGATGGGATTGGATGGGATGGGATGGTATGGGATGGGATGGGATTTGATGGGATGTATGGGATGGGGTGGGATGGATGGAATGGGATGGGGTGGGATGGATGGAATGGGTGATGTCCCATTCTGTGTCTTAACTTGTGATGCGCATTTGTCCGTTTCACCTGTATTCCTCTTCATATCGTTTCTCGCAACTCCTCACCTCCTCTAACATACACGCCCACACATTCCTTGCTCCCCTTGTCACCATTGCCTTCACTCGCATCCCCCACCCACTGCCTGCCACCCCCCTTATCCCATCTGCCAGCCACCATGGTCATCTCCCATCCGTCTCCCTCCCACTCCCCTCTCACACTCTCTCCTAACCCATCCTTGTGTGCTATTCCGCATTGTCCTTCCGTCCCAACCCTCTGTCTCTCACTCTCCCATGTCTCTCTCGTCCCATTCCTAACTAGTCCCCCCCCCACCAACCACCCCCCCCCCCTCCCCCTCCCTCTTTCTCCCTTCCTCCCCTTCCTTCCCTTTCTCCCCTTCCTCCCCTTCCTCCCCTTCCTTCCCTTCCTCCCCTTCCTCCCCCTTCCTCCCCTCCCCCCAAATGCTCAATCTCTGCACCACCACCTGCACTTGTCTGCATGCAGGTGCGCAGAAGCAGGAAATGGACGCACAGCAGCTGAGCAGCACACTAGAGCCCTACTATTGGCAGTGGGGGCAGGACTGGTGGCAGCAGGGGTAGTGACAGCAGCAGCAGGATGTGGAGCAGAAGCGTCAGTGCGGCACGGCCTATGGAGATATCCCCTTAGTCACTGATAATCTCCACTGGGACTCTGATTATGCAAAATGCTGTCTTGAATGCATAGCAGCCATCCAATGTGACCATGCCTCCATCCCTTTTACCAGGTCTGATGAGCCCTGCCAGCAATTCCCATGGCCCACCACTCCATCCCTCCATGCTGTCCCTAGCTCTCAAACACAATTGAACCCTCTTTATCTCTTTTACCACTCTCAGAGAATCAGTATGCCTACTACGGGTTTGTTCTCCACATTTGTTAGATAGACAAATGGTCGTAGAAGAAGTCGTGTTGAGAAATTGAATTGATGGGTTTAACGTTCCACTTCTGGTATGCTCGCAACATTTGATATAAACACTGCTGTCGTCCACTGTTGTATTGCCACCTGTTCCTCATGCCAAAGTTACACCATCATGTAAAGTGGTGCTTTCCCGAATCCCATTGTTCGCCAGGCAGGGAGGGATACGGCATGTGTGCACAGCCCGCACAGCGTGTCACTCTCGCGAGAGGCGGGGCTTCCATGGGGATGCCACCAGCGGAAGAGGCGGCGGGGGGTACAGGAGGCATCGGCGCACCGGCAGAGGAGCCAAGGAAGGCCCCTCGGGGAGGTTCGGCTGCCGGTGACAGGGTCGATAGAGGTGGCGCTGCTGCGTGCGTTGATTGCCCGACTGACTAGCAAGTGAGTCGGTCATGTGCCGAGATGGAGACAGCGAGCGAGTGAGAGAGAGACAGAGGGAGCTGATCATATCCGCTTGCAACCTGGTGGCGCACGGAGCTGCAGAGGAGGGAGAAAAGGAGGGGGAGGGTGGAGCAGGAGGGGAAGAGAGGATGAAGAACAGACCTTCCTTCTCTCATCATCCACCATCAACTGACAATCAATGCGAATAGAAACCACAAAAATGCGATCCCCATCCTCCTTTTCACAATTTGCAGTGCTTGCATCGGCAAGTCGCATGCCGCTCTCTGCCTTCCACACCCCCCTCTCACACGCACCACTAAGCACTCCCACGGCCCAGCAACCCCCACGGCCCAGCTCTCCCTCTCTCCCTCTCCCTCTCCCTCTCCCTCTCTCCCTCTCCCTCTCCCTCTCTCCCTCTCCCTCTCCCTCTCCCTCTCTCCCTCTCCCTCTCCCTCTCCCCCCACTCTCACACGGCGCGCACCTTCCAGTCCGCGGCGTCCATGCCCACAACGTCCTCTCGCCCCGCCAGCGCGCACATCGCCTCCTGCTCCGCCGCGCTCGCCACGCGCACCCACGCCGCCAACCTCTCCCCCCCCCCGCCTCTCCGCGTCACCACGCGCAGCCCAGTTCTGCCGCGCGGCAACGGGTGGCGACTGGGGACGAGAGGAGGGGGGAGGAGGGGAAGGACGCGGGGCGGTGTGGGGAGGTGGAACGGGAGGTGGGTTGGAGGTGCCGGGGAGTGACGGTGCGTGACGGAATGACGATTCAAGTCAACTTAAGAGCGACGCCGCTGCATGGGACGAAGTGGAATGACAGTGCGAGAATGGCACAGCGCACCGCACAGTTGTGAACCCGCCGCATCACATACTCTCAAAGAATTCACGCGTCTCTTCCACTGAGCTCACACTCCCCCTCCACAATCTCCTCCCCGTCCTTCCCGCCCTTGCGCTTCCCCTTCTTCCCCGCTCCGCTCTCCCCTTCTTCCGCCGCGCCGTCCACCATCACCGTCCCCCATCCCGCCTCCAACGCTGCCGTCACCACCTCCTTTGCTTGCGTCATCACCCACACCTCCTTCTCGCTCCCGTCGCCACTAGCTGTAGCGCTCGCCGAGCGAGCGCTTTCGCATCAGTCGCTTTAGCTGTAACCGCCGGTCACACGTGCGACGCCATGCAACAAGCCACCGTCTGATCGCTTGATCGTGACTCTGATCGAAACGAGAATGTCGCCAAGTGCTCGAGCAACGAGTCTGTCGTGCCGCTAAAATGTGCGTGTGCAAGCGAGAGGTCGTTGAAACGCAGTTAAGAGGAACGCGTGCAGCGGCGGAGAAGGAAACGACGGAGGAAGTGAAGGGGAAGAGACGGGAAAGCGCTTGTTCTTGAAAAGAACGATGTGGAAGAGCCGTGGGGATCATGGCGGAAGAGATTGTAAGGAATTTGAGAGTGTGAGTGGGGAGCGAAGCAGGATGCGGACCTCGAAATTGCATTGATTGGAATTTTCCGCGGGAAAACGGGTGTGCCCTGGGATTGGGAATGGTGTTTCTTGTTCACGGAGCAACGGTATTGTCTGGTGCTTTACGGTGCTGTGGTCAGCTGAATGTACCGCTATTTACCACGTTAACACTTACTGAACCGCACTTACAGGCGGGAAAACGAGGGGGACAAACACCAAGGCTTGGGATGTGATGTGAGATTGCCTTGCAAACCCGGTAAAAAAAATCCGAACCGTGTCCAACCAGATTTGACCTTCCTTCATACATCCAACATCCTTCCGTGTTCCCCACCACCAGATCCAACCATTCACAGAATGACGAATGACTTCGCCGTCGCCACAATGCATGCACGAACACCTTTCGCGCATTGCAGTTTCCAACCACTTCGCAACAGCCGACAGCAGAAGTTACCTGTGAGCTCGCCAATTCGCTAACCATGGCTCGAGCTTCCCCTTCTGGCAGATGATGGGTTTACAGCTGCTCCATCGCTTCTCTCTACCGCCGCTGCTGTCAGACCCAACCAGACAGATCTCGACTTCCCTCCCAACTCTTCTGCCAGCCGCCTCCTAAGCACTAGAGCGGCTCAATTTAGCAGCACGCTTCGGAATACGGATCGCGGCGGTTGAATGAGCGGAAGTTTCATAGGCCACGTCACTAGACCTTCAAAATTCGTGTGTATACTCGCGCGTTTTTTTCTGGCTGTTGAAACAGCATACGTGTCCCAGTTTGAGGACATTCTGGTTGGATAGTGTTTTCGTTGGCGGTCCAATCAAACGTTGGGGCTCATTTGGCGGTCCAATCAGAGGTCATCTTCATGTTGTCGGCGATTCCTTATGATCCACAATCATCCACGTAGTCCACGGTGGCATGTTTGGGACCACCTTCGAAGCCAGCAAAGCGAGAATTCCAGCCGCTCACTGATTCCAAACCGCATCCCAACGGTCCGAAATTAGACATTCCACGCATCTTTAGTCTCTCTTCGTATTCCGGCTCGTCTTCTCGTGATTTGCAATTAGTTTCCGTAGCTTTCCTGGCACTTTTGCTAATCGATCTTGACTTTCGATCGCGCTACCAGTTTCAACCCTTCACCATCTTCTCACGTCGACGCCGTTCAGCCTTGCCGGGATCGTATGTCGGATCGTGGAGCTTCATTACCTCGACCGTGGGAGTTTTTGCAACGTAGCGAAGCTACGTCGATCTGCGTTTTTTCCTCGACCTCGTCGCGACGCTAGCTACGACGTGGCTGAAGCGACATCGATATGTCCGACTTGTTACGGTGAAGGTTGAAAGTATCACCTTTCACCTCCACTCACCACAGAGCCTCCTCCCTGGTAAAGGTTTGGTACAGGTTCGGTACAGGTGCGGTAAAGGTTCCCAAGGTGTTTGGTTGGTACTGGCTCTGTGGTGGGGCAGCACGTGTTTCTTTCACGTTTACAATGTTCATTTCCTTTTGCTTTCTTCACTTCCGTTTACTGACTTCGTGTTACTTATTATACTTGCAGGTGCTATTGGAGGCTGCTAGGCGTACATCCGAAGCTTTCAGGGGAGCAACAGCTTTCGTGGCTCTCCATTCTTCAAGGCGTCCTCGGCCTTGTCGCGACGCCATATACGACGTGGCTGAAGTGTCATCGATCGACCGGGCAGAGGAGCAGCTCCACGAGTCGTCCTGGTGAAGGTTAAACGTATCACCTTGCACCACCACTCACCACAGAGCCTCCCCCCCGGTTAAGGTTTGGTAAAGGTTCGGTACAGGTTAGGTAAAGGTCCCCAGGAGGTTTTTCTTTTACGGTACAGGTTGGTATCGGCTCTGTGGTGGGGCAGCACATGTTTCTTCACTTCGCCAAGTCGTTTTCTGCATGTTTTCTTCAATTCCGTTTACTAACTACATGTTTTTGTCTACACTCGCAGGTTCTAATGGAGGCTGCGAGGCGTATTTCCGAATGTTTAAGAGGAGCAAAGGCCTTCGGGGCTCTCCATGCTTCATGAAGGCCAACAGAGGAGAAGGTTGAAGTATCACCCACCCTTCATACTTCACAGAGCCCCCCCCTGGTTAAGGTTAGGTACAGGTCAAGGTATGGTACAGGTCGAGGTTGGTAAGGTTCCCCCTGAAGGTTTTTTGGTTGGTATTGGCTCTGTTTTTTCCACGCTTCTTTCGTTTTACATGCTTTATTGCCCGACCTTTACTAATTCTTCTTTATTGCCATACCTGCAGGTTCTATCCGAGGGTCTGCTGCGATGACTTCAGAGGAACAACATCGTTTGGCGGCCATCCTTGCTTCGTGGCGTACAAGAGAGGAGCAGCTCCAGGGCAGGTGAAGGTTGAACGTATCAGCCACCCACTCCACACTCCTCGGAGCCACCCCCCTTGGTTCAGGTCAAGGTGATGGTAAAGGTCAAGGTGATGGTAAAGGTTGAGGTGGGTAAAGGTCCCCCTAAGGTCTTTTTTTTTTTGTATTGGCTCTGTAGGCAGTGCACACTTGCACCACACTTGCATCACCGTCCGTTTCTGCTCGATCTGTTCACTGCTGTTTACTAATGTAGTTCCCTTGATCTCCTTGCAGGTTATGGCCTTTGTGCCAAGCTCCAAGGCGAGGTGAACGTACCTGCCAACAGCACCTGGCAGGTGCCTCCTGTCTCTTCACTACGAGTAAGTCTCGTTTGAAGTCACTTGTTTCATGTTGTTTCGTTTTCCTTCATTGACTATTCCTTTCTGACTTGAATTGGCAGGTTGCTTCAACAACGCGTTTCAGCAAGCCCAAGAATCAAGATCCATGGGAGCTGGTCTGCTGAGGCACCTCAAGGCTCAACAACCTTGGAAGATAAGTCACCAACCCCAGCTTATTTCCTTGCTTTATCGCTCCAATGCTCCTCCACTGCTTACTCCAAGCTTGCCGATGCCTTCTTTTCCCCTCAACTCTTGCTTTCTGTTGCTGTGTGATTCTGAATTTACTTAATTTACTGACTTGGTTTATGTTTACTTTATGTGGCAGGTTGCTCAACCAAGGACCTTCAGCATGTCATGGAGCTTCAAGTCTTTGCGCACTGCTCAACACCTCCAACTCTTAAACTTCAGATAAGTCTCTGCCCTTCACTCTGCACTGAGTCAATTCGCTGTTTTGTTTTTGTTTTTGTTTTTTTTTTGTTCATCATTTTGCTTTGACGCATGCTGTATCCTTGCTGTTTTTAAAGAGCCTGGACTAATGTTTGTCTCTTGTACCATGCAGGTGGAAGGCAGTGCACGAGAGGGGTTGAAGCCTTGAGCATTGGCTGGGGACTCGATTCCGGGCCAAACCGGACTGGTTCTGTCCCCCTCCTCCCACACCACATGACAAAGCTGTCTGGCCAGCAGTGATGTCATGTGGTGTGGGCGGGGGTGGGCAGAGCCAGTCCCTAGTAGGGCACCCGCACGTCTTGGTCCTGGCAATGCTCAAGGCCCAACCTTCCTCTCTGCCTGTGCAGTGCACTGCCAGTCCATGCCGGGGTGGGCATGGATGGCATGCTGCCAGTCCGTACTCCACTGGCTTGCTTCCCTGTGGGGCATGTAGACCTGTGGTTGTTAAGGTTAGAGCCACAATTTGTTATGATGTGTAGGCAGAGAACGAAGCACCATGATTGAGTGTACATTTATATATAATGTGCTTTGAATGCAGATTGCAGACCTACTGGTATGCTTTTGGAGGCAGAATGCGGATTGTTTTGCTACCCTGATGTATCAGAGAAGCATACACTCGCAGTTCAGTGAAGTGTAATGACATTAGTTTTACAGCTGGTGTTTGGCTGGGGCCAAGACACAAGGATCATATTCATCCTGCAGATGCATGATTCAGACATTCACAGATCTATAAGGGCGTGTCCCACTAGTTCGTTTTGGAAGAAACACATTTTTTTACGTAATCTCGAGTCAGCAAAAGAGTGTACACTCTGACGAAAAAAACACGCAGCGCGTTAGCTCTAGTGCAAAACGAAATTGCACCACGCGGACTCACAGCCCCGCCCACACAAGCCCATCTTCCGAATCAGAATTCACCTGGGCCGCGAGCGGTTACCCGCCCGGAGTGCGAATTGTCTGAGCAGGATCTGACGGAGCTCGCACAACCAGAAACAAACAAACAAAAAAGTACCGAGCCGTTTTTTTCGCAAAACTGTGTGTTGGGCGATTTTCAGCATGGGGTAACGGACTGCAGGTGCAGGACACTGTACGCCATGGTCGCACGTACCATGGCTGCGGTTTTTGCACGTGGGAAAAACGCATCTTTAGACGTCTACAGTTCGTCACTGTGACGCGTCATCGTGGAGTTGCATCTACAGTATCGCTATTCGTCTGGTTACAATTAAATAACAGGGACACGCCCTAAATGTACATTACAAAAGTGTTATAATATTGCCTGAAACCCTACTCGATCGTTCTGTGTGAACACCGAGCCTTTCGGAAAAGCACTCAGGAGGTATTCCATTATTGTCTGGTTCGGCGATGATCCGCTTATATCGAGCCTAGATAACCCTTCACGCGCTTATCAAAGAAGGTTCCAGGGTGGTCAGTTTACTGTAGCCCATCCGCCGAGGCCCTTTTTTTAAAGCCAGGGTCTCACGTACTACAAGTGTTTTGCAGTTGTCAGTGCAAGTTTGATTGTGATTGGTTGGCGAGTTGTGAAGTTTGAAGAGGGGTGAAGCGAGGAGTACGAAACGAATCCAAATCGCTAGGTGTAGCCGAACCTTCTAGGTTTGTAATTTTGGTTCGGATCCAAACCTAAAATGCCCCAGAATCGTCGAAAGTCTCACGTACTCAAAAGGTGTTGTGCAATTGCTTTTGAGGCACTGACGGGGGTAGGTTTCTAACCCAACCAAAGAGAAATTCGCCTGCACTAACTAGGTAACCTAGCTTCAACTGCTTTGCAGTTGATGGCTGCTTTGCTTACTTGAGACCCTGGCTTTAATGCCTACCGAACTGGGCCCAGGTTCTTACCACATTCAGATGAACCTTTCTAGTACTCCCTTAGGTGTCAGATAAGTGAGGAATTATATCTAAGGCATCGCTTGAATCCAAGGTGCAGAACGGAAGCGACGAGATTCGCATTGGCTGAACATTAGCTGGTGATGTGAAGTCTCGCTGTCACCTATCCTAACGCCACCTGTTCATCACGACGAATTCAAACCATTGTGTAAACTCGTGATTTTCTCGTGATTTTTGAGGAAATGTCCGCACCCTGCGTCACTTCGGGGGGAGGCGGGTCTCTCGCGGGGACACAAATGGCCGATGAGGAGGCGGAGCGTTTGGCTTTGACGGAGAAGTCCGCCTGCGCAGGCGGAGGGACATCGGCGGAAGGCGAGAGGAGCGGCGGAAGCCCCCCGGGGAGGACGCGGCTGCTGGTGACGGGGTCGATAGCGGTGTCGCTGCTGCTGTGTGCGTTGATTGCCCGGTTAGCAAGTGGCTCGCTCGTGCGCAGAGGGAAAGAGGGAGCTGCTACTGCATTCTCGAATCTATCTCGAATTCTGCCGCTTTCCGAATCTACCTGCTTTCTTCAGCGCATCCGCCATAGCCAATGCGGTTTCTTCAGTTCTTTGAGTTGATTAACAATCAGGGAGCTCCTGTCGCCGTCATTCGCCGTAATTCGCGACGGGGTCGCCATGTGACGTCCAGGCGGAGGGGGTCCTCCCCCTCAGTCCTTTCCGCACTCTCCCTTTGCGGACCTGTAGCGACGCATTGCCTTCTGCTGTCCGACTGGCTCCCATCCCCGCGTTCCCACTCTCGTCCTCAATCGCCTAATGGCCCACATACCGCTGCGCCGTGTGTGTCTCAACCTCAGTTACCCATTTCCCTTTCCCCACCCCCCACTCCCCTCCTGTCCCCTGTCCCTTCGCAGGGCTGCCTGTCTGGTGGTATACCACACGCGTGTATCGTGCGCCGCTGCCATTTGCCGACATCAGCAGCTTCACGCATGACGTCACTGCGCAACCCATATCTCTCCCCATCCACGTAGACGTTATCTTCCTGCTCACTGCTCCACCGTCCAATCAGCAAACGGAGCAGCAGCAGAAGCAGCAGCAGCAGCAGCAAGAAGCGTCTCCTGTTCTATTCCCCACGTCTCAACTACAGGACACAGCCAAGGCGTCTCTCTCCGCCCTCTGCTCCCCTCACGCGTACCCCCATGGCCATAGCTATAGCCCCGATTCAGCAAACGGCGCTGCATTGTGTGGCAGCAAGCAAGCGAGGTCTGTTACCCTGTGGGCTGTCCGCGGCGCTGCCTGCCAATCAGCTCTCACCACGTCAGCAACAGCAACTGAACCGCTAGCAGCATCGCCTGGGCAAGACTGGCCTTGCCACGTAGACTGGGCACAGGTGGTGGATGCGGAAGCACAGCTCAGCGAATCAGAGTTCGACACGTGGCTGGATGGGCGAATCCAGACCGCGTTTTCGCGCTCTAATCTCTCAGAATCCGCATCTCCTCCCCCCAACCCCCCCTGGGACCCTGTGGTTCGGACTCAAAAGTGGGGTGGTCGCTATGTGCTGCTGTTGATAGAAGGACGAGACGAGAGTCAGGGGGAGCGGCGAAAGGAAATGGAGAGTGGGGGTGAGATGGGGAAGGGGAGGGAGTCGCCCGTGTGTGCGTCAGAATGGGGAGAGGTGGTGGTGGGAAAGCACAGACATGCATGGATGAACTTCCCGCCTTCCTCTTCTGCCTCCTCTTCATCTCCCCATCAAGACCACACAGGCCTCCCTCTGCTGCTCGCACCAATGGCAGTGCAATCTCTGGCGTCGCTGCTTGCTGCCGATGCACCACCATCAAGCAATGCCAGCAGCAGCAGCAGCGGCAGGGCGGAGTTGCCAATAGGGCCGGACAGTGCAGTGAGTGTGTCTTGGAGCCTGCTCAACGCCGACCCACACCAATGGGCCTTCCAATGGTGCGCACGCTGCATGCCTGCCTGCTCCTGCGTGCGTGGGGCGGAGAAGAGTGGGGGTGATCAAGGTGGAAAAAAACGGTTGCGAAAAAAAACGATTGAAAAGAACGATTGTTTTTTTCGGTCCTGTTTGGGAAAAAAACGTCGTTTTTTTGTTAGGCCCAAAAAAAAACACACACAAAAAAAACCCAAAACAAATCCCCTGCCACCAATCTGATCACAGCAGGTCGGAATCTGGCACACTCTGCACGTGCGGGAAGGCTGAATATGTGTGGGTGATTGGTTCAAGCCACGACTTCCACCAAACCTGTGTGCTATGTTGCCATAACCCAAAAAAACAATCGTTTTTTTGCACCCAAATTTATTTAATTAATTTTATCGTTTTTATCCGTTTTAAACGATGGTACGGTACGATATCGAAAATAACGACAAAAAAATGAAAAAAAACGTCGTTTTTTTGCACCTTGGGGGTGATGGGTGTGGGGGAAAGAGCGAGCAGTGTTATGGATGAAGGTGTGATGGTGCTGTTAAATGCTCGCTCCTTGTTGCTTTGAACTTCCACTACATGACGTCCTTGTTGTGTACATTGCTATTTCTGCCACCCTCCCTCCCTCCCTCCCTCCCTCCCTCCCTCCCTCACTCCCTCCCTCCTTCCCTCCCTCCCTAACTCCTCCCTCCCTCCCTCCCTCCCTCCCTCCCTCCCTCCCTCACTCCCTCCCTCCTTCCCTCCCTCCCTAACTCCTCCCTCCCTCCCTCCCTCCCTCCCTCCCTCCCTCCCTCCCTCCCTCCCTCCCTCCCTCCCTCCCTCCCTCCCTCCCTCACTCCCTCCATCCCTCCCTCCCTCCCTCCCTCCCTCCCTCCCTCCCTCCCTCCCTCCCTCCCTCCCTCCCTCCCTCCCTCCCTCCCTACCTCCCTCCTCCTAATCTGCCACACAGGAACTTCCCATCACTGCGGGCGTCTCTCCTGCGCCCCCTGCAAGCCGCCTTCAGCCCGCTGCTCACTCTCCACTTCCACAGCCAGGTGCGCCTTCTCCCGTTTGTCAAATCTCAGACGTGGCACAAAACAAACATAGCCAGCTGCACCTTCACTCTCACAACCCCCTCGCTCCTATCCCCCTTCCCCCGTCCGCCCCTCCCATCTACCTTTGCTCCGCACACGCCTTTCCTCCCATCCCAGCACCCTCCCTTACCTTCTTCCTTTATCCCCCTGTTTCTACCGTCTTGACCCCCTTTTTCTTCCTCTCTCTCCCCCGGTTTCCCTCCCTCCTTCCCGCCTCTGCCCTCCTTCATTCCTCCCAAGGTGCTCTACTTTGCCCCAATGGCAGCAGCAGCGAGGTGGAACGAGCGTGCGAGGGTGCATGAGGTGCAGGCGTCTGACCTGCCCTTTGTGCTCAATGCCGACACATGGCACCTGCATGCATCGCTGCCGCTCATGGCTCATGGCCGATCCAAGCTGCTGCATGCCGTTGTGTGAGTGACCTGCTTGCCACATGTCTTGCGTGTCTCTGGCTGTCGCGGATGAGTGTATGTGTCATGCATCTCTGATAGGTGCGTGGTTTGTCTTGCTGCAGTGGAGAGATAAATCTCTCTACACCGGACATGTTCTTTCCATTTTCTCCCTCTTCCCATCTGGCCTTTGTACATGTATGCTCGTTCTAACCCTCAATTTACTCTGCTCTCCCCAACCTGTTCTTCCCTTTCCTCCCACTGTTGCAGCTACATTCCCTCGCTCGCCACCTGTCCCCTCACCATAGCCTCACACGCGCCCAACAACAACGGCAACCACCACTCACCATCAGTGCCTCCATCTGGGTTCATATCTCCTGGTTGGGGCTCTGTAATCCTTTTTAACCCTCTTAACTGCTCCGCTCCGTCCTCCTCCTCGCCCTCCTCCACTTCAGACACCCCATCATATGCCTCCCCTCACATCCTCTCTCCCTCCTCCTTCACCCCTGTCCTCGCCCTCGCGATAGCCCAACTGAGGTCTCTCTTTGGCCTCTCTGCCACTCCACCTGCACTCTGCCCCACTTCGCCTGCTTCCCCGCACACTGGCAGCAGCAGCAGTAGCAGCAGGGGCAGCAGTGGCAGCAGGGGAAGCAGCGGGGGAAGCAAGGGAGGAGTGGGGGCACGCAGTTTATCAGCAGGGCTGAGGGGAGTGGCGGAGTGGGAGGTAGACTCGTTGCTGCGGCAACGGCTTCCAGCAGATGAAGAAACCATCGCAGCATCTCTATCGTCCGTTGCCGCCCTCGTGCAATCACTGCCGTCCATGGTTGTGCGCGATGACATCAGCGAGTTTGTATTCTCTGCTCTGTCCTCTGCACGAGCAGCAAGAGAAGCAGCCAGTGAGGGGAGGTATGATGAAGCGCAGGCAGCACTGAGGAGGGCGAAACTGGCAGCCGATGCTGCTCTATTTCACCCAAGCATGGAGGCTGGAATTTTCTACCTGCTAGAGCATCACCTTGCAATTTACTCTGTCAGTACACCCCTCTCCTCCCCATCACCGTACATCACCCTCTCTCCTCCCCATCACCATACATCCTTGCCTCCTTGCCTTCGATGACAAATTTCACCAAATGATTTGCATGTAGCGGCATTGCACATAGCAGATGAAAGAGTGTGACTGCCTTCAGTTTATTTTTTCTCATCCAAAAGCGTTGACACTCACTGGCGCTTTGGAGCTGCCTTATGTTTTCCTCTCTTTCGCATCCCAGCCCCTCTTTTTCCCAGTGGGTATACATGCAGCTGTAGCCTTCATTCGCGAGTTTCGGCGCTTCCTTCAACACAAGAGGATGGTTAAGGTGGAATTGTAGGATTGGAGGTTTGTGGCCTAACAATTTTCTTGATGTTGGGTCTTTCGTTGGCTTGGCCATGTATAATTGGGTGGAACATGCTGTGCTGACAATAGAAACCCTTAGGAGGAGGGCTACAAACCGAGGGTTTTTTGTTCTATGTATCCTACTCACTTGGAAGTGACTTCTGATACACTTCTACACACTTCATACACTTCAGTCGCAAATCGCACAGGCGGCCCGAGTCTCTGCAAGCGTCAAGTGAGAATTGCACAGGTCCTTAGGAGCCGTCGATGGAAGGTCCAGGTTTGCTGTGTCTATACATCTCAGCCGTCTACACGGTGGCTACCGCGAAACGAACGGATCTGTCTGCCTGCCATGCTTCCAAACCAAGGAGCTAGGTTCGGCAGAGTTTGACGGCATTTGGTTCGGCGTCGCGATTTCGTGAAAACGGTGGCAGGGATGTCATCTTCCAGCTGTTGTGGGGATTTTTTACGTCGGGTTGGGGCCTGGGAAATACGAAAACCGAGCCGTGTTGCACGAACCAGCATGACACATCACGAACCGCCAAAATGTTGCGATTCGGGCCCTACTGAGCATGACTCCCCGCGCTTTCCGGCCGCCCGAGCGACGGGCGGAGAAAATTTATGGAGCTCGTGTAACAACGTTGTTAACGATATCGTTACAGTGCTGGTCGATAAATCGCGAATAGTTTCGCATGGTAGAAGTGTCGCTGGAATGGGTGCGTGATTTGCAGGTGGTTTGCATGTTAGGAGTGACGACGGATAGATTCCCTGGCACAGGGAGAGATGAACGAGAGGGCTGGGGCATGCAGCATGGCAAACACACGGGTACCTCTGGGTGCAATGTGCGTGCAGAGCAAGTCCAGAGATCAGGACTAGCAGCAGTCCAGTTCCCCTTCGCTCAACTGAATGATTGACAGAGAAGGAAAGCAGGCGTGCTTCACATGAACGTCACAGCGACTCTCCCGCAAGTTGCAAGCCCTCTCTTCAGGTCATTTCCTAGCCAGAGCGAGCTTCCGCTGCGAGCCTCACAGAGCCTAGACGACTTTCGCTTCGCTCCTCCGCTTCGTGAGCTCGTAGGTCTTGCGCCTCTGCTGCATGCCTGTTCCATTCGACCGCTAGGGAGCGAACCTCTTAATTTATCGACGTCACTATAGCAACTCTCCACGTCCCGCCATCAGGACATCCCCGCCGTTAATCCGTAGCGCGTGACGAATACCTCTTCCAAGCCCATCATTCCTGGCAGATATCCACCGCCTGCTGTTCCCCCCCCGCCATGCGCCCCAGTGGGGCTTCGCCGCTGTTCTTCCAAACTACTATTAAGTCATTCCGCCCACGAGAGACGGCTATCGCCCGTTATGATTAAGTCTCACTCAGGGGGAAACTCTACGAAACGGCCAAAACACGAACGAGTCGATCAGGAGAATCATGCCGCTGCGAGACAAGATACGGCGTGCGGGCTGGGGAAACGGCCCGACGGATTGCGGATAGATAGTGCGACGCGCGGTGCAGTGGAGAGGAGATTAGGTGATAGGGCTAGACAATACGATGATAGAATAGAGGCCGCACACCATTTTGATGACACTTTTCTTTTAGAACTCAGAGAAGCCACACCGGAAGACGATTGGGACCGCGAGGTGCATCATGGTTTAGTGCCGACGTCCTCGCACTTGCCGGTGCTGTTCGCTCAGCCGCGCCAAACAGACGCCGAGATTCCAGAGGAAATCAACGGGCGCCGGCTGCGCGAGCGAGAAACCAGGGACGGTGGAGATGCAGGGACGGAGCGGATCGGAGCAATCGAAGGGATGGGAGGGTTCGGAGGGATTGCGGCGAGTGGGGACGCTGCCCGGCTGCGGGCAGCGGCTTGCGACGCGAGGCCGCGCAACGGTCGGGATGTGGACGGCTTGGTTTGCCGCCATAGGCTTGCACGTTCAAAGAGGAATAACGCGGGTTTCGCGGAAACAGACGTAATCCAGCAGCTCCGGCCCGTCCGCTGCGCGCCGAGCAGCACCAGTGGCCTGGCGAGTCGCAGCAGACTAGTTCGGAATAGACCGCGCGATTCCAGTGGCTGGTGTAACGGCGCGATGACCTTCTTGGTGCTGCCGTCGTGGTCCGCCGTGCGGCTCCTGCTGCTCCTTTTGCCGTTGGCGGTGGGGTTTTGCGCGCACACTGTGCGCGCTGCTGCTCCCGCTCCTCCAGGACAGGGAGCTGCAGGAGATGGGTGCCGGGAGGGATGCGCGGGGATAGGCGCGGGGAGAGGGAGCGGGGGATGGGAGGGAACGGAAATGGTTGGTATGAGGGTGGGCAGACGGTTAGGGGCTGTGGAGGAGCGGAGAAATGGCAGGAACAAGGCGACGATAGTGCAGCAGCAGTCGCAGGATTCGCAACAGTCGCAGCAGTCGCAGAATTCGCAGCAGTTGCAGAATTCGCAGCAGTCGCAGAACTCGCGGCAGTCGCAGGATTGGCAGAACCAACAAAACCAGCAAAACGGGAAGAGCCAGCAAGACGGGCAGAACCAGCAGGACGGGCAGAATCAGCAAAACGGGCAGGACGGGCAGAATTCGCAAACCTTGCAAAATCAGCTACAGCAACAGCAGCAGAGCTTGGGGCAGCACGACAACTCGTTGCAGGAGTGGCAGCAGCAGCAAGGCGCGGAGTGGACGGCGGTGGGCGGCACGGCGAGGAGCGGCATCGTGGGAGTACCGCAGGAAGGTAAGGCGGGACTCGAGCGGGACTCGAGCGGGACTCGAGCGGGACTCGAGCGGGACTCGAGCGGGGACGTGAGAGGAAGAGGGTGCAGCGGGACGAGATGGCTTGCGTGTGGGTTTGGGCGTGTGGGCGTCGAAGCGCGAACGGAGGAGGAAAGAGGAGAGAGGGAGGGTTGATGGGCGCTCACACGCGTGCCTGAATTTGTGCGCGGAGGCCGGGAGATTGAAGGATGGCGCAGCCGGGAAGCGGGCAGGCGGGTTGCTGATGGTGGCGGAAGAGATTCGTGCGCGCACGGGGCTGTGGGAGCAGGAGGCGGGGCGGCGGAGGGAGGAGACGGTGGATCAGAGGGAAAGGAAGAAGGGGGGGAGAGTAAAGGGCGTTGTCGGCGCTGTGGTAATTTGAGTCATGCGTTTCCATGGTTCCAATCATTCTCCGATTGCCTTCGCGATTCACATACCTCGCTCCCTCACCCTCCCTAACTAACCACTTTCCTCATATCCGTGTGTCTCGCGGCGCCCTCTCCGCTTTCCCACCAGCGTCGCAGTTGGCTCAGGTGAAGGAGATTTTCGACCACGATGGTCGCTTGCAGTCGTGGGACGCCCAACGAGACTGCTCCACGTGGCAGTTCGTGGCGTGCAACGCGCAGGGCCACGTGATCGCGATGTGAGTGTGCCGTGCTGTGTGTGGGAACGCGCTGACGTGGCATGGTGTAGGATGTGTTATGCGAATCCAGTCCATGCGATTGCATGCGATGCTATACGAAAAGTTTCACCGGAAAGCGAGCTTTCGCCACCACGCCAAAGACTTGGCGTGCGATTGGATCAGGTGAAACAAGAGCCGCGTCAAGAGCGTCGCCACCACGCCAGGCGCCGGAAAACCACCACTTTCCGCTTATCCCTTGCTCGCGCCCGCAGTCACGCTGCCTTGCGCTCCTCCCTGCCGTCCCGCCCTTGCTTCCCTATTCCCCATGTTCTCGCATCGCCATTCCCATGTTCTCGCATCGCCATTCCCATGTTCTCGTATCGCCATTCCCATGTTCTCGCATCGCCATTCCCATGTCCTCGCATCGCGATTCCGCTCATGCTTCCGTGCGCTACTCCCTGCCGTCCCCTGCCCCGCCATCAGCTCGCTGCGGGACTTCAAGGCGAACGTGACGGCGCTGCCCGACGGCCTCTCGTCGCTGCAATACCTCACCTACCTGTCAGTGCCCGCCCGCATACGCGCGCACACCACTCGCTCACTCGCTCACGCGGAAACGCATTCACACACGCAGATTACGCAGTGTCACAGGCGCTTGCCATCGCACTCGCCGCCTCATTACTCCTGCTCCTTCCCCGTGCGTTCCCCCCCCCCGTCGCTCTCCCCCCGGGCTGCAGCAATCTGGCGAACAACTACTTCCGCGGCTCCTTCCCGTCCGTGCTCACTCTCCTCACCAACCTGCAGATGCTGTCAGTGCCGTGCCTCGCAGTGTCGTGCCCGCCCTTTCCGTACTGTCCCTTGCTGTGCCGCTTGCCTTGACTTCATGCGACGCGCGCAAATCTCACAGCACCCATCTGTCGTTCTCTCCATGGTCGAATTCTGTCTCTCCGCCTTGCTTCACTCACGCGCAAATTACTTCCGCGCTATCCGCACGATCACGGTCCGTGACTCGCTCTCCGTCGCCCGCTCACGTCGCCCCTCTTGTCCCTGCCCATTGCTTAACTCTCACCCCCTCCGATCACCCACCTGCTCCCTCCCCGCGGTGTATTCCCGCAGCGATCTGAGCGCGGCGCCGCTAGGGTTCGGCGCATGGGGCGTGACGGGGTCGCTTCCCGACGGCATCTCCGTGCTCTCGCGCCTCACTGCGCTGTCAGTGCCTCCTCACTGCCTTCCCTCGCTTCCTCACGCCATTGAGGCTCCACATTAGAGATTGACTTGCACATTTAGGCGTAACCTCATATTTGGGAGTTCCGTGAAGCTTCGATGGAACACGTTCGGTGAAACATACGCTGCCACACACGCACACACACGGGTGCTCGCGCACACAAGTGCAAGGAATCTCGCTCGTATATGTGCTGCACTGCACCGTTCGTCCGCGCATGCTGTCAACACCCCTCCGGCCGTGCCCTGTGTGTGTGCGGTGCCGCTCGTCCGCCCGCCCACCAGGTCGCTCGCCTACAACCGCCTGTCGGGGTCGTGAGGCGCCTCAAAATCATGGTGCCCCTCGCTTCGCTTCCCCTCTCCTCGTCCACCCGCCCACCAGGTCGCTGGCGTACAACCGCCTGTCGGGGTTGCTGCCCAACGCCATCGCTTCTCTCGTCAACCTGCGCAGCCTGTCAGTCACCGTTGCATTCTCTCACTCGTTGCTGCCTGGAGTTTGCTTCTGCGTATGCTAAAAAACGCCCCGCTCCTCGTCAATTGCTGCTCCCCTCGTTCCTTCCATCCTGCGTTTCTGCCTTCGTGCCCTCCTTCCCGCGTTCCCTGTTGTCTTGCCCGTATGGGGAACCCGTTCTCTCTTAGTGTTCCAACCCTAACCCTGAATCTTTAATCGCTCCTTGTGTGACCAGCAATCTGTCGTTCAACTACTTCTCCGGCTCCCTGCCGGCGGCGCTAGGCGACCTTCCTGTTCTCGAAGACCTGTGAGTGCTCTCCTCTCCCATGCGCACTCGCACACACACCATAGCCACACACAAGACGATTCAATGCACCAGATCCGAGCAAGAAGCGCTCCCACACAACCACTAAGCCGTGCTGTGCACTTGCCCTAACCATCTGCCGCTTTCGTGACCTTGAGGGCCTTGCTGTGCCTGTGTTCGCGCCGCCGCTACTCTTCAACCTCTCTCTGTGTCTCGCTGTGTGCCTGTGCGCCTCTATGCCTGTGTGCCTGTGTGCAGTGATCTGACGAGCAACGACTTCTCAGGACCCATTCCCAACTCCTTCTCCGGCCTCCAGACTCTTCAGACCCTGTCAGTCACCTCCTTCCATACATATACCTCCTCTCCTTCTCTCTCTGCCTTTCTCTCCCTCTCCCTCTTCCTCTCCCACGCCCTTCTCGTCGCCATCCCATGCAATGTTCCTCTTTGCTCCCTGCCCTCCGCTTCCTGCGAGTCCACCACTTGCGTCCCACCTTCTGTCTCGGACCCCAGCAACACCGCATAGAAACCTGCCCACGCCCCACCCTCACCAGTTGTCTCCTCCCTTCCCTTCCTACCCCCCTTCCCCTCCTTTCCCTTTCCCTACCCACCCTCTCCGCTCCCCTCCCCACTCCTTCCTTTTCCTCCCCCCACTTCCCCTCTTTCCCCACTCCCTTCCGCTCCCCTCCTGTCCGTCCGCCACTGCGTGCCCTCTCCCCCCCTGCAGGGCGTTGAGTTCCAATGGCTTCTCAGGACCGCTGCCCAACGTGCTCACCATCGCCACCAACCTGCAGTCGCTGTACTTCCGCACTTCCCTGCCTCCCTGCTTCCCTGCCTCTTGCTCACTGCGTGCAGTCGCTTCTTTATCCCCTCCTTGCGCCCCCCGCCCCCCCACCCCCCCTCGCCACTCATACTTGCAGACTGCACTACTGCTGCTGCACCTCCTTACGTTGCTTGTGCCGCTGCTGTTGACTGTGCTGCTTGCTTGCTGCTGGTTGTCACTGGTGTTGTCACTGCTGGTTGTCGTCGCTGGTGGCATCGCTTCATCAGTTGCTTGTTTGCATCTGTGTGCTTGCATGCATTGCGCGTGGCAGGTCGTTGAGTTTCAACGCGTTTGAGGGCTCCATTCCCCGCGGCATCACGCTGCTCTCCACCCTCCGAGTGCTGTCAGTGCTGCCACACCCTCTGCCACACCCCCCGCCACACCCCCACTCTGGCACAGCCTTCTGCCACACCCCCTGCCACATCCCCCCTCTGCCACACCCCTCTGCCACACCCTCTTGCCCACTGTCCTTTCCATCTCCGCTTTGATCTGCACTGCCAGATCCTCCCGTACACCTTCACACACCCTCTTGCACTCTCACGCACTCTCACACCCTCTCTTGCATTCCCTTGCTCGTCCTCAACATCAACGTGTGTCTCCCTGTCCGGTGGTGGGGATGTGCAGGGAGCTGGCACATGCGAACATCTCTGGGGATTTCCCCTCCATGGACCGATGGACCAACCTCGTCGCCCTGTGCGTGCTCTCTCATGCACGCTCTCATGCTAGCACATGCCATGGCATGCCCAGCTATGCTTGAAATCTGCACCATCCAAATTCCGCTTTTCCGTTTCCCTCACCCTCCCCTCACTCGCTGCCTCCACTTCCCATATTGCATGGAAGCACCCCTTATGTTTCTCTCCTTCCTCTGTTTCTCCACATGGCATGGCATGGCATGGCACGGCATGGCATGCAGGGATCTATCTTTCGCGAGTGGGCTCCGCGCGGTGCCTCTCTCCCTGGGCTTCCTTACCAACCTCACTAAACTGTAAGGCCTGCTGCACCTCTCTCACTTTCCATAAACGTGCATGATCGCTCCAGTCCCCTCACACTCAACCCATCCTCGCTCTCACTTGCCTGTGATGTGTCCTCGCTATGCACCGCCGCTGCTCCAACCCCTCGCCTGCTCATCCACCCTCTTCCAACTAGTTCGATTGACCTCCCGAGTCCCGCTCCTCTCTCCCGCCCCCCTTCCTCGCTCCTCCCCCTGCCTCCCGCCTCCTTCTCCCCCGGCTGACCCCGTGTGCAGGTCCATAGAGCGCAGTGGGCTCACAGACACGCTCCCCACGCAGCTGTGCGGCTTGTGGCAGCTGCGACAACTGTACGTCACACCCTGCCATGCACGCTCAAAGGCATGCTCACATGCATGCTTGTTGATGCGGCTACTTCCCTGCCTCATGCTTCCATGCGCCAACATGGATACTTGAACACTGTCCTACACCCAGAACAGCCATCATCCTCACCGCTTGCTGGTTCCTCCTCTCGTGCCTTCCTGTTGCCTCTCTCCGCCGATTGCTGTCTCCTCATTCTCTTGCTCTTGCTTCGTCCTGCCTGTGCGTGTGTGCATGCCCGCTCCCATGCCCGTGACCATGTGTGTGACCCCAGGTCCCTGGCACATAACGCCATATCGGGGGTTCTTCCTGACTGCATGGGCAACCTGCAGGCACTGGAATCACTGTTAGTACTGCTTGCCATGCCCTTGTTTTTTGAGAATTCTCGCGAGTGTTTTTTGAGAATTCTCGCGAGTGTTTTTTGAGAATTCTCAAAAAACACTCGCTGCAGGCACTGGAATCACTGTTAGTACTGCTTGCCATGCCCTTCCATGCACCATGCACAAAGTGCCATGAACCGTGCTCCATTTTCCTTGCACCATGCACCATACGCCATGCACCATACGCCATGCACCATACGCCATGCACCATATGCCATGCACCATATGCCATGCACCATGTACCATGTTGCTCACATCCGTCTCCACCTCTCTCTCTCTCTCTGTTGTGTGCTGCACGCTGCTCCCTGGCAGGGATTTGAGTCACAACAGTCTCGCCTCCAGCCTCCCCACCACCATTGGCAACCTCCGGCAAATCACTGCTATGTGAGCCTCCCTCATGCCGCCCGCACATTGAAGTTGTTTTTCAGAATCTCATCCCCCCCAGCACCACCCTCCTGCTATCCGCCCCTGAGCTTCCCAGCTTTGCCTTCCTCCTTCCCCCCTCCATGTTTGTTCTTCCCCCAATCCTCCACCCTTCCCCATCCCCGTACGTCGACTTCCCCCTGTGCAGCAATCTGGCGTTCAACTCGTTTGAGGGGCCGCTGCCTACAAGCCTGCAAGCGCTCTCATTCCTGCAGCACCTGTACGCGCACACATGCGATTCTTGAGGCGCAACTCAAATATTCGCATGCGCTCATTCTCTGCTCTCTGCTTCCCTGCTCCCTCTGCTCTGATGCTCTACACATGTATGCACGTGCACAAGCACATATGGTCATGACCAGTGGGTTGGTTGCACCTTCTTCCCCTGCTGCTCTCATCGCCCTATTCACCAACCACCATTGCTGCCTCCGCCCCGCCTTCTCCTCTCTTACTCCTCTCCGTAACCTCACCTTTCCGCCCCCCCGTTTCCGTGTTCTCCCCAGGTCGTTGAGTCACAACGCGTTGACAGGGCCGCTGCTACCCGGGCTGGCTGCAATCACAGGGCTCACAGCACTGTGAGTGGTGATGCGTGGTGTGGTGATGCGTGGTGGCAGTTTAAAATGCACGCGCCCACTTGCTGCTCTATGAGTGCACCATGCACCACTCCTGTACTTGGAAAGAACGTATTCTACTTACCGATGGGATACGATGTGGTGGTGTGGTGGTGTGTACGTTTCTGGTGTGCCAATGCGCTCGTCCATCCAACCCCCTCCCACCACCCCCCGTCTCCATCCCATGGCATGTGCACACGGCTCAACCGCCACAGGGACATGAGTGACAACTCCTTCAACGGCTCCCTCCCACTCGAGTTCGCCTCGCTCTCATCGCTCTCCATCCTGTAAGGCCTCGCTTGCCCAGCCATGCCATACCAGCATTGCCAACCATGCCGTGCTTTGATATGCAATCCTGCCCTCTCTGTCCATCCCTCTCGTCTCCCCTAATCATCTGCCTTGTCAAGTCACACTGCCTAACGTGCACCCTCCCTTGCCGCCCAGGTGCCTCTTCCCTTCCCACTTCCATTCCTCGTATGCACATCTCATGCCATTCCCCCTTGTATCTCTCTCATCTCTCTCTCTCCCCTCCCTCCCACCGCATCCTTGTCTCCTCCCTTGCTCATCAGCTCGCTAGCGCGGTCAGGCATAGCAGGAGCGCTCCCACACCGATTCAACTACTCCACGCTCCTCCTCCTGTACGCCTGCGCACCTTGCAGGCCCTACCTTACCGTGCCGCTCAACCCTGCTTCTTTGCCTTGCGTGTCTCTCCTAGCATGCACTGTTCCGCCCCCTCGCTTCGTCTCCAACTCCTTCCTTCTGCCGCCACTTCCACCTGCTCTTCCCTGCTCGCTCTCTTTCACTCATGCTCGCACACCTTTCACATACTCTGGTCAAGTACTCTGGCATGCACCCACATGCCACCACGTCATCCATCGTATCATGTCAACAATCTATCATGTCACCATGCCACCATACACCATACCGCCGCCCTGGCAGGGATCTGAGTGGCAATCGCCTCAGGGGAGAGCTGCCTCGGGGATTCTTCCCTGCTCTTAGCCTCCTGTGGGTTCTCCTCTCTCTCTCCCCTCTTCATCGCTTTCTCTCCCCTCTCCCCGCTTTCTTGCCCCCCTACCCCTGTTACTCACTCCTCGCTAGCCCTTCCCGTTCATGTTTTTATTGTTTCCTTCTTCTTGGTCCCTTCTTTTTGTTTCCGTCTATACATGCAAGTGCCCTTGTACAAGGCACTATTAAGCGACTCATGATCTTTTGGGCGGTGGTGATAGGAGAACTCAAGGCCAGCAGCACGGCTGCCGTGCTGCCTCTCCCTGCAGAGCCATCTCTGAATGAGCCCTCCTTGTTTCTTCGTTTTGATCGTGCTTGGTGTGTGTGGGGCTGGCGGGTTTGCGTGTGTGTGCCTGTGTGTGTCTGCCTGTGTATTCCCTGTGCGCGCCGTCATGTGTGCGGCCACGTGTGCAGCAATCTGGACTCCAACCGGCTAGTGGATGACGTGGATTCCTTCTTTGCGCGCGCACACACCCCGCAGCTGCAGTCCTTGTAACCACCCTCCCCACACACCCTGCACACCAGACGCACACCCCGCACACCACACACACACCCCGCACACCACACACACACCCCGCACACCACACACACCCCACACGTTTTTTTTATTTTCTTTTCTTTTTCTCCTCCCCCTCTCCGTTCTTCCCTCTGCCCTCTCCTTCCGCATTCACAGCCCCATCTCCACCGCCTCCCCATCTCCACCACCTCCCCATTCCTCCATCTGTCCCTTCACTTAACCCATGCTTCCTTCGCCCACAGCCTTTTCCTCTACCCCACTCCTATACTCCACCCCTCCCTCCGTCCTTCCCCACTGCCCTTCCCCTTTCCCCACCTTCCCACTTACCTCAACCTTCCTCCCTCCTCTCCCTGCTCCTCTCTTTCCCCCCTGCGCGCCCTCCCTCCGCCCCTGAACCCCCACAACCCCACCTCGTTGGCAGGCTCCTCGGCAACAACACGCTATCAGGCTCACTCCCGGACTTCACGTCCGTGTCTCCAGCGCTGTACCTAGCAGCGTTCAATGGCAACGCCATCATGCACACGCCCAAGCAGCTGCTCGCCAACTCCTCCCTGCGCCTCATGTCAGTCCTCCCTCCCACTCTCCTCCCTCCCAACCCCTACCCTCACGCGCTCCCCCCCCCACACGCCCCTCGCCCCCACCCCTCCCCCGCCTGCACTGCCTTGCGCTGTGCCTTCTCCTTTTCATCCTCGCCGCCCGCACTCCGCTTGACTGCTTTGCTTTGCGCCCCATCGCCTCTAGTTCTTCCCACAGTCTTTCCACCGCCCCTGCTTCTCCGCAGCTGCCCTCCCAAATTTCATGTCTCACCCCTCCATCTCTCACCCCCCTCCATCTCCCAACCCTCCTCCTGTGCTTCCCCCCCCCTCCCCCCCACACATGCCATGCAGCCTATCAGACAACCCAGTGTGCATCGACCCATCACCAGCCTCCCTAGCAGCGTGCTCGCCGCCCTCGCAAGACCAGCTCTCCTGGACAGGCATCCCCGTATCAGCATGCATCAACACCACGTGCCAGTCCGACGCCCTTGCGCCCTCACCGCCGGTGTATACGGCGCGTGGTGTGTGTGTGTGCGTGCCGGTGGCTGCTTTGGATCTGCTGCTGCTCGTGCCGCCGGTTGCGGCATTCAATGGGGCGGTTGCGGGGCGCCTGCAGGCTGCTCTTGCCGACGCTGTTGCCATGCCTCGGGAACAGGTACGGCGGGCGGTCAGCAGTGTGGGGGGAAGGGGGGTACCACAACATGCTGTTCATGCGTGAACGTGAACGCAATACGGTCATCCGTACTACCATTCATACCACCATCCGTAAAAGCACACTAGAATTACTTGCACGAGGCGTTCTGTATCCCCCTCCTCCTCACCCACCTTCCTACCCTGCCTTCCTCAAACCCCACATCCCCACCCTCTCCCCCTCCCACCGGCCCTCCTCTGCCCTGTGTGTGTGTGTTCCCCCCTCAACAGCTGCGAATGCACGAGGCGGAGGCGGTGGCGCCATCACAGCAGAGGGTGCGAGTGCACGTATACCCGCCTGCTCTCTCCGACCCAGACGCTGCTCTCGCACAGCTCAAGGCGTCGCTGCGCCTGCTGCGCGCCGCACTGCCCATGCGCCTCGACTTCTTCGGACCCGTGCAGGAGATGGGTGAGCACAGCCACGTGCTTTGGTTGCTGGATGGGTAGTGATTTCTAAAGGCGCCTAGCGTTGCAGACATTGCCTCAGATTTCGTTTTTTGTTTTTGTTTACTTCAGCATCTAGAGAGTCGCTGCCGCGCCTGGGCTACTTTGGTCCCGTGCAGGAGATGAGTGAGAATGGCTCATTGCGTGCTGTGGCACGGGCTGGCTGTAGTGTTGGTGCTGCTTTCACCAACCGGGCATGCCAAGCACCTGCCCCACCCACTTCCCTCTCACCTGCCCCCCTCTAACCTACCCCCCTCTCACCTACCCCCCTCTCACCTACCCCCCTTTCACCTACCCCCCTCTCACCTGCCCCCCTCTCACCTACCCCCCTCTCACCTGTCCCTCTCTCACCTGCTCTCGTGCATTGTATGGTGCAGTGGAGGACCCGCGAGTAGTGAGTCCGCTTGCAGCACTCAACGCATCCACCACTGCCAACTCCACCACCGACCCCTCAGGTACCACCACCACCCGCCTCGCCTATCACCCTCCCCAGGTGCGACCCTCCTCAGGCACACCTATGCGTGCGTGCTTCCAGGCTGTCCCGTCTGGCCCCCCTCTCTCCGTATATATGCTTGCTTTGTGATCTCCACCAGTGTTCTTTCTGACTTACTCACGTCTTGCCTCACTCGCCCCAAAACCCCACTCACTTACGTCTCCTCGCCTGTGCTGTGCTGTGCTGGGCGGTGCCCCCTCGCCCTTCCCCAATCCCCCCAGACTCATCCACTCTTAGTTCGGCCATGGTGTGGATCATCGTGTCAGCGGTCGTGGGGGCTCTGCTCCTCACCTCCCTGCTGCTCCTGCTCTTCCTCCGTCGCCGCTCACTGGCAGGTACAACCCATGAGTCCCTTTGCACGCACACAGCAGCGCTTCTCTCGTCATCACCTCACCATGTCATCCATGAGCGATTTTCTGAGAAATTTCAATCATTGATCACAGCATGTGATGACTCCAGCTAGCATGCGATTTCACTCACCCCGACTCCCTACCTGCCGACACGGCAGGCCAATCCGCTCATCATTCTTCCCCTTGCATCCCACCCTTCCCTTGCGTCATCTCCACCCAACCCCTCCCCATCTCCCGCCCGTCCCCTTCTCCATCCCCTACTCCCCCGCCCTCTCCCCTTGACCAGCCTGCAACGAATGCGATGATACCAAGGCCTTTGCTGCGGGATCCGCCTCCTCCTCCGCCCTGCCCTCCACACACACGTCCGGCCCTCTGCCCGCCCCTTCTGCCACCGCCCCTGGTGGTGTTGGTGCAGCGGGGGGAGCGGCAGGAACAGCGGCAGGGGGACGAGGAACAGGAGGAGGAGGAGGAGGAGGAGGGGAAGGGGAGGGGAATGGAGGGATGTCGCTAGTAGAAAGTGTGCGGCAGCAGCTGGTGCGGCCAATGACCCTGGAAGAGCTCACGGAGGCCACGCATGGGTTTGCTGAGGAGAGGGAGCTGGGGTCGGGGGCGTATGGCACGGTGTATCGGGGAGAGGGCACGGACGGGCAGCAGTGGGCCGTGAAGCGCAGCAAGCTCGTGTCACGGGACACGATGCAGGTGTTCCGGAAAGAGGTACGTGTGGTGGTCGTGGTTGTGGTGGTTTTCTCTCTCTCGTTCCATTAGTTTTCTCTCTCGTTCAATCACTGCACGCCCCCTTTGAAACCCCTGACTCGTTCTCCCGCATCGCTTTTCTCTCCCCGCCCCCATCCCCCCTTTCCCCATCCCCCCTTCCCCATCCCCTCTTCCCCGTCTTTCCACTGTGGTGCGGTGGTGCGGTGGTCATGCAGGTGAGTGTGATATCGCAGATGAGTCACCGGCATCTGGTGAAGCTGCTGGGGTACTGTGACACGGACAGGGAGCACATACTCGTCTACGAGTTCGTCCCCAACGGCACCCTCGCCCAGCACCTCCGCCCCAAGCGTGCGTCTCTCGTGCAACCCCCCCCACCCCTTCCCCCACCCTTGGCACACACTTCCCTCGTCCTTGCTATCTCACTGCTGGTCCTCTAGGCGCTTTCGCTCCTTGTGAAATCGTTGGCTGCGCTTTCGGTTCCGTCCACCATGTGATGCCTTTCCCTGCACTCCTCGCTCCCTCTCCCGACCTCTCGTCCTCACACACACGCAACCACATCGCTGGCTAGCCCTCTGCTCCCCACATTGCTGGCTAGCCCTCTGCTCCCCACACGCCCCATCCACCTCCCCCTCTCTCTCGTTGCCTGCATCCTGCGAGCTCTAAACTGCTTTCAAAGCGCCTAAAAGCTCTCTCGTCCCCTCTCCCCATCCCCCCCCACCTCCCCCTCTCTCTCTCTCTCTGTGCAGCGGGCGAGCAGTGGGCGGCACTGTCGTTTGGGGAGCGCGTGGACATAGCACTGGGGACGGCGCAGGCGCTGCAGTACCTGCACTCGTTCGGCACACCCGCCATCATTCACCGCGACGTCAAGAGCGATAACATCCTGCTCACAGATACCATGCAGGTGAGAGCAGTCACTCACACTCACTCACGTCCATGCACATGCATGCAAAAAGGCAGTCAGGCACCGCCCCATCATTCACCGTGACGTCAAGAGCGATAACATCCTGCTCACGGATACCATGCAGGTGAGACCAGTCGGTCACTCAGGTGCACACTCTCCACGCACATCCATGCATGCACGCAAGCACACGGGCAGGCATGTACCCCTCCCTCTGCTCTGGCACTGCCTGGAACCTCTGTGGCTGCAACCACTCTCATTCCTCGTCTCCCCTCCTCCCTCCCCCCCTTCACACTCGCCCGTGCAGCCACTAACAGGCGAAGGTGTCGGAATTTGGACCGCGCATGGTTGCTCCGCCCTGCTCCCATCTCAGCAGAACCCCTCAACTCCCCCCCTCTCCCCCCCCCCTCCGCCACTTCTTCCCCCTCTTCCCCCCTTCATTGAACGTGGTCCCACTAACAGGCGAAGGTGTCGGACTTTGGGCTGCTCAAGGACATGGACGATGCGGATGCGGCCACGAGCAAGGTGGCGGGCACACCAGGGTACCTAGACCCCGAGTACTACCGCACCTTCAAAGTCACCACCAAGAGTGACGTCTTCAGGTGAGGTCAAGTTGCTTTATGCCTGTGCAAATGGTAGGCATGCTTGCTCAACTGATGGGTACCCTACCTACCCCATGCCTACCCTACCCTACCTACCCTACCGGGGTACCTGGACTGGACCCCGAGTACTACCGCACCTTCAAAGTCACCACCAAGAGCGACGTCTTCAGGTGAGCGCCCTCATACCTTCATGCCTGTGGTGCGTCTCTGTGCTGGTCAAGCCATTGTTCTCAAGCCATGCCATGCCATGCCATGCCATCCGCCCTATGTATTGGCTTCTCAGGGTTGTCCTATGTCGCCTCAATACACACCCTTCACTTTCCCTGCCATCGCCCCTCATCGCCCCTGTGTGTTCAGCTTTGGAGTGGTGCTACTGGAGCTGGTCACAGGGCTGCCACCCACCTTCGCCAACCCCAACAAGGAGACCGAGGGCATGATCTCTCTAGCTGAATGGGTGCGTCCCAACATCCATCCTCCGCCTCCCTCTCTTCCCTCTCTTCCCTCTCTTCGCTCTCTTCCCTCTCTTCCCTCTCTTCCCTCTCTTCCCTCTCTTCCCTCTCTTCCCTCTCTTCCCTCTCTTCCCTCTCTTCCCTCTCTTCCCTCTCTTCCCTCTCTTCCCTCTCTTCCCTCTCTTCCATCTCTTCCCTCTCTTCCCTCTCTTCCCTCTCTTCCCTCTCTTCCCTCTCTTCCCTCTCTTCCCTCTCTTCCCTCTCTTCCCTCTCTTCCCTCTCTTCCCTCTCTTCCCTCTCTTCCCTCTCTTCCCTCTCTTCCCTCTCTTCCCTCTCTTCCCTCTCTTCCCTCTCTTCCCTCTCTTCCCTCTCTTCCCTCTCTTCCCTCTCTTCCCTCTCTTCCCTCTCTTCCCTCTCTTCCCTCTCTTCCCTCTCTTCCCTCTCTTCCTTCTCTTCCCTCTCTTCCCTCTCTTCCCTCTCTTCCTTCTCTTCCCTCTCTTCCCTCTCTTCCCTCTCTTCCCTCTCTTCCCTCTCTTCCATCTCTTCCCTCTCTTCCCTCTCTTCCCTCTCTTCCCTCTCTTCCCTCTCTTCCCTCTCTTCCCTCTCTTCCCTGCCCCACTCTCCACCCTCTTGCCTTGGGTTATGCGTTCTCCATATCCGTCCTCTACCCCTTCCCATCCCACTCCACCATTCTCCGCCTTTTCCCATCATCCCATGCACCATTCGCCTCTCCCTCACGCACAATCCACCCCCATCTCCTCACATCCCCCTACAACCCCCCCTGCACACCCGCACCATATCCCCCCACTCCATCCCCCACAGGCCCTGGCTCGCCTAGGCCCGGACCATCTAGAGGCGCGGTTAGACAAGGTAGCAGACGTGCGCATGGAAGGGCAGTACGTGCGGTCAGCGCTGCGCCAGATGGTGGAGCTGGGCACGCAGTGCGTGCGGTTACTCGGCAAGAACCGCCCCGACATGCACGAGGTCGTGTGGCGCCTGCAGGAGGTCCAGCAGGACATGGCGCTCGCAAGAGGACAAACGGCGCCGCCCCGCAGCCGGAGCGACATGGATGCGGAAGAGGCGATGGCGTATGGGTCGTTCCCGACCACGTGGATTGGAGTGGGGTCGCGGTCACATGTGGAGGTGGGGGGAGCAGAAGCAGCAGCGGGGGGGAGTGGGGTTGTTGCAGGGGTGGCCGAGCAGCGGGAGATAGGGGAGTGGGGCAGCGGCAGGGCGTCTATGCAGAACCCGCAGCTGTTTGTGAAGCTCGGGGGTGGTGGGGGCGGTGGGAATGGTGTGGAGGGACAAGTAGCAGTGGACAAAAGGGGTGGGAGTAGGCAGGGGAGTGGGGTGACGGGGTCGGGTGGAGGGAGGGGAGTGAGCAGCAGCGGCAGTGGCAGTGGCAGTGGCAGTGGAGTGATGATGGATATGCGCTCATCTTCCTCTGCATCCATGTACATGCCTGTGCCTACCGATGCAGCCATGCCAGGCAGTAAGGGCCCCGCTAGGCCATGGGGTGCCTGATAAAAGCCAGGAGAAATTGCACTCAGCGTGGAAAGTTTACCTCTGCATTGCATGCAGAGCTCCTACCGTGTGGCTGCTCTCACTGGGCTTGTCAGTCACACATGCCCTGTTCCGCGTGGAGAGCTTGCTTGGGCATCAATCGATAACGGGTATCGAAGACCGTGGTCACACACACACACATGGTACCTCTTCTCTCCATTGCAAACTGCTTTTGTGAGCCATGTGTGAAGGCCATGCGCCTCGACTACGATTTGTTTTCTCTCCACTTTTTCTAGTTGCAAAAAAGCTAAAAGCAGGAATGCATGGGTCAATCCTAATTGCTGGCGGAGTACTAGGCTAGTTGCTGTGTCGATGTTTTTATTTATTATTTTGTAGATTGCTGGTGTAGCATGACTGACTTGATTGCATGCCTTGTATCAGTTGCTTTTGAAATGAAGTGTTCATAGCCTCTGGTGGATTAGAAAGTGTTACTTGCTATTGCCAAATCCAAGCCGTTCGTTTTCGCTCTATTCCCTACCCGACTGTTTGAGTTTGCGATAGAAAAACTAAAGAACATCGGGCATCTCTCTGAACCGCATTTCGACATGCCTACTTTCCACGCCCTTATGCAGCTTTCACTTGTGATTATCCTTCAAGCACCTATGTCAAGACAAAGTTAAATTACAGCAAATTCATAAGCCGGCATCAACTGCTGCTGCTGCTGCTGCAAAATTCAAAGCTGCGCTACTGCACCTGCGCGCGACTACGTCACAAACCAGAAGACAAAGAATGGCTAAGGAGCAACGGTGATTGTGGGCAGAGGTGCAGAGGCCCAGAAGCAGGCAGGCGGTTAAAAATACGCCTGGGCTGCCCGCTGCTGCCAGCGTGGCTGTGACAACAACCCATTATGCTCATCAAAAGCCACTATTTCCGAGTTGCTCCTGTGCGGGGATGCAGAGAGAAAAAGAGGAGACATGTTCATGAGACGAATTTTAGAATTCAAAGATGGAAGGCAGGGAGGAGAGAGAGTGGTGGAGGGCTGAGGTGGGGTGGAGGCCGCTAGAGGAGGGATGAGAGGTGGGGTGGGGGGTGTGAGGAGAGCTGAGAGGTGCGGTGGAGGGTGTGAGTGGAGGGCTGAGAGGTGGGGTGGAGGGAGTGCTGACCTGCAGAATGCTGATGAGCCCTGGCTGCTCCTCCAGCAGCTGCTGTAGCTTCACTGGGTCCTGCAGCAGAGCCTGCAGACACACATGCACACATGCACACATGCACACACACACACGTATAGATGCATGTGCGCGAGCAGACATATGCACGGTGAGTGGGAGGTTCAATGGCCTCAAGTGCAACGAATGATACGTGAACAGCGAGCAGCCACGCTCACCTGAATAGAACCCAGCCCTGCAACATCAGAAGCCTTGGGTGCAGCAGCACCGGCAGCAGCCGCAGCAGCCGCCGCCGCCGCAGCAGCAGCAGCAGCAGCACTTGCCGTGCCTGGCTGTGCTGCCACTGCTTGAGCTTGCATCTGCAATGGTGAAGTGTGGGAGGTTGGCTGTGGCAGGGAGTGCAAAGGACCAGGAGCAGCAGCTGCTGTTGCAGGTAGTGGTGGCAGTGCAGCCGTTCCAAGCAGAGACGGAGGAAAGGGTGGAGAGGCAAGCCCCTGTGGCCCAGGCGCAGAAACAACCACCTGCTGCTGCTGCGGCAGCGGCGGTGGCGGCAGTGGCGGCTGTGGTGGCACAACTGAGGGCTGGACCTTTGAGTAGTCTGAAAAGGGTGCTAGCATGACTGCAGCTGCTGCAACAGCTGCAGCTGCAGCCGCAGCGGATACAGGAGGCGAGGCGGAAAGGTTGCCAGGCGAGGCAGCAGCAGCAGCAGCCATGAGGTAAGAGGGGAGGTCAGCAGGAGAGATAGCGTGAGAGGCGGAGAGGTGGTGGAAGAGGGCTTGCTGATGGTCTGGGAGGAGAGAGGGGTCCAATGGATGAGACAATTGTTGCACTTGCTGCTGCAGTTGTTGCTGCCGGTCCCTCTCTTGTGCTTGCTGCCCCATCTTCTCCACTTTCTCCTGTTCCTGCGCCCGACCATCTTTCAGGCCCTCCTTCAATATATTCACCTGTTGTTGCTGCTGCTGCTGTTGGTGGTAGTGTTGTTGCTGCTGTTGCTGCTGCTGCAGCTGCTGCTGCTGCTGTTGTTGTTGCTGTTGCTGTTGATGCTGCTGCTGCTGCTGCTGCTGATGAAGCTGTTGCTGGTGCTGTTGTTGTTGTTGCTGCTGCTGCTGCTGATTGTACTGCTGCTGCTGCTGCTGCTGCTGCTGTTGCTGCTGCTGCTGCTGCTGCTGCTGCTGCTGCTGCTGCTGCTGCTGCTGCTGCTGTTGCTGTTGCTGTTGCTGTTGCAGTTGCTGCTGCTGCTGCTGCTGATGGTACTGCAGCTGCTGTTGGTGCTGCTGCTGTTGCTGTTGCTGTTGCTGCTGCTGCTGTTGCTGTTGCTGTTGGTGCTGCTGCTGCTGCTGCTGCTGCTGCTGCTGCTGCTGCTGCTGCTGCTGCTGCTGCTGCTGCTGCTGCTGCTGCTGCTGCTGCTGCTGCTGCTGCTGCTGCTGCTGCTGCTGCTGCTGCTGCTGCTGCTGCTGCTGCTGCTGCTGCTGCTGCTGCTGCTGCTGCTGCTGCTGCTGCTGCTGCTGCTGCTGCTGCTGCTGCTGCTGCTGCTGCTGCTGCTGCTGCTGCTGCTGCTGCTGCTGCTGCTGCTGCTGCTGCTGCTGCTGCTGCTGCTGCTGCTGCTGCTGCTGCTGCTGCTGCTGCTGCTGCTGCTGCTGCTGCTGCTGCTGCTGCTGCTGCTGCTGCTGCTGCTGCTGCTGCTGCTGCTGCTGCTGCTGCTGCTGCTGCTGCTGCTGCTGCTGCTGCTGCTGCTGCTGCTGCTGCTGCTGCTGCTGCTGCTGCTGCTGCTGCTGCTGCTGCTGCTGCTGCTGCTGCTGCTGCTGCTGCTGCTGCTGCTGCTGCTGCTGCTGCTGCTGCTGCTGCTGTTGCTGTTGCTGCTGGTACTGCAGCTGTTGCTGCTGCTGAGGCTGATGGTGCTGCTGCTGTTCCTTACCCTCCCCTTCACGCACCCCAGCCTTTCTTTGACCACTATCACCATCCATCTCATTCTGTGCGCCACCCTTTCTCCTCTTCCCAACATGCCTCCTCCCTCCCTTCTTCTCCCCGTCATGCCCTCTGCCCTCTCCCTCGCCATCTGACCCATCACCACCACCATCATCCTCCTCGTCATCATGCTCATCCGAATCACTTGTGAGATCCCCATGAAACCACTTCTTCCTCTTTTCCTTTCCACCACCACCACCACCACCAGCAGCGCCACCACCAGCACCAGCTACACCATTCATCTGAGACCCATGCTTCCCTGCATGCCCCACCACCACTCCGCCTCCCCCGCCCACTCCTTCTCTGCCCCCCTGCGCCGCTCTTCCTGCCCCCCCTTCCTCCTTCCCACCGCCATCACCAGCACCAGCAGCACCAGGGCCAGCACCGGAAGGACCAGCACTCGCCCCAGCAGCACCAGCAACGGGAGCGCCTGGCATGGGGGGAAGAGGCGGGGGAGCGGCTGCCACAAGCGGCGGGCCTCCCATCTGTCTCTGCCGTGCCATGAACTCATCGACATGAATGGACGGTGGTCGCCCACTGCTCCCCCACCCACTCCCCCCATCGCCCCTCTCCCTCGCCGTATAATCATCTACATGAATCGACGCCGCTCGGCTCGTGTTAGGCTTGCGCTGCCTGAAACTGTCTCTCCTGCTCATTGCAAACAGCCCCCCCGGTCCTGCAGGGGAGGGGGGGACCCCTGGTCCTCCCAGCGCGCCCATCCCGCCCCCCATCATTCCCCCCATGCCCATGCCCCGCCCGCCCAGCTCCTCCTGCTCCCCCCGCACTCGCTTAACGTCTGGACCAGCTCCTCCTGAGGCGGCACCAGCAGAGCGCTTGGTGGATAACAGGTGCGCTGCAGAGGAGAGAGAACCGGGCTCGGGTCGGTCCCAGGGGAGGAGAGAGGCGCAGGAGGAGGAGGAGGGGGAACGGGAGGAGGAGGAATACGTGCAGAGGGAGGGCTCTATAGGAGCAATGATGCGGGAATGGAGGTCTGAGAGGAGATCTGTGAGGAGAGACGGAGAGGTGTGGTGGAGGGGAGAAGGGGGGGTGGTGAGGGTGGGAAGGAGGGAGTGGAGGGAGGCGAGGAGAGGGAAGGGTGCTGGGAGGTGATAGTGACGTGAGGAGGTGGTGAGGAGGAGGAGAGCTTGTGAGAGCCGCTGTGCCTGTGGGATTGAGGGAGGAAAGGAGGGGATAAGCAGGGCAATGAGATGGTAAGCTGAGTCCGGGACAGGGCAGGGCAGTTGGCAAGAGAGCTGGGCAGGGGCTCAGTGGTAAGCTGAGTCTCGCATGCGCACTGAGGACAACGTTTCAACAGTTGACACGGGGCACGGGGCATGAGGATGGTGGGTAGGAGAAGGAATGATGGGTGATGAAAAAATAGGGGCAAAGGCCAATGAAGGATAGTGGCGGGATGTGGACAAAGGGAAGAAGGATTCGGCACCGAGACACGGACCTGCTTCCAACATGCAAACTTGCGTGCCCGCGAGCGAGCGAGACGTGAGAGAGTAGTGATGGGATCATAAGGCAGACCAACAGCAGCCGCAACAGCAGGAGCAGCAGCGGTAGCAGACGCAATGGTAGCTTCAGTTGCGGTGGTGGTGCGATGAGTAGAGGGCAGACTGAGAAGGAGCTTAAAGAGCAGAAGACCCATTGAGCTGGGGGTTGGATGGGAAGGAAGGGGGCATGTACATGGTGTTAGTTCGTACAGCCCAGACCAGATTGCTCAAGGCGTGGATACAAGAGTCTCCTTTGGAAGCAACGAACGTGATTGCGCATGGAAGAAGAATGAGGGAGAGGAAGCAGTGTGCTTGATTCAATTTGAACTGGTGTGCGTCGCAGGGCATGCCCTTGCCTATTGGACGTTTGTGCAAAACCAACAAAATTGAGCGCATATTTGACCAGAGTCAACCATATTCAACAAACCTTTGACCAGAGTCAATCATTTTCAACACACCTTTGACCAGAGTCAGCAAGGCGCAGCACAGCAAGGCAGAAGGCCTCCACAAGTGCTGCACTCCGCTGCTCCGCTGACGTCGCAACCACCGCCACACTCCTCCCTTCCCTCCCTCCCACTTCCCCTCTAGTCTCCATGCCCAAACCTCCACCTCTTCCCATCCCATCATCATGCCGCCACCAGCTCTTCTCTATCCCCCTCTCCTGCTGCACCTTCCCATGCACCCCACGTCCCTCTTCCCCTCCACCATTATCCCCGTCCCCATCCCCATCCTCCACCTCTTCCTCCCCCTCCTCCTCTTCCTCCTCATCCTCTTCTACCTCCGCTTCTTCCTCCTCCACCCCCTCCTCCCCAACACCCCATCCATCAGCCTTCAGCTTTAGCCACCTCTCCACCAGCCCCACCACCTCGCGCGCGCTATTCTGCAACAGCCCACCGAACCTCTCCAACCCTCCTCCCTCTGACACTGCTGCCCCAGGCATCCCATCCCCCCGTGCCCTCCCCTTGTCCCCTTCCTCTTCTGCTCCTTCCCCTCTCCCTGCTTGTAGTGCCAGGGCAGTGGGCGCGGAGGAGACAGGAGTGGGAAGGAGAAGGGAGTGGGAGAGGTGCAAGCAGAGGAGGGTGCGGGAGGCGGGGGAGGAGGAGATGCAGGAGAGGGAGGAGAGAGCTGCTACACGCAGTGCTGCAGAGGGGCATGTCTGGAGGGACGTGGGTGGGGTTGGATGGGGTGGGTGGGGTGGGTGGGGTGAATCGGTGAGCAGCACGCGAGAAGAGTATGCCATAAGAATCTAAAAACATTTAAAGGAAAACTTAAGGAGAGAAACGAAACATTGAGAAGGTATAACAGAGCAGGGGGAAGAGAGCATGTGCGAGGGGAGGAGGTGGCTTGCCTGCACGAGTGAGAGCAGGGAAGCAAGAGTGTCTCCCGCAAAGACAGCAGCAGATGCTCCCTTGGGTCCTTGCACCGTTTCACTTGGCCCTGTACCAGCGTCCGAGAGAGGGGGGAGAACTGAGGTGGATACACAGGCAGGTACTGCAGCAGAGGGAGGCGGGGTGCGTGGGGATGGAAGCAGCACAGAAGCGTCGAGACTCGCTTGTGGTTGCTGCTGTTGCTGCTGCTGCTCCTGCTGTTGTTGTTGCTGCTGCTCCTGCTGCTGTTGTTGCTGCTGCAGCTGCTGCTCCTGCTGCTGTTGCTGCGGCTGCTGCTGCTGTTGCTGTTGCTGTTGTTGCTCCTGCTGCTGCTGCTGTTGCTGTTGCTGTTGCTCCTGCTGCTGCTCCTGTTGCTGCTGCTGTTGCAGCTGCTGCTGTGACTCTGCTGGCTGTACTACCATCACACCCACACCACTGCTGTTGGTGGCAGCAGTTGTGGTGGTAGTGGCAGCCACAGCAGCAGCATCTGCAGTAACAGCAGCCACAGCAGCTGGAGTTGCTGCTTCCAGTGCGTTGGCAGGAAATGAAGCGACAGCGGCAGAGGGTGGGAGGGCGAGGGGCGGCGGTGGGAGGCGGTACTGGTGGAGGCACAACTGCAAGAAGCTGCATATTACATGATTTGCACAGGGAAGGAAAAGGGGGAGAGTTTGGAAGAGAGTAGATCTGAGCGGTCATGCTGGGTAGCAGTGAGCAGTGAGCACACAAACATTACCATAACCAGAATCAAAATCTCCTCATGTTGATATTGAATTATGAACAGCATCGCGGACAGGTGTTTGCACCATGTGTGTGTTTGCATGCCACAAAAAAAAACAAAAAAAGTGAGTCGACTCAATAGTTACCTGGGTGTTTGCAGAGCATGCAAGGAGAGAGCTGATGCGATAAACATCCCCATGCGAGTAACCTGATCCATCTGCTTTTCCACACCGCTGCTTTCCTCATGCGCCCCTTGCTCTCCTTTCTCTCTCTGCTCGCCTTGCTCCACGTGCTCCCCTTGCATTCCTTGCATCCCCTGGGTCCTTCCCCTCTGCTGCACCCCCTGTGAAGCCTTGCCGTCCTCCCCAGTGGCAGCACCCCCCTCGGCGCGCTCTTTCACTGCCAGGAAACCTGGAGGGAAGTCTACAGCTGCTGACCTGCCAGCACCACTGCCACCCATCAACACTTCTGCAGCCGACTCGCCTCCAGGCTCCTGCTTAACCCCCAGCACCACAGTCGCTGCTACTGTTGCCCCACCTCCGCCTATTCCTCCTGCTCCTCCTGCTCCTGCTCCTCCTCCTGCTGCTGCTGCTGCTGCTGCTGCTGCTGCTGCTGCTGCTGCTGCTGCTGCTGCTGCTGCTGCTGCTGCCGCTCCTGCTGCACTTTTCTGTGCGGCTAGCTGCAGAGCCTTGTGGGACAGCGAGCGGACGCGAGAGTGCGTGAGGACGCAGAGGAGGAGGCGGGAGAAGGACTTGTGCTGCAGGGCCTGGGACTGAGGGCAGTGCGAGTGGAGGGAGCAGGGGAGGGAGGAGGGGATACGGGGAGCGGTGGGAGTTGGGGAGTTAAAAGCAGGCTGGGCGAAACAGGATCGACGACAAGATAGAAGGGCAGGCAGGGAGATCACTCAATGCATAGTCGTGTGCAGCAACTACGCCTGTTCAGAATGCATGGATGAATGCAAGAAAGCAAGGACGAGGTGCGAGTACCTGCACAGAGGGGTGCACAATGAGTTGGGCCAGTAGGTGCAGCAGGGAGACCAGGTCTGCAAGCAGCAATGGCGATGCCACAGGCCTCTCACTGTCACCCCTGCTCTTCCCAGATAGATCCGCCAGCCCAGGCACACCACTACCTGCTGCTGACACCCCTCCCCCCATTCCTGCACCAGTTGTCCCTGGTGCCTTTTCTCCCACTGCTGCTGTTGGTGGTATTCCTGCCTGTCCTGCTGCTGCTCCTGCTTTCGCTCCTTCTCCTCCTGTTGCTGCTCCTGCTCCTCTCCCCACTGCGGTTGCTGCTGCTGCTGTTGCTGCTGATACTGCCGCTTCTGCTGTTCCTATGAGCCCTATTGCTGTAGTGCCAGTACCACCACTCGCCCCTGCTGTTGCTGCTGCTGTACCCATGCCCCCTGCACCAACTGTTGCGGCTGGAGCAGCAGCAGAATCAGGGGTTACCTTGGGAGTAGAGGAGGGTGGCGTGTTCGGGTGTGTGGTAGACCCAGGGGCAGAGGCACCAGCAGCAGCACTAGCACCAGATTTCAACCCTCCTCCCATCTCCCCTCCCTCTCGTCCCCTTCCTGCTCCTGCTCCATCCCCCTCTTTCAACCCTGCCCCACCTCCTTCCACCTCTCCAGATCCCTTCGCACCCTTATCCCCACCACCATCACCAGCAGCACCGGATTCAACCGCAGCACCACCAGCAGCCGCAGCAGCAGCAGGAGCGGGAGCAGCAGCAGCAGCAGCAGAGGCGGTAGCAGCAGCCCTAGCAGCATCTCTCCCATCCGAGACTGCAAGCCATGCTTCCATACACTCGCATGCCCTTTCCACCACAGCTGCTATCGCCTTCTCTCCTGGTTCCTCCCCTGCCTTGCCATCTCCAGCCAGACTTTGGCTGGAAGCAGGCTGAGAGGGAGGGGGAGGGGCAGGGTAGGAGGAGGAGGAGGAAGAGGCAACGGAGGAGGTACCAGGGGTGGAAGTGGTAGGTAATGTGGTGGTGGTGGTGGGTGGGTGGGAAGAGAGAGTGGTGGCAGTAGTGGTGGTGAGAGGGAGAGAGTCTGCTAGAACGAGGATGAGGGAGGATAGGGAGGTTCGGACGACCCATGATGCCTGCCGTGAAAGAAAAAGGGGAGGAAGAGGGAACGGAGGGGAGGGAGGAAGGAGGGGGGGTTCGATTAGCACATGCGAAATGTAGTGCAATGGGAGCAAGCAAGATGGGTTGAAGGAGGGGGATATGATATGCATGGGATGGGAGCATCGCACCATGCACACGGCACATGCACACACAACGCACGTGCGGAGCAGCAAGCTAGCTCTCACAGTTGCGGAGAAATGGTAGACGATGCGGCAGAGAGCGGGCATGTGCGGGACCATGCTACGCTTGACTCGGCCTCTCAGCCCCACATCCACGGTAAACCACATAAGCTCCTCCATGTGTGGACCCATGCCCAGCACACTCCCAACCGCCGCCACCCCCACCACCTGCTGCTTCTGCGGCCACCCCATCACCGCTTGGGAGGTCCACGAGGGGAGGGAGGAGGAGGGGGATGGGGATGGGGAGGAGTGGAGGGTGGGGCGGGAGGGAGCGGAGGGGGCGGAGGGCGGATGGGAGGTGGCGGGAGTGGTGGTGGGTGGCGGGGTGGAGGGTGAGGGAGAGGGGGGTTGGCGCGAGTGCAGGAAGGGTGGGGGTTGTTGGAGAAGATCGGCCTGTGTGGGGAGGGCGATGGGAGGAGAAAGGATGAATCAGTATCGTGTTTGGAGGCAGCAGGGGGAGCATGTGAAGGAGGCACAGCAGCGGCGGCGGCGGCGGCGGCAGCAGCAGCAACAGCAGAAGTAGAAGTAGAAAAATACAACTTGAACAAGTTTGCTGCAATGTATGGTTGAATCAGCAGAGCAGGAGGCATACCAGGAGAGAGAGAAGGCCAGGGAGGCGAGCAGGCTCAAGGGGAGACACAGGCCCCACCGCTGCATACTGCTGCCTGCCCTCCCCTGCAACCCCTGTGCCTGCTGCTGCTGCTGCTGCTGCTGCTCCTCCCATCACCCCTGCACCTGGGGTGGCAGCAGCACCTGCTCCCCCCGCAGCGCCAGCACCAGCTGGAGTGGCAGCAGCAGCAGAAACAGCAGGGCCAGCGCTAGCGGGAGCGGCAGAGGCGGCGCCGGAAGGAGAGGGGGTGCGGAGGGAGTGGAGAGAGCGGGAGAAGAGCAGCGGGAGGAGGGCGGGGCGCCACTGGGAGGCCAACCAGAAGGCAAGGCACGACGTGAGCGCCTGCCGGATTGCCTGTAGCTCTATTGCCTCTGACTGGCAGGACCAATCGGAGATGGCCATGTGGAACGCCGGTCGAGTGCTGTAGGGCAAGATTGGAATGGGGTCGGGAGGAGCGGAGGAGGGGAGGGGGTGAAGGAGAGGCACGGCGTGGAGGGGGAAACATGTGAGGGGGTAACATGCGAGTCGAAAGGTTGTCCCATGAATGACAGGGGGCTTACAGGTTAAGAGGCAACATGTGCCTATAGAGAACTTCCTCGACATGAGTGCACCGTGCACCACTCCTAACCCTGATTCTAAACCCGCAACCCCTACCTCTGATCCCTTCTACCAGCTGCTATGTGTCGTGAAGAGGGCATGGGGGAGGGAGAAGAGAGGGGGAAGCACCTGAGCAGCAGGTAGAGGTCGAGCAGGGCGTGGAGTAGCTTGGTGCTGCGGAACTCACTCACTGTGGCCTGCTTGGAGAGGGAGAGAGGTGCGGGACAGATGGGCGGGACAGAGGAGCAGGGCAGCGGGACGGGGCAGAAGGGTGGGGCATAGGGGTGAGACAGAGGGGTGGGGCAGAGGGGTGAGACAGAGGGGTGGGCAGAGGGGAGGAATGCAGTTAGCGAGCGACCCATGCGAACATATCACCTCGGGAAGGTGTAGCTGTTGCAATCGCTCATCCTTCTCAAACCCCATACGATGCACAGCACATGCCCAAGCACACGCACGTGCACATGCAGTTGCAGCACACACACACACACCTGCAGGCGGGCTAGAATGGTGCGCAGCAGCAGCAGAGCGGGCAGCAGCAGGCGGCGTGTCTGTGCGTGCACTTGCAGCAGATCCATGTGCAGTCCTGGCGCACGTGACCATACTGCGTGCACTGATGCCCCCCATGCTGCTGCCTGCTGCGGCGCTGTTGACAGACGATTGGCATGAGATGGAGACATGGGGGAGGGACACAGATGAAGATATGAGTGCGTGGATAGGTAACCGGACGGCACGAGTATGTGCAGTGTGTGAGATGGAGAATGCAAGGCATGGGCAGTGCAAGGAAGGGTGGGGAGAAGCTACGCTACGGTGAACGTGCCACGAATGTGCGGATCACAGACGAGTTGACATTTAGAGTGTGAGGCATGGGGGTATCGCAAGGGAGGGCACTGACCGGGGATGGAGAAGGCGGAGTTGGCGAGGGAGAGAAGGGAGAGCAGCAGGTGGATGACCCCCTCGTTGAACATGTCCACTGCCATGTCCTGCTCTCCGTGCATTCCATTCCGTGCATTCCATTCCGTGCATTCCATTCCGTGCATTCCATTCCGTGCATTCCATTCCGTGCATTCCATCCCGTGCATTCCATTCCCCCATGCGCATACACATGCACACCGTTAGAAAGAGCCGGAACGAAACAAACAAGCAAGACGAGAGTGGAAGATTGGTAAGCACGAGTCGCATCAAAGAACTCATTTAGAGAACGCGGGTGATGACAAACCAGGTTTAACAAGTCCCCAGGCTGTCCCATTCCTCTGCCCCTGCACCACGCTACAAAGTAGCCCAGACCAGCATCTGTTTGAGCAACCACCGTGCACCAGCATTCACCTGCCACTCTCCCTACTGCGTGCTTCTTTGCTCACTCCCTACCGTGTGTCGTGACAGCAGAGCCAACAGCCTCACAGCCCCTGTCAGCTGCACCAACGGCGGCAGCAGTGTGCTCGACGCCATCCCCTCCCTCCCCTTCTCCTCCTCCTCCCCTCCCGCTCCACCCCCTCCTCCTTCCGCACCCCCCTCTCCTCCCCCTCCCCCCCCAGACCCCCCTCTCCCCCCCCCTCCCCGCGCACCACCACCGGTATCCCCAGCAGCAGCAACAGCAGCAGCAATGGTGCTGACAGCAGCAGCAGCATCGCCCTCTGCAAGCTCACCAGCCAGAGCCATAAGCCCCGGCAGTCCCTTCATGCCAAACACAGCACACCCCTCCAGCCAGTCTCTCGCCTCTTCAAACCCCAGGACTAGGTCAGCGGCACGCAGGCGCATGGAGGCTGCAGTTGCTGCTGCGTGTAAGGCTGCCCCGCCGTGGGCCACGGCTTGCCATGTGGAGAGCGAGGAGTCTCGGAGCAGCACGAGCAGCACGTGGCACGCGCGGCTGGACAGGATCGCGAGAGACGGCTCGAATGCTGCAGTGCGGGAGCGGAGGAAAGGGAAAAGGTCAGGAGAAAGGTGGAGTGGAAGGACTAGAAAGGGAAGGGCATGATGCAAAGAGAGTAAACACGAGAGAGGAGAGGAGTTTGTGAAAGAGCGCGTTCGACATGAATCAACCTGCAGACTGCAGGAGAAAGGTGGAGTAAAAGGACTAGAAAGGGAAGAGCGTGATGCAAAGAAAGCAAACATGAGAGAGGAGAGGAGTTTGTAAAAGAGCGCGTTCCACATGAATCAACCTGCAGACTGCAGTTGAGTGTGTGAGTGCAGGCAGTCACGGCTAGGATACAGCGTGGTGTGGCTAACCTTTAAAGGGCACGGCAGGGGTGGTGGCGGAGGGCAGGCCTCGTGACTGCAGTGGATGCTCTATGGCGAATATGGCCAGGTGTAGCACTTGCAGCAGCTGATGACAGGTGCAGCACACGAGGGGGGAAGGGAAGGGAAAGGGGTGAGGGAAAGCGAAAAACCGGGAGAGGCATGGGGTGAGTGGGTCGAAGCAAGGCATAGAAAGGTGAGTGGATGAGAGAAAGGGGAAGGTAGACTGCAAAAAGAGATATGAGGGATTCAGGGAGATGTTTCTGGCAGTGGGTTTCAGGCCCGTTTGCACACATGCAGGAGAAGGAGCGAGGTACGCAAAAGTCAACACGAACAGCAACCAACGCACCTCGGGCAGGGTAGCGACAGCAGCCAGTGCCTGGCGTGACACCTCATGCCTGTGCATGGTGGCGAGGGAGAGGAGCGGTGCCAGCAGTGCCTGCACCTGCGCTGCAGAGCGCAGAGGCACACGCGTGGCCGGGCCAAACACCCCCAGGGAGAGAGCAGATGCTGTTGATGCCACCCCCACTGCTGCCCCCGCTGCCACTGCTGCTGCTGCTGCCTGCTCCACTAGGGTTGCCTGTGGCGAAGCGGCCCGTGGGTGCCGTGTGCACGTGGTGGGGTTATTGGGGGGGGGGGGGGGGGGGGGGGAGTTTGAAGAGCGGAGGAAGGGGGAGCGGAGAAAGAAGGGGGGGGGGGGAGAAGGGAGGGTGATGACGAGAGGGAGGCAAGGGCATGAGAAAAGAGGGACGAAGAGAAGTGGAATGAAGAGGGAGGATGTAGCAGAGAGGAAAGAGAGGCGTTTTGAGGCTGGTGCCAAGAGGGGGGGACCCTATGGCAAAGGCATGGTGGAGGTCAAATGAGGAACAAGCAGCTTATGAGAGAAATATATCTGAGCAATCACGTGAAGCCACACTATTGATAAACAGCTGCTCCAAAGCTTAATTTCTCACTTTCGACTGGAGCTATCCACCACATGACACCAGGCTGTGCTGCAGCAGTGCCACCACTCGCTCTCTCCCACCAACACTGCTTCGCCACCTGCCCACTTACCGCTTTCAACACTTCGGTCATTGCAGCCGCCACGTCAGATGGTGACGTGGCGATGCCGAGCGAATCAAGAGCAAGCAAGTGGCGGCACGGCAGCAGTCGGCCTCCTGCCAGGCGCCACACTCCCTGGCCCTTCCCTCCCTGCACTCTCTTCGCCTGGCGGCGTCGGTGTATTTGGCGGGACGAGGCAGGTAAGTGTGCAGCGGCGGGAGCGTGCTGGAGAGCGGAGGCGAGGCGAGCAGTGGCGTGGGGCTGGGAGGCAAGAAAGAGCAGGCCTGCAGGGAAGAAGACGCAGTGATGCAGTGGTGGGGTGGATTTTTTTAAGTTGAGGGAAAAGGCATCAGGATTGTGACTTGATGAGGCGAGATCGGGGTGTTGTGAGCATGAGGACGACATGGGACAGAACGACACACATACATGTTTACTGCACAGCACAGGAACAGATAGAGTACCAAGCACAGGAAGAAATTCAAGACACGGACATGGGATAAAACACACACACACACACCGCCATGCAAAGACGTTAAACATGGGATGGGATGGGAAGACGGACGGACAGACCTTCACGGCAGTGCAGCAGCGGCAGCAGGATGGCGTGCAGTGGTGCCAGCAGCGCAGGGGCAGGCCATGGGGGCACGTGCACGGAGAGCAGCAATGGTGGACGGGCCACTTGAGGGGGGGAGGAGGAGGAGGGAGAGGTAGATGCAGCTGTGACGGCTGCTGCAAGGAGGTCCAAGAAGTGATAGCCCTGATGTGCGCACAGGAGAAGGGTAGCAGGGGATGGAAGGATGGAGGGTGCGAAGAGGGAGAGAGACACAGAGGGTAGCAGGGCGTGAGACGGGCAAGGGAAAGGTGCAGGTCACACGCAAGTGGTAGGGATGCGGTGACAACCGATGATGCAGACGCTATGGTGTGGTGCACATGTGACATGAAGTGTGCAATGTGGAAGCTGCGCAATCTGGACTCTTCTCTATACTCCCTGCACCCTGCACTCTGCAGCATGCAGCGAGCCTCACCTTGAGCACGGCCAAAGCATCTGCGTCCAGTCCCCCCAGCAGCTGCGCCAGCAGCGGCGACACAAACAGCGGCGGCGCGTTCGCGGGCGGCAGGGGCGGGCAGAGGGGGGACGCGAGCGGGCAGGAGAGGGTGGTGGGGCGGGAGAGCAGCAGCGGCAGGAGAGTCGTGGGCTTGATGGCTCGATGTGCTGTGGCGAGTGCGGAGGAGGGGGAGGAGGACGCGAGGCGTGCGAGGGAGGAGGCGATGAGCAGGTTGGTGCTGCTCGTGCTGCCCGCTCCAGATGTTGCTGTTGCCACTGCTGCTGGTGGCCGGATCAGGAGAGACTGGGCAGGGGGGGAGGGGGAAGCGGAGGAGGGGCGGGGAGGTGGTGGATGGAGGAGAAGGGGAGGCGAAGAAAGGAAGGGTTTGTACAGAAAGGGAGTGAGAGAGATGGAGGGGCAGGGGGTTGACTGAGAGGACATAGTAAGAGGAGGGGACATAGAATCCAGAACTGTGTTGGACATGACATGGTGGCAGGAGAGAGAAAGAGTGGGAGGGCGAGTAATATTAGCAGCAGCTGGAGAGAGCAAAGCATCAGCCAAGGCAAATCCTCCCAGCACAGCAGCACAGCCCAGTTCTCTCCTTTGCCTCTAAAACTGGACACCCACACACACCCTACACACACCCCTTCTCTCCTTCTCACAATCCCTCGTGTTCTCCTCTCCTGCACTTCACGTATCCCCTCCCCGTCAGTCCACACTCATGCCCACTCCACTCCCCACCTACCTGAGTCTCCTGCAGCAGATGAATCACAGTCGCCAACCCATCATCTGCACTCCCCCTCTCTTCCCCCTTGGCGCCTTCTACCTGCTCCACCACCCCCTCCCCGCCTTCCCCCGCTCCCCTCTCCCCCTCCGCCCCTTTGTCTCCCCCTGCCCCCACTGCAGCGCTCTTCAGTAGGAGTTGGGGGGTTGTGGGGGAGGGTATGCGGGTTGAGGAAGAGGCGTGCGGGTGAAGCAGCTGAGTCACGGAGCGCTGTGGTGTGGACGAGGAGGGAGAGGAGGGAGGGGAGGAATGAGTGGATTGCTGTGCTCATGATTGTGAATTTGAGAGGGTTGGGCATTGCAAGTAAGCACAGGAGGGATTGTGGGGAAGAGAAGAGGGTGTCGACAAATGTGGGGTGCAGTGGGGGGGGCCGTGGGGGAGAGAGAGGACAGCAGGGACTAGAAAAAGGCAGAGAGAGCAAAAGCAAGAGCAGCAGCAGCAGCAGCAGCAGCAGCAGTGAGGAGTATCACCTGTAGGCGCAGGCAGGCGTGGTGGCGGTGCAGCACGAGCAGCAGCTGCGTGGCCAGCACTCCCACTTGCAGCGGCGTGCGGCAGCGACTGGAATGAACCACAAACGCCAACACCTGCTCGTACCCACTGCTCCCTGCACCCTTCTCCTTGCCCCCGGCACTCTTCCCTGCTTCTGCTTTCCCCTCCCCACCCTGCTTGCCTTCCTTCCCTGTGCTCACTTGCTCCTCCTCAACCGCCTCCTCCTCCTCCTCCACCCCCTCTCCTTCCACCTCCATCGCACCCTCCCCCTTTTTCTCTGCTCCTCCATCCCCTTTCTTCTCTCCTTCATCCCCTTCCTTCTTGATCCCAATCACACCTTTCCCTTTCCGCCCTGCACTGCTGCCTTTCACTGTCGCGCCCTTCCCCGGAACCCTCGGGTCCGGCTGAAGCAGCAGCGCGCATGCGAAGGGGTGGCGGCAGCAGCAGAGCAGCGCGGAGAGAGCAAGGCAGGGGAGGGACGACGCTGCTGAGGAGGACAGGAAGGAGGAAGATGCGGAGGAGGGTGGGGGAGCTCGTAAGGAGGAGGAAGGTGGGGGGGAGCGGGGTTGTTGGAGGGCTGAGAGCAGTCCGTGCAGGCCGTTGCGACGGCAGAAGAGCAGGCAGTGGCGGGGGGAGAAGGCCACGAGGTGCACGAGTGTGAACGCTGCCTGTGTCTCCTCCACCTGCCCGCATGACGTGGGAACCCGCACACAGACACGGAGAGGACGGGAGGGAAGGCAGGCACAATGAGCAAAGGAATGAGGGGTGAACCAGGAGGGGGTAGGAGGTATGGAATGAGCATGGTTAGAGAGCGAGTGAGAATATGGACGAGACAGGGAAGCAGTAAGCAGTGGGTACGGAATAGGGAACAGGGAGCAGAGGGCAGGGAGCAGGGAGCAGGGAGCAGGGAGCAGGGAGGAGGGGGGTGCGTACGGATGGGAGGACTGTGGAGGCGCAGACAACGTGGTGCAGCCATGCAAGAGCCATGTCAACCTCCTGCACCACCAACGCCCACTCCTCCCTCTCCTCCTCCGCCCCACCGCTCCCCTCCTCCCCATCCCCATACCCTCCTTTCCGCACCCCCCCTCCCCCACCCTCCTTCCCCACTCTCCCCCCACCGCGCCTGCCTCTCCCAACCGTTCCCCACCCCTCTTCACTCTCCCCTACATCCACCGGCAGGAGGCCAAGCCCTGCGAGATGAGCAGCAGCAGAGGAGAGCAGGGGGAGCAGGGCATCGGCCGCAGCATGGCTGATAGCGGAGGATAGTCCGTGCCAGAGGCGCACTGATGCTCGTAGCACTGCCACTGCTCGCTTCCTCCCCTCCACTGCCTCCTCCACTGCTGCCGCCCGCCTCCCCACCACCACTAGTGCATCCTCCTCCTTTTCCTCTCCCCCCTCCTCCTCTTCCTCTTCCTTGCGCCTCCCTCTCCCGTTCCCCTTTTTGCCTTCCACCCGTGCCTTCTCCCCTCCACCTCCTCCTTCTTCCCCTCCTGTTGCCTCCTCTGCGCCTTCCCCGTCTGTCTCACCACGCTCCTCGTCCCCTGCCCGTCCCTCTTCGCGCCTCTCCCTCCCCCGCTTTCTCTTCTTCAAAACATTTGCTCCACTGGGATGCACTGCATCTACCACCATCGCATCATCCCAATCCCCGTCTCCCGCTCCCCTATCCACCACTTCCGCCCCTCCCCCCTCTCCCCTCTCCGCGCCCGCCAATCTAACACGTGCCGAGCCCCGACCCCCCGCCTGCTTCCCCTGTGATGAGCGCAAGGCGCGCGGCGGCAGGGAGCGCGAGGGCGGGGAGAGGGGGGTGCCGAAGAGGACGAGGGAGAGCGCGCAGTAGGAGCCTCGCAGCACTATGTGGTCTGTTAGTAGCGGCTGTGGGACGGTCGAGGGGGCATATTGGGAGGTACGGGGCGGACGGGTGCAGGGGAAAGGGCAGAGAGGGGAGGATAGAAACGAGTGAAGTGGGCAGGCGGGAAGGAAGCTGGGAGAGCGGCGGGAGGTGGGAAGGCATAGCGATGGAGCAGAGGATGGGGAACGGGGGCAGGGGAAATGGGGGGGAGGGAAGGGGGAGCAAGACTTGCGGAAAGTGCGAGAGCAAGACGAGGAGTGGGGGAAGAGAAGCAGAAGAAACGAATAGACGAAGGGAGGAGGAGAGGAGAGCGGGAAATGATGGCTGGGGGGTGAGGGAGAGAGTGGAGAGAAGGTGGCGAAATGGACAGGATACATTGGAGAAGGCATTGGAAACGGCATGGGTGAAGGCTTGGGTGTGCATGGTGCGTAGGGAGTGCTTGCCTGGATGTGCTTGATGGCAGTGGTGAGATTCTCCGTTGACCCCTGTGTGTGGTATATCACCCTGAACTCGCCCCCTGCACTGGGCCCACACATCCCCACGCCACCCGTGCCACCATCTTCCAACGCCCTAGCCCCCTCTCTCCTCGCATCTGCACCCCTTGCCACTGCTGCTGGTGCCGCTGGTGCTGGTGGTACTGCTGCATCGGCAGCATGTGGTGCGGCGGTGGGTGCGGAGGGGAGAATGTGCGCGTAGATGGCGAGATTGAATGGCTCTGATTGGGTCACTCTGAGGGTGGTAGGGGAAGAGGGGGGAGGGATTGAGGGGAGGAGGAGGGGGTGGGGGAGAGGGGGGACCAAAGAGAGATAGCCTTACAACATGGAATGGGCAAGGTAAGCGATGGGTGATGATAGGGTGATGTGACGAGTGGGCGACAACACGAGGAGAGGGTGAAAGCACCGAAACGAGCCTGCCATCGTGTTCAGCAGACGAAACGGGCGCGTGCAGGCAGCACGATGCACAAACACCCCCTGTCTGCAACACAGACACACACACACACCGAACGACGCATGGCCATGCAACCAAATGTGCGGTAACACACGGCGGGCACTAGGAGCGCGCCGTACCCTCTGAAGCGGCGGAGCAGCGGGGTGGGCGCGGGAGCATCTGGCGCGGGCAGGTGGAAGGCCTTGAGCAGCAACGGCGCGCGGAACCGCACCTGCGGAATGGGGAAGCGCAAGAGACGAGGAGAGGGGGAGGGGAGGGGGGAGGGAGGAGATGTGGGGAGCGGCCACGGGAGCGGTAGGGCGGGTGAGAGGAAAGGAGGATGAGAGAGGGAAGAGAGGGAACGAGGCGAAGAGCAAGGAACGGGAGGCGAAGAATATGGAAGATTCACGCGGTTCGCTGAGAAAGGTGTTTCATGCGTTGCGGAGCACGGCGTGGTCGTATTTGCGCGACCTAACAGCGGGGATACAGCGAAATTGCCGCCAGGTAGCCGTGCGGCAGAAACATAAACCAGCACCAGCGGCACCGACAAGCTCTTCCCTAACCGGTTAGCCGTCTCTGCGTGGTCGTCGCTAATCGCTGCCTGAAACTGGCTGAAACACTAATCGCTGAAACTGCTCGCTTCAGGACTTGGCAGTAGTCCGTTCGCTAAAGCTTATGCTGCGGGGTGAAGCGCGCCGAGCCCACCTCGTCCACGTTGTCGGGCGACGGCCGGTGGTGAAAGGAGTCGAAGAACACCACGTCCATGGCCGGCACCGCGCAGCACCGCACTCCGCCGGACTGCACGCCAGCGACCGCCGCGACGTCTCGACGCGACGCTGTCCACCTTATCGCAGTGCGACGATCGCTTACGATGGGCCTACCGGATGGTTCTGTCGCATGGATCGCATGCGCTTCGATGCCAGAGATCTATCGGTTTATCACTAGAACCCATCGCGGGATACTAAGCAGCCCATTGTTTGATTGAAAACGATCGAGCTGAAAGCAGAGGAAACGCAGGAGAGACGTGCCGAAATCGTTATGGCGACGTCGAATGGCCTCTCTGGGCACATCGGCTAGGCAGCGAGGCAGTGAGATAGCGAGACGGCGAGAGAGCGAGACCGCAACGCAAGAGGGAGAGGAGCTGCTAGGTGCTTCTTGGTTGAACCCCGCTGTTTTGTTACGACCTTGAAAAGGTTTACGTGTTTGCTTGGGTGTAGACAAGAATTACAGCAACTAAGTTACAGATATACGCGGGTAACACTCAAAAACGAGCAAAACTGCCTGCTTGCGAATCGCCTGTTGCGACACTTGAAATCGCTAAAACTCGTGGATGTCTGGCGCTTTCCACCCAACCACCACGCAAACCACTACCAGCAGCAGCTGCTGCAGTGTAGCCTCTTACTTCTAGCTCAGCACTTCTTATCCAAGCTTGCTCGATTGCATCAGCTTTTAGGGTTGTCACCTGCGCGTGGTCTCGACTCATTCTCCCCTCACTCTCATGCGCTTCGCGCCTCGGCGTCAGCACTCGTGCGTTCCGGCATTTCCGAACAGCTGCAAAAGCTACCGCTTTTTCTCACGATTCGCTGATCAGGAATAGTCTTGCATTATAATAAAATAGGCACCTTTTTTCTGTTTTATTTTAACTAATACTTAAACGAGGTAACGCGAGCTTCTGAGAACCCTAGCGCCACCTCCGCTTCAGTTTCGTTGCGACATTCGCATAGTCCTTGCCGGAACCGACCGAGCGCGTCCGAAGCCGTAGCATCTGCACCTCGTTAGTAAAGGCAGGTACCGCATTGCACCGCACTGCGCCGCGCTTCAAATGGCGGCGTCAGTACGCCACGCGTTACTGGTAGTCCTAATCGCCGTCATTATCGCTGCGGCCGCCGAGACATGGCCGGTTATGGCGGAAAGCACCGCCGCCGCGCCTGGTGATGCTGCCGCCTCACCTGACGTCGCAGCTGCCGCTGCACCTGCCGCTGATGCAGCAACCGAGTCGGCCCCTTCAGCGAGCACAACAAGCGCCGGTGACAGCAGCAGCGGGACCGGCGGGACGGATAGCAGCGGGACGGGCAACATCGGGAGCAGCGGGACCAGCGGCACGGCGACGAGCACTAGCTTTGCACCGTCATTTAACGAGACTTCCACGGCATCGGAGGGCTCGTACTCTCTAGGTCAGCTGCTCCGCGTGCCCGTACCCACCCATCCTAGGGGTTACCTCACCCACCCATCCACCCACCCGCCCGCCCACGCCTCTTGCTAGTGTGTTAGAGGTCGTCGCAGCAGCGATCGCGTTTAACTGCTCTAGGTTGCATGATTGCTGGTTCTTAGGACCCCTTGTGCCTCTCGTCGTCCCGTACCTTCCCGCGCCCGCGCCCACGCTCACACCCCCTCCCGTGGTCGTGGCGCGGTGTGTGCGCAGATGCGGCGCGGTGGGTGTGGCCCACGGCGAACGACCCCAACGCGGAGAACCTGATCCACTCCATCCTCTCCAGGTGCGCGCCGAGCCCCGCCGCCCCGCGCGGGGACGGGGAGGGGAGGGGAGGAGGGATGCGGGGAGGGAACGATATGAAATGGGAGGAAAGGAGGGAACAAACAATGGAGTAGTGGAAGGGAAGGAAGGATAGGAAATGCGAGATATCGTTCGTCCTGTCTGCGTTTTCCGGTGTTTCATGGCACGCCATTGCCGCTGTCCCAGTGACATGTCTGTTATCATGTCCCTGCCACCACAACAACCCTCAACTCTCCACCTCAAAGTCCCTCAAATCCCCACTTCTCCTTCCCCTCTCCTCTCTTCTCTCCCGTCTCCCCTCTCCCTTTCCCCCCGCGGCCCCCCTTTGCGCGCGCGCGCGCAGCTGGTGCGGGGAGACGTACGTGGACGCGGTGAAGGACGCGTCGACGCGTGCGGGGCAGTTCGACCGCCTGCGCAGCGAGCGCGACCAGCGCTACGCGGAGTGGCTGCGCTGCAACCAGGAGCGCAGCATCCGCGAGCGAGTGAGTGCGCGGAAAGGGCGGATCATATCCATGCCTCAGCTCCATTCAACTTCCACCCTCCCTCCCCCACAATCCCCCGCCTGCTCGTTCTCCTCCGTGCGCTGCCCTTGCGCGTGCTTCCCCCTCTCTCTCCCTCCCCCTCTTCCTTTCCGCCCCTTTTCCCCTCTCGTCCAGCACCTTGATATGGAGCGCGACCGCGAGGACTGTTGAGACGCCTTTCAAAACCCCTTTGCGTCGTTCAAGTCGCCTGTCTCCCACCTCTCCCCCTTCGCCGTTCCGCCCCTCCGCCCCTCCCCTTTTCCGTTCCGCCTTCCCCGCCCCCCCAAGAGCTGGAGATGGAGTGCGAGAAACTGTTGCGGCACCTTCCATAACTCTTTCACAGCGTTTAAAACTCCTATCCCACCTCTCCCCCGCCTTCTCCCACCCCTTCCAGGAGCTGGAGATGGAGTGCGAGCGCGAGCGGCAGGTGGTGGCGAGCGCGTTCGACCGCGAGCGCGTGGGCATCCGCGCGGACTGTGACACTGACGCCAATGCCATCCGCGCCGAGCTCGAGCACTGCGAGATCCGGGTGAGAGAAGGGGGGGGGAGGGGGGAAGGGGAGGGGGGGGGGAAGGGGGAAGGGGGAAGGGGAGTGGGGGGGAAGGAGGTGGGGTAAGGAGCGGGGAGAAGGAGGGAGGAGGAGGAGGGGAAAAAAGGGAGCCGAAATGGGGGAAAGGGATAGAAATTGGAGGAGCAAGTTTGAGGTTACAAGGCAGGCTTCCACTCTATACGTCTGCAGCACTGCCTTTCTCCCTCGCGCTCTCCTTTCTCCTCTCCTCTCATCTCATTCCATCCGCACCGGTTCCTTCCCCCCTGCAATCGCTCCACATCCTCCACCCCCTCCTCCCCCTCCGCTCCGCCCACCCGTTCTCCCCTTTTCTCTCCCCTTTTTCTCTCCCCCCTTTATCTCCCCTCTCTCCCCCCTCCAACTGAAGAAGAAAAGCGCGGGCAGCTGTCAGAAGGGCATGGCAGCGGAGCGGTCGGCCGTCCGATTCCTTCCCCCCTGCTAATGCCCCAATCCTCCCCCTCCTCCTCCCCTCCCGCCCCGCCCACCCGCCCCTTCCCCCCCCCCCCCTCCTTCCCCCCCCGCAGCTGAAGAAGAAGGGAGCGGGCAGCTGTCAGAAGGACGTGGCGGCGGAGCGGTCGGCGTGCGAGCAGGCGAAGCGGGGGCTGCAGGAGGAGCTGGAGGCGTGCGAGGCGACGGGGCGCGTGGCGAACGTGAGCCGCGTGGTGGCGCTGGAGCAGGCCGCCGTGCACGCGGGAGAGGAGCGCGTGGCGTGGACGGCCGAGAGGAAGACTCTCGTTACCGAGGTGCACGAGTGCAGGTGTGTGTGTCTGTCTGGGGGCGCTCAGGGGCGCGACTGGGGGCGACTGCGGGGGTTTGGACTCTGGGGTTGACTGGGGAGTAATGGGGAGCGATTGGGAGCCGTGGGGGGTGTTGGGGGGGTCGTTGGGGGGACAGGGTTGCACTTGGGGACGTTGGGGGCCGCTCAGAGGCGTTAGGGGAGAATGCGCTCGGGCCCACCCACTGGGGATGAGCGGGATTACTGCTAGCTTAGATGCTCATACACTTGTCACTCTGCTTTGCCCCCCCCCTTTCAGCCCCTCCCCATGCCTCTCCCTCCCATTGCAACCTTCTTCTTCACGCCTTACCTTTCCCGTCACAACCTCGCCCCTTGCCACTCCCGTTTGCTCCCTCAACCCCTCACCTTCGCTCTCACCCTCTCGCCCTGTCATGTCACCCCATGCACCCCCACTTCTCCCCATCGCGCGCAGGCCGGCGCAGGTGAGGGCGCAGAGGCGGCTGAACGAGGTGTTGACGGACGGCAAGGTGCAGTCGCTGGAGAAGAAGGTGACGCTGCTGCAGACCGTCATGCTCTCGCTCTTCCTCGTGCTCGGCCTCACTGGCGGCGGCATCACCGTGCTCTTCATGCGCGGTGCGTTCCCTGCGAGGGTGGGGGGAAGGGGAGAAGGAGAGGCAGAGGGGATGCTATAGGGGAGTGAGTGTGGGGAAGAGAGAGAACGTGCGTGGGGGAAAGAACGTCCTCTTTCCCCCCTAACCCCTACTCCCCTTCTCACGCCAACCCTCTCTCCCTCCCACCCGTCACCACCTCACCCCCCATCCCCAAAGCGCAGAGAAGCCGGGCGGGGTGGAGGGCGGGTACGGGTGGATACCGGTGATGGCGCCGGCGCGGCTGCGGCTGGTGGACGCGGAGGGCGCCAAGGAGCTGCTCGTGGACGCCTTTGAGGGGGGGAAAGGGTCCCGCCTCGCCATTGTTCTCGCCACTGACGTCGACTTCGGCCGCGAGCGTGAGCTGGGGGAGTGGGGGGTGGCAGGAGGACAGAGTGAGCTGGCAGAGGGGGGAGGTAGAGAGCGTGTGCGGGTTTTTGTTTTCTTCTTAAGGGTGGGGAGGTTGGAGAGGAAGAGATTCTCTGAAGGCAGAGAGTGTGTGCTGGGGGGGAGCTTCAGGGCCGAGAAGCAGTGTGTGCATGGAGAAAGGATAGTAGCACAGGACGCCGTAGGTAAAAGCTCAAATAATTACACTCACAAGTGTGGCCGTTTCCCCTGCCATCCCATACCCATCTATCCGTGTCCGCTCTTGCACTTATTCTGATTACCCCTGCGCTGGGGCGTGCAGGAGGTGACGACCCCCCACGGTGTATCTACTGGTGCCCATCAACATCACCAGCTCGCGCCGTCACGTGTTGCTGCTGTTTCCCCTACCATCCCAATCATCTGTTTCACCGCTTGCACCGTATCTTACCCTGTGTGGCATGCATGCAGGAGGAGACGACCCCCCCACGGTGTACCTGCTGGTGCCCATCAACATCACCAGCTCGCGCCGCTTCTCTCTCTTCAACCAGGGCGGTGACTACACGCACCACGTGGAGCGCGCTCAGGAGATAGGTGCGCACTCACAGCAGGCATGCACTCCCTACCCCAATCTCCTATCTCCAAGGCACCACCATTCCCTTTGCTTCTCCGCATCTGTCTCACACCCCCTTGTGCCTATCAACCTGCACCCCAGTCCCTATTGCCTGCGCCAGTCAACCTGTTTCTCTCCCCTCCCCCTCCTTCCACATCCTTCCTTTCTCCTACCTCCTCCCTCCTCCCTCCTCCCTCTTCCCTCCCTCCCTCCTCACTCCTCTCCTCGCCCTCGCCCTCGCCCGCTCGCTCTCTCCCTCGTTGGCAGTGAACCGGCAGGCACCGAATGCGCGGCTGGTGGTGGTGCTGTACGAGGCGGGAGGGTGTGTGTTCACAGAGGCCACGCTGCAGAGCCTCAGACTCACCGCTGACAAGGTGCGCTCAGACTCACATGCCAAAAGAAGGTTGTGCTGGGTGCCGCTGTGGGCTGCTGGGTGCCGCTGGGTGCTGGTGTGTTCATGCAGTGCTGCTCCTTGTAAGCTGCTACTGCTGGCCATGGTGCAATCAAGCATATTGTTGTCTAGCCACCGCTGCTGCATTCTCTCTGTATCTTTCCTTCCCCACAAGGCTGTGTCATGGCCTCATGGCCGCGTGGCCTCATGCTGCTACAACCACACCACCATGCAAGCCACTCATGCGCACTCTCCTACTCATGCGCACTCTCCTACTCATGCGCACTCTCCTACTCATGCGCACTCTCCTACTCATGCGCACTCTCCTACTCATGCGCACTCTCCTACTCATGCGCACTCTCCTACTCATGCGCACTCTCCTCCTCATGCGCACTCTCCTACTCATGCGCACTCTCCTACTCATGCGCACTCTCCTCCTCATGCGCACTCTCCTACTCATGCGCACTCTCCTACTCATGCGCACTCTCCTACTCATGCGCACTCTCCTACTCATGCGCACTCTCCTCCTCATGCGCACTCTCCTACTCATGCGCACTCTCCTACTCATGCGCACTCTCCTACTCATGCGCACTCTCCTACTCATGCGCACTCTCCTACTCATGCGCACTCTCCTACTCATGCGCACTCTCCTACTCATGCGCACTCTCCTACTCATGCGCACTCTCCTACTCATGCGCACTCTCCTACTCATGCGCACTCTCCTACTCATGCGCACTCTCCTACTCATGCGCACTCTCCTACTCATGCGCACTCTCCTACTCATGCGCACTCTCCTACTCATGCGCACTCTCCTCCTCATGCGCACTCTCCTACTCATGCGCACTCTCCTACTCATGCGCACTCTCCTACTCATGCGCACTCTCCTCCTCATGCGCACTCTCCTACTCATGCGCACTCTCCTACTCATGCGCACTCTCCTACTCATGCGCACTCTCCTACTCATGCGCACTCTCCTCCTCATGCTCGCCCGTTCCTCCCTCCCCCCTCCCCCTCTCCCTGCCCCCGCCACCACAGATAGCGTTTGAGGCGGTGCCCACGGATGCGGAGTTCCCCACAAGCGACCACCTGGTGCTGCTCTGGCTCGACAAGCACGAGGGGCTGCGCGCATCAGACAGCGCGCAGGAGTCCGATCTAACGGCTGACATCAAGTCGCAGCCGTGGGCGCAGTACCTGCTCATGCGCTCGGGCCGCTGGGGTCAGGTGCACGCCCAATTGTGAGTGCAACTGCGCAACCCTTTGCGGTGCTGGTCTGACGTTTGTGCATGGACTTGGGAGTTGGGGTTTTAAGGGTTTGGTTTGGATGTTTCTGCGTCTTAGCATGCTCATCCGCTGTGTCCCATGCACCACATGCACCCCTGCAACTGCCTCTTCCCATATCAACATCCGTCTTCACCACCCCCACTACCTTCTTTTTCGCCCCCCACCTGCTTGTGTTGTGCACAGCATGTAACTTGGGCTGCTGCTGAATCAGCTGTGCTGCTGCTAGGTTTCCTGACCAACCACATGGAGTTCCTTCTCGTTCATTCTATCCATATTCTTCATTGTTGTCTCTCCCTGGTAGTACTGTACCTCTCACCGCCACACCTCCCTTCTCTAGATCCTAGGCCAGATACGGTACGGTTTGCATTGCAGCTCGGTATGTGTAACTGCTAGGCAATGATCCAGTCAGTCAGTACCTCGTAAAAAAATGTTACTTATTCAACCCAGAACACAATTAGTGGTTGCTAGCTAGGGAATGCCTCTCCAGAAAGTGTCATCCTCTCAGCACCTTGCCCTTGCTGATCCCAGGGTTGTTAGTTACTACCGTACCTGACTTGCACGGACTACTGCCCTGCCCACCTATGAACACCTGGTGGAGGCATGCACACAGGACACAGAGGAAGTGCCGCCACAACACAAGTCATGGACACACCATTTTAACTGCATTTTCCATCATGTCTTCATTTCTTCCAATACATGCTACTTTCTGACAGTAGTGGTGTACAATATGCACTACAGACACAAACCTAGAAGGCACCCTCATATGTCCGCTGAAGAATACTACTGCTGTAGTATAATTTCATAATTGCCAGACATTTCTACACACTGCCTAGAGAAGTATTGTTACAATAGTGTTCAAACAGCATTACAATCATATGATATCCAACATTTGAGAGTACACTCCACTAAAGTTGATTGTGTCTAATCCTATCAACCACATGTCTACTCTGAAGACTACTTCCAGACAGGTAGTCAAGCAAGCCAGAGGACTGGCAACAGTGGCAGCATGCCATACCATCCATGCCCACCCCGGCATGGACTGGCAGTGCACTGCACAGGCAGAGAAGAAGGCTGAGCCTTGAGCATTGCCAGGACCAAGACGTGCGGGTGCCCTACTAGGGACTGGCTCTGTTCACCCCCGCCCACACCACATGACATCACTGCTGGCCAGACAGTTTTGTCACGTGGCGTGGGAGGAGGGGGACAGAACCAGTCCGGTTTGGCCCGGAATCGAGTCCCCAGCCAATGCTCAAGGCTTCAACCCCTCTCATGCACTGGCGAGGCCACCACTGAGACTGCCATCCTTGCTGCCAATGAAGGCACCTGCAGGCAGAGAAAACCAAGAAAGCCGCATATTAATACAGGCTCTTAGAAAAAAGGAAGAAGCAAATCAGCACAAAAAAAATCAGGAGCTGGCTACTGCAAAAACAAACCATGTGCATAAAAATTGGAGCTCGGAGGTAAGGGCTGGAACTTATCTGAGGTTAAGGAGCTTGGAGTGTGGAGTGCAGCGCAAGGTCTTGGGGGTCCATGGGCGTGCAGAGGGCGCTTGGAGAACCTGCCATGAGGCGGAAAAAAGAAAACAAAGTCAGTGAATGGGGAATTGAAGCTCAACTTGATAAAAAACCATAAGGCCAGCAAGGGTGAAAGCAAAACGGGTAAGCAGTGGAGTAATACGATAAAGCAAGGGAAATGGCTGGGGTTGACAACTTATCTCGCCATGGTTGAGTGTTGAGGCGCGTGTGCAGGCCATGGTGCTTGCATGGATCTTGGGCTTGCTGGAGTGTGGAGCGGTGTGCAAGGTCTTGGGGGTCCATGGCGTGTAGATGGCGCTTGGAGAACCTGCCATGAGGAGAAATAAAACAAATTAGTGAATCAGGAGTTGAAGAGAAACAACTTGAAAAAAAAGGGAATCAGGAATCAGCAAGCTTGAAGTTAGCAGTGGAGGAGCATTGGAGCGAGAAAGCAAGGGAAAAAAGGCTGGGATTGGTTACTTATCTTGCCATAGTTAAGCCTTGAACGCTTCAGCAGCCCATGGTGCTCCCATGGAACTTGGGCATGATGAAATCCGTTGATGAAGCAACCTGCCAAGTAGAGTGAGGAAATCCGAGTTAGAAAGGCCAGTCAATAAAGGTAAAGGTACCAACATGCAGGAAGTTATTAAAACGAAGAAGAGGAAAACGAGACTTACTGCTGGTGGAGAGAGAGCTGGCACCTGCCATGGTACGTTCACCCCGCCTTGGAGCTTGGCAGTGCGGTGCTCCGCTGAGCACCTCTGGACCTTGGCACAAGGCCTTGAATAGAACCTGCACATAGATCAAAGGAACTAGATCAGTGAACAGAAGTGAACTAAGCATGAATCAAGCGTTGAAATTGAGCCGGGTACCAACTGAAAAACCTTAAGGGGACCTTTACCTAACCTCAACCTGTACCAGGGGGGTGGTTCTATGGACTGTGAAACGTGTGAAAAGGCTGAAACTGAAAACTTATCTTGCCATGGTTGTTGAGCCTTGAAGTGCTTCAGCAGGCCATGATTGTCCCATGGATCTTGGGCATGCTGAAACCCCTTGGTAAAGCAACCTGCCAAGTAAAGACACGGAAAACGAAGTTAGAAAAGTCAACAGACGAAAACGTTCAAACATGCAGCAATTGATTAAGAAAAAATACTGAAACGAGACTTACTGCTGGTGGAGAGAGAGAAGGCACGTTCACCCTGCCTTGGAGCTTGGCAGTGCGGTGCTCCTCTGAGCACAATTGGAGCGTGGCACAAGGGCCTTGAATATAACCTGCAAGGAGATCAAAGAAACGAGATTAGTAAACAGCAGAGAATAGATCATGCAAAAAACGGACGGTGCTGCAAGTGTGGTGCAAGTGTGCACTGCCTACGGAGCCAATACCAATAAAAAAAAAACCTTAGGGGGACCTTTACCAACCTGGACCTTTAACCAACCTCAACCTTTACCATCACCTCGACCTGAACCAAGGGGGGTGGCTCCGAGGAGTGTGGAGTGGGTGGTTGATACGTTCAACCTTCACCGCCCTGGAGCTGCTCCTCTGTTGTACAAAGCATGGAAGGCCGCCAAACGGTGTTGCTCCTCTGAAGTCATCGCAGTAGACCCTCAGATAGAACCTGCAGGTTTGACAATAGACAAGAATTAGTAAAGGTCGAGCCTTAGAACATGCAAAACGAGAAGAAGCGTGGAAAAAACAGTACCAACCGAAAAACCTTCAGGGGAACCTGTACCAACCTCAACCTGTACCTAACCTTAACCAAGGGGGGACTCTGTGAAGTGTGAAGGTGGGGTTGATACGTTCAACCTTCACCTGCCCTGGAGCTGCTCCTCTGTAGTCCGCAATGAAGAATGGAGATCCACGAAAGCCGTTGCTCCTCTAAAAGCTTCGGAAGTACGCCTAGCAGCCTCCATTAGCACCTGCAAGTATAATAAATAACATGAAGTCAGTAAACGGAAGTGAAGAAAGCTAAAGGAAATGAAGACTGTAAACGTGAAAGAAACACGTGCTGCCCCACCACAGAGCCAGTACCAACCAAAAACCTTGGGAACCTTTACCGCACCTGTACCGCACCTGTACCGAACCTGTACCAAACCTTCACCAGGGAGGAGGCTCTGTGGTGACTGGTGGTTCAACCTTCACCGAAACAAGGCGGGGATATCGATGTCGCTTCAGCCACGTCGTAGCTGGCGTCGCGACGAGGTCGAGGAAAAAACGCAGATCGACGCAGCTTCGCTACGTTGCAGAACTCCCACGGACAAGGTAATGAAGCTCCACGATCCGACCATACAATCCCGGCCAGGCTGAACGGCGTCGACGTGAGAAGATGGTGAAGGGTCGAAACTGGTAGCGCGATCGAAAGCCAAGCTCGATTAGGAAAAGTGCCAGGAAGGCTACGGAAACTAACTGAAAATCACGAGAAAACGAGCCGGAATACGAAGAGAGACTGAAGATGCGTGGAATGTCTAGTATCGGGCCATTGGGATGCGCTATTCGGTGAAATCAGTCCGCGGTTGGAATTCCCGCTTTGCTGGCTTCGAAGGTGGTCCCAAACATGCCTACGTGGACTAAGGTGGATCATAAAGATTCGCCGACAACATGAAGATCAGCTCTGATTGGACCGCCAAATGAGCCACAACGTCTGATTGGACCGCCAAATGAGCACCAACGTCTGATTGGACCGCCAACGAAAACACTATCCAACCAGAATGTCCTCAATTTGGGACACGCATGCTTTTTCAACAGCCAGAAAAAAACGCGGGTATACACACGAATTTAGAAGATCTAGTGACGTGGCCTGTAAAACTTCCGCTCATTCAACCGCCGCGATCCGTATTCCGAAGCGTGCTGCTAAATTGAGCCGCTCTAGTACTTAGGAGGCGGCTGGCAGACGAGTTGGGAGGGAAGTCGAGATCTGTCTGGGTTGGGTCTGACACAAGCAGCCGTAGAGAGGAGCGACGGAGGAGGTGTGAAATCATCATTTGCCAGAAGGAGAAGCTGGGGTTGTGGCATAGCGAATTGGCGAGCTCACAGGTAACTTGTGCTGTCAGCCGTTCCTCAGTGGCATTCAGAAACTGAGTTTTCGCCAAACAGTGTTGCACCCAGAATAATAGAGTGAGTGGCGACATGGTTCGCGAAAGCATTTCGTGCATTGCGGGGAACGCGCCGTACTTGTCATTCTGTGATTGTGCAGGTGGGATGGGAACATGGAGGGATGTCGGATGCCTGACGGAGGGTCCAATCTGGTTGAACACGGTTCAAAATGTTTTACTGGGTTGCAGTGCACTGGGAAGTCGATCGTGACATCCCCCCGAATTTGACCGCGGATGAGTCAGTGCGGTTCAGACAGTGTTTACGAGGTAGAGAACGTTATGTTGCCGTGAATTTCTGGATCACTAACACTGAATTTCTCTCATCTTGCAGTAACGCTTCTAATCGTGTTGCGAGGGCGCTTATGCAGAAGAACTGTTGCGAATTCCAGTGTCAGATGGGATCCACAAACTCTAAGGGAAACCGAGCCGCTGCGGCACTTTCAATGGCTTCAGGAATCAGGCAAGAGGTCGATGCACTCTCAATGGTTCGCCCTCTCCCCTTCCAACAGGACAGACTCAATATCTAGGGAACTACCTGTTTCGATTGCCATCGAGAATGCACTATCGTCATTCAAACTATCGATTATTCGAGATGGGTCTCACGCTGGTTCCAGTACACAATGGCTCACACGAATTATGCATTGAAACCCTTGGAACCACTTTCACACTCTCACGCGCAGACCTCCGAAAACCTCTCCGACTTGTGCCCTTCCCGGTCTACGACGAGCCTCCATCTTCACTCTTCCCGCATCCTAGTGTAGGCGTGAAAGTTCCTGGAAGTAGAGTGACACATCTCCTACGAGAGTTACGGCGGCTTGGAGCAGGATCACAGCTTGTTATATCAGCGCAACGAAGCCAAGATACGAATCGAGATCTGACTGAAACGGAATCTCTAATACCGGAATCCAGACCTAGATTCATCGCGTCGCGACGCAGCGGCAATGCTGGGCGTGGGCGAGGTCGTGTGGGTGAAGTACCGTGGCATGGGTGCCGTCTGGCCGTCGCAGATCGTGTCGCGCGACGATCTGGCTGCGGCCGAGCGACGGCGGCGACGAGACGACGACCACGTACCCGTGCGACTCCTCGGAGGCGAGGTATGCTGCGAATCGTGGCCTCCCGAATTGCCGTGAACAGTTTGCTCGTTGGAGACAAGTAGCGATCGCAGTGCGATGTGTCATCATGGCGATCCCAGAAACTAGTTTTGGCGAAAGGGTCAGAGTGCACGGGTCAACCGTTCGATGCATGCCTTGAATATTCCGCGGAGTAAGCTTATCAGTCCAGCAGAAAGGCGTACAGTGTAGGAGGAACCGTTAAGCGCGGGTTTCCAGTGAACTAGCGTGAGCACATGACGAACGATGCCGTTTATGTTTTCTCATTCTCCTTATCTCCCCCTCTCTCTTTACTCTCTCGCTCCACTTGCTCTGCGGTGTGGCAGTGTGAGATGACGGCGTGGGTTAGTCCGAGCGCCATCTTTATGTGGACCAACGCGAACACCGCCAAGTTCAGCCAGCAGACGCGATGCCCCAAGGTACGCACGCGATTTGATCGATCTGACGCAATTTGATGCGACCTCTCGCGATCTGACGCGATCTCCTGAGAGACTGGTGCGATGCTTCAGATGTACACCATGCGCGTATGGATAGACGCGGTTCATGTGACTGACGACGGGCGGAGACTTCAAAACAAAATTCGCTTTAGACGTCTCGCGCTTCTCATGTGCCTTTACTGAGACGAAACTGCATACCGCAACACCTGCTGCACTCATGCGTGGTCACTCACGCCCTCGTACCCTTGTCGTTGTGTTCTTCCCCCTCTCGTGCGCTCAGAAAAAACTCCAAGATTTCAAGGCAGCGTTAGAAGGAGCACAGGAGATTCACAGCAGGACCAAGGGGAAGTCGGCTAGGTGCACTGGAGCAGGAGGGCTAGCTGCTAACGCCTCAGCACCTGTAAGCAACCCATGGGTTGAGGTCCTGTTCTCCCAGCTCTCATCACATCTGGTTTGATGTAACTGCTGTGCGTCTCAAAATCCAGTTCCGTAGCATCAACTTGAAGCGTTTCGCTGGAGATAATCTCGCTTTCTGCCTTCTGTCTTGTTGTATGCGGCGCGGGTTGCTCATGGACTGACTGACTGACTGATTGATCGTGCGTGCACCTCCCCCACTCAGCAGAAGCAGCAGCAGGGCGACGGTTCGAGTGCGCAGCAGCCGGTGCACCTATCACAGGAGATACATGACGAGGAGGGCTTCTGTGTGCACTGCCGCGTGCATGACTACACTCGCAGCTTTGGCCCCAGGTACGCGCTATCACGTATCAACTGCCTGGGCTCTCTCATTTGTTCCCCACTGTTTATTTCGCTGAGAAACGTTTTCTGTGAATAGTCTCTCTGCTTTCAGTTCAACGCAGCTCAGGATTCGCTGTTCCTCTCTGTCCCCTCTGCGCTCCCTTGCCTCCCTCCTCCCTCTTTGCATCCTTGTGTGTGTGCGCGCGTGCGCATGTGCGCGCGTGTGCGTGTGTGCGCGCGTGTGCGTGTGTGCGCGCATGTGCGTGTGTGCGCGCATGTGCGTGTGTGCTTGCGTGTGCGTGTGTGTGCACGTTTCTGTGCTCGCTTTTGTGGATCCACCTCACAGGTGCATCCTCATCTGTTCATGCTGTTGCGAAGAATGGCATGTGAGGTAAACTCCCCTCACTCACATCCCTCCCTGTTTGTACCTCCCACTTAGCAATCTCATGTCCTCCAGATTGCGTAGCACTTTCTCCACTCCACTTATCACGATAACCCTGCCTCACCATTGCTCCCACTTCCCTCTCCATCTACTGGTCTGTCTTCCTGCTATGCATTCCGTTCTTTCCCTCCCATTTCACCACCACTGTTTCTTCTCGCATTCCCCACATCCCCTCCTCATCATGCCTCACACCCCTTCCACCACCCATCCGAACACTACCAACGCCCATCCATCCACCCACTCCCCATTCCCCATCCACTCATTCCCCCATCCCCATATCCCCATACGCCATGCATCCTCAGCTGTGCGGAGGAGGTGCAGGGAGTGAAGATGCACGCTTCAGTGCTCGACAGCGATGTGGAATGGCATTGCTCCCCCTCCTGCGCTAAGGTGAGCCACAACCACACTCGTATTTTGAGGCGTTTCAAAACTCAGAGGGAGGTGGAGGGAGTGACGGTGCACACCTCAGTGCTCAACAACGATGTTGAATGGCACTGATCCACCTCCTGCGCCAAGGCAAACCACAACCACACAGAGATGCTGCCATGCTGCCTGCCTAGTTCTGCTCCTGTGACCTATGCCGTGCTGTACTGTACCGTGCCGTGCCATGCTGTGCCGTGCCATGCTCGACCGTGCCATACCATGCCGTACCGTGCTGCACTGTGCCGTGCAGGTGGCGGCGGAGCTGAAGGGCATGGAGGGCAAGAGAGTGGAGATCCCGGATGACACTCCCTTCTCCATTGAGCTCGCCCGATACAATGAGAGCGACCGAGGTGATTCGCACAAGGGACAAGGGGTGTGCAGGGGTGCGGGTGGGTGGGAGGAGTGGGGGTAAATGGAAGGTGGGGGGGGTCAGGGACTCGGGGTGGGGTTTGGCTCAGGCGTTGGGAGTGGTTTTGAGGAAGTGGGGATGGAAGGCAGGGAAAGTCAGCTGTTACATTGAGTGTGCTCACCACATTGTTGCTCATTGCACCACTCGCCTTGCCCCACCACTCGCCTTGTCTCACTCGCCTCTCCTCGTTATGCCACTAGCTTACGCTCTTCCACCACTTCTCTCTCCATCCTCCCCACCCTCCATTTCCAGGCTCCCGTCAATCCATAGCAGCAGCACTCAAGGTACGCATTTCCCTGCCCTCCCTCCGCCTTCCCTCCCTCCCTCCCTCTCCCCCTCTCCCATTCCCTCCCTCTCTTCACCCCCCACAACCTCTCTCCGTTCATCTTCCGTTTCCCATCCCCTGTTTCCCTCCTGCCACTGTTCTGTCACCGTACTCAACCCCATCCAAATCCTCCTCGTCTGACAACACCTACCACCACCCATTCTCCCCTCCCCGAACCCCTCCATCTGCCCTGCTGCGCGCCCCCTCAGATCCTGCAGGCATCGTTTGACCCTCTAGTCATGGACGATGGGTCGGAGCTCATAGAAAGCATCACCAAGTCCCTCGAGTCTGACGGGTCAGTGCCCTGCCCGCGGTCCCGCTCCCGGAGGCGAGGATGGGGGAGAGGCTCGGGGGAAGGCTTGGGAAGAGGGTTTAGGAGAGGCTTGGGGAGAGGGTGAATGGCACGCTGGGGGAGATTGAGCCTGGGGATCCCAGGCAAAGTATAGGCGAGCAGTGTTTGTCACTTCTGTGTTTCCTCTCCCTGGCCCCATCTTTGTGTTTCTCACTTCAACTCTCCTCTTGCGCCCTCAAATGATCACCCCCACCCCACCTTTCATCATGTCTTGACTCTTGTCCTTTCCTTGAATGCAATCCTCTTGCTGCATCCTTCCCTGTCTCACACACAAACACACATACGTTCCTGCTGTGCTCTTTCTTATCCCTGTACCTCCCTGTCCCTTGCCCACACAGAGATGAGGGCTTTGACTTCAGTAAGTGCCCTTCACTCCTCTATCCCTTTCCCCCCCTCTCGCTCCCCCTTTCCCCTTCCTTGCCACCTTTTCTCCATCCGCCTCGCCTCCCCTTCCCATCCCTCTCCTTCGCTCGCCCTTACTCTCACTACCCACGTGCCACTCTAAGCAACTCTGCCTCGTTTGAGTAGCTCCATATGCTGCCTCATCCTTCCCTCATCTCCTTGTCCCCGCCTTCATCCCATTCTCACTTCCTTCCAAACCTTTTCCACCTAGTACGAAGTTACATTGCCTGCCAGCTTTCAGCTATCCACCTAATTCTGGTCTAACGAAAGGGCTGCCGTGCCTTCTCTCCTTCTTCACTCTCACTGCGCTTGCTTGCTTCCATGCCTCCTCCTCCTTCCTGCCCGCAGGTAATTTCCGAGTGGTCATTCTACGCAAGGGAGCAGTGCCCATCACTGCAGCCACGTTCAGGTAACGCCACATCCCCCACCCTCTTCTGCTTGTGCTTACTGCACATACGGGGGGGCGTGGGAGGGTAATAGGTATCCGTGTTCAAGAGCTTTATGCCAACCACGGGTTTCCTCCTTTGAAGGGGCTTGCGGATTTTATTGTCTGTTGCTGGGCTGTGTGAATCACTCTGACTCGCCTCATCTCTCTGCATCTTACCTTTGCTTCTCCCCTCCTCTTCCCTCTCCAACCCCACCTTTCCTTTGCGTGTGGTCATCCTCAGGGTGTTTGGAGCAAAGTTTGCTGAAATGCCATTTGTGGCAACTCGTGTCGGTAAGTCTGCTGCTGCTGCTGCTGCTGCTTCTGCTGCTACTGAGCATCCATTTCACTGCTATATGCTAAACCTCGTCCCGAGCCCGATCCATGCATGTGCGTACATGGACCGAACTCACCCTCTCTCTCGCCCCCCATCTCCTCCTCAACCCCCCTGTGCTGCAGACTATAGGCGCAACGGCAACTGCCGGCGACTCATGCGAGTGAGTGGTGGTGCCGATGCGGTTCTCGGGGGTTGTGTGCTGTGCAGGCTAAAGGAAAGCGGTAGAGGGGGAAGAGGAGCGCAGCCATCTGGTTGTTGAGCTTTCAGAGTCTTTCATCTCCTGCAATCAGTGGTGTGGTGTGGTGTGGGCCACATGCGGTCGCTGTTTAAGGATGTACACAGCAGTTGTGGGGGAAAGTGGGGGGAAGTGGGGAAGGGGGGGGGGAGGAGGTGGCGGTGGGTAAGTCTTGTGGGCTACGAGACGCATGTGCGTGCATCTATGGGGTGAGGGTGGCTTTCATTCGATTCTATTCCCTCCCTCTCTCCCCCTGTTTCCTCCCGCTCTGTCCTTACTCCTTCCGTGCTCCGTGCCTCTCCTCCTCACAGGTGGTGGAGGACATACTTCGCCTTCTAAGGGTAAGTGATGAAGGGAAGGAGAATAACGAGGTGGGACGGGGGAGAGCTGTATGAGGGCGCATGAGGTGGGCATGAGGCGGGCATGAGGCGGGCATGAGGCGGGCATGAGGGGTCAAGCGGATGAGGGACTCAAGTCAGGTGGGGGATAAGCTGCATGAGCCATTAGTGGCTGTGTAACTCAGGTCGCCCCTTCACAGTCACTACTGACTCATGCATCTTATCCCCTGACCTCCCCACCTTCATGTTCGCCCGCACTTAGATCTCATGTCCCCTGCTCACGACCTCCTTCCCCTGCTTGCCTCCTCTGCTTTCCCTCTTTACCTTCCTCTCTTTCCCCCCGTTTTCGCTCCCGATATCCCCCATCTTCCCCACTCCCAGGTGCCAGTGCTATACATGCCGTCAGTCAAGAGCGTGGTGGGCATGTCACGTCTAAGTCGACTCTAAGCCCTCAATACCCACCCCCCACCCTCCCCCATCCCAGGTGCCAGTGCTGTACATGCCGTCAGTCAAGAGCGTGGTGGGCATGTGGACTCGCCGCTTTGGCTTCCAGCTGCCGCCCACGGCTGAGCTGCCGATGATAGAAAGTGAGTGGCGGGGAGGTGAGAGAGTGAGGGGTGCGGAGGAGAGGGTGAGTTTCCTGTCTACCGTGGACAACAGTGAGTGAGTGATTGAGTGATTTGAAGGGTGGAGATCAGAAACAAGTAGTTTGCTTTAGCAAGCTGATATAATCTAGAGTTCTCCCAATGCTAGGCTGACGACTAAGTCCCTTTCCATGTCACCTGCGAACCTGTCTAGCAAACCCCCACTTGATTGCTTCCCTTCTCCATCCCCGCTCTCCCTGTTTCCGCTCACTGTGTCTCCCTACTCCCCTTCCCTCTTCCCTCACCTCCTCCCTTCATCTTCCCCTCTCACTGTGCCTTCCCCTTTAATCTGATCTCTCCAGATAAGATCATTTGCCCGGATCCCGCTAGTTCAACCATGCTGAAGCGGGTCATAGAGCCTATAGGCAAGTCAGCTGCTGCAGGCACACCGTGTGCGTTGCCGCCTGCCGTTCTCCCTCCCATCCGCACCCGCCGTGCTATTGCTGCTGCTGCCACCGCCTCTGCCAGTGCTGCTGCCAGCCAAAGCATGTCTGCTGGTGGGAGTGTGAATCTTGCTGGCAGCGCTGCTGCTGCTGCCGCCGCCGCCGCTGCTGCTGCTGCTGCTGCTGCTGCTGCTGCCGCAACGTCCGCTGGTGGTTCTGTGGCAGGGAAGCGAAAGAAGAAGGGAAAGTCGCATGACAGAGGGCTAGGCAAGGGAAAAGCTGCAGCAGAGGTTACAGGCAATGGGTCTTCCAAACCTGGTCCTGCCAAAGCGCCCTCTGTGAAGTCTGAACCAGCTTCTTGCATGGATTCTATCCTGTTGGCATCTGGTCCTACAGCAGTGCCCATTCTAGGACTCAGCACTGGCACTGGCACTGGTGCTGCAGCAGCAGCAGCGAGTGCAGCAGAGGCAGCAGCTGGTGGGATGAGTGGTTTTGAACAGACTGGGGTAGATAAGGCTGGTGCAGATAAGGATGGGAGGGGTAGTGTAGGAGGTGGTGCTGATGGGGGGACAGGCGCGCAAAAGGAACAAGAGGATGGTGCGGCAGCGGCACAGGGGGTGCATGGCGATGTGACTGGGGTGAAGCGTGCTGCAAAAGCAGGTATCCTTGGAGAGGAGGGCCTCATGCAGAAAGCAGCGCAAGGGATGGTGCTTGCACCAGTACCAGCAGCGGGTGCATCAGCAGCAGCAGCACAGCCGCGCTGTGTGGTTGCTCAAGGTCCATTCACAGAGGTTGTTGTGAAGCAGGAACCTGGGACGGTGCCGGCAGCACCGCAATTTTCACCAGTACCACTATTCCCCGCAGCAGGACAGGAGACGGGTGCGCTGGTGCGGCCACAGGTGGTGGTGAAACTGGAGCCTGGTGTGGAAGGGGATGCAGGGGTGCAGGGGACAGGCGGAGGGGTGGCACGACGAGGAGGTAAAGGTGGTGCCTCCAAGAAGCCACGGCACAACCCTGCTGCTGCTGCTGGTGGTGCTGGTGGCGCTGCCGCTGCTGGTGCTGGTGCTGGTGGTGGCGCTGCTGCTGCTGATGCCACCGGTGTTGGCGTCACAGCCAGCAAGCAGCGGAAGCGGAAGCGAGCTCAGGGCAAGGGAGCGGCGGGTCTAGGCGCGCCAGGTACACGCGGGGACGAAGAGGAGGAGGATGATGATGTGAGGGTGTTCTCACAAGAGGAGCAGGTGTGGTGGGACGACCGTGTTAGCAGAGTGCTGGACCAGTGGGCTGCTTCGGTGCCTGGAGGTGGGAGTAAGGCAAGTGCAGGGAGAGGGGCCAAGGGGCAGGGTTCTGGGTTCAAGAGGGTGAAAGAGGAACCACAGGAGAGTTCTCAGCAGCAACAGCAACCCGTGCAGCAGCAGCAGCAGCAGCAGCAGCCGTTGCTACCATTGGTGGAGCAGTATGCCTTGTTTGGCACTGGCACTATGTGCAGAGGCACTGCTGCTGGCACTGCTGGCACGTTTGGAACTACTGGAAGTCCTGCGTTTGGACCACCCTTGCAGCCCGCACCAGGCGTGCCTTATCACGTCCTCCCTCCTGGTATGTTGCTCCGATGGCTGTGCCATACCGTGCTGTGTCACTTCTTCTGAGGTGCCTCAAACTTCGCCTTATGATTTGAGGGCGCCTCAGATGTCATACCGTGCTTGCTGTGTTATCATGCATGTGTGGCACATCTCCCCACATGCTGCATCTATCTTAACCTTCATGAACCCAAAACCCAAGACCCTGTGTGTGCCGCTTAACTCTTTCTCTGCCTTGCCCCTGTTGTGCTGCAGATATGACCTTCACTCGCCTCATGCAGGAATGCCTGCAGATTCCCACCGCAGCCACAGGCACAAGCAGCATGCCAGCACAACCAGCAGCACCAGCAGCACCTGTTGCTGTTGCAGTACCGTTGCCAGAAGCAGCAGTTACACCTGCAGCTGCAGCAGCAGCAGAAGTGTCCGCAGAGCGGCAAGGGAAGCAGCAACTCCAAGGGCAGGAAGAGCAGATGCGGAGCGAGCGGGAGAGGCTCACGAGGGAGGTGGAGGAGGCATTGGTGGGGCAGGTGGCAGGCCTGGTGAGGGCACTGCCTGCAGACACACTGCTGCAGGCACTGCTGGGAAGGCCGACAGGCATGGGCGGGGAGGAACATGAAACCGGTGGGATCAGGAGGCGTCTGGAAGGAGTTTCAGGGGCAGGCTCAACTGCAGGTATGCACAGGAGCATCAGTGGCGGGGTATTGAGGATGCCGCTTGTCCAATCGTTCATAATAAAATTATGTTTAGAATTCACGTGTTCGACTCTGGATGTGTATCCTTGTTCGTCTCCCCCTTTACCCTCCCCCCCATCACCCCTCTCCCACTTTCCCTTGTGCAATCTGATCCGATCCGCCCTCACTCGCTTACTGCTCGTTGCTCATTATGCTATCGCATGGGCCCCATGTCTCCCTCCCCTCCTCCCCCTCATGCGTTTATGTTCCAGCCCATCGCATTTTGGAGGCCGTCTTGGCTCAGTGCACGCCCTTGCTTCAACCGCTGCTGCCACCAGCAGCAGCAGCAGCAGAGGCAGCAGCAGCAGCAGAGGCAGCAGCAGCAGCAGCAGCTGCTGAATCATCAGGCACACCTGATCCAGCAAAGCCTCTCACATCACCAGAAGGAGCGGCTGTAGCTGCACAGACTTTGGCAGCAGCAGCAGCAGCGTCGCCAGTAGCTGCTGCCACAGCAGCACCACCAGCACCAGCACCACTACCAGCTAAGGTTCCTGCAACATCATCCACCACCCATGCCCCTGGTTCCCCTCTCGTATCACCAGCAGCAGTAGCAGCATCACCTCTAGCTGCTCTCACGCGCACCCCTGCAACCTCACCAGAGGCTGCTGCAGCTCTTGCTTCTCTGGCTGCGGGCCTGCCTGTGCAAGCACTGGAAAGACGAGTGGAGCTGGGGAGAACACTGTGCAGCGGAGGTACTGAGGGGAGTGGTAGTGGGGAAGGGAGTGGGAGGGGGATGGGGAGAAGGGAAACGGAACCACCTGTGAGGGAAGCAGTGGGAACCGGTGGTGGAAGCGTGAAGTTGCTTGCTGCAGGTGGAAACGCGGGAGATGGGAGGAGGGCAGAAGCAGGGATGGTGGTGGGAAGGGGAGGGGAAGCGGGAGGAGATGGTATCAGCAGCAGGGGGGGGTGCAAGGGTATCACTGATGGGGGGGATGCAGCAGGGTGTGAGGGAGCAGTGGAGGCGGGTAATGGTGACGAGCTAGCAGCAAGGGGATCAAACATGGAAGATGAGAAGGAGCGGGCAGATGTGAAAGTTGAGTCAACCCACAAGGCAGATCTCTCAGCAAATGGCAGGAAGGAAGGAGGAATTGTGAAGGAGCAGCAGGTGGGCGGTGAACAGAAAGGTGATGTGAGGAGCGAGTGCGCTGAACAGCATGAGGTGCTGGCGGTGATTGGAGTGGTGAGGTCTGCTGCCTTGAGTCAGACAGTAACGGAAGAGAAGCCTATGGTTGAGCAGCAGGTGGAGCAACAGAGGGATGAAGGCAGCGTGCAGAGGCACGCACTCGTGGCGGGGGTGACTGCTGATGCGTCAGCAACAGCAGTATTGTCGCCTGCAGTAGCAGCAGCAGCAGTACCAGCAGCAGCAGTACCAGGAGCAGCAGTACCAGCAGCAGCAGCTGCGGTGGCACTGGTTCCAGGTGAAACTGTTTTGAGCACATGCTATCAGGATAGCACCCCTTCCTGCCCTTTAACACTGCTATCCTCAACAGCCACTCCTTCTGTCGATTCTGGGAACAATCCTGCCACACCTGCAGTTACCGTGCCTGCAGTTACCGTGCCTGCAGTTACCGTGCCTGCAATCACCGTGCCTGCAATCTCCGTGCCTGCAGAAAACGTGCCTGCAGTTGCCGCACCTGCAGGTACCATGCCTCCCATTGCAGTTACCCGACCTGCATCCACTGCCATCTCTGGCCCTGCAGCAGCAGCTGCTGCTGGTACTGTTGCTGGAGCATCTGCTACCTCACCTGCTGCTTTCACATGCACCAAAAGCCATGCTTCTTCCACGGCTGCTGCTGGTGCTGCTGGTGTTGCTGTCGTTGCTTCCCTCCCTTCCCCTGCTGCTGCTGGTACCACCGTCACTGCTCCGAATGCTGCTGACACTGCTACCACTGGACCTATTATTGCTGTTGGCGCTACCACTTCTACCACTGCTTCTGTAACTGCCTCTGCATCTGCCAGTGCTTCTGCTCCTGCCACTGCACACTGCCACTGCCACTGCCACTGCCACTGCTCCTGCCACTGCTTCGTGCCCACCTGCGTCTACCACCCTCCTGCCCTGCTGCACACTGGCTGCTGAAAGCCCTAGCCTCACAGGAGAGAGAAGGAGCCGTGAAGACAAGTGCTTTGGCCACAAAGGGGGCTTCTTGGCCAACAAAGGGGAGTGCTCGAGTCTTTGCAGTGGTGACGGTGCTCCCTTTGTTCCGGATTTCCTGGCTGCTGGTCTGACTGCAGCAAGGGGGAGGCCGTATGTGAGGCAGGTGGTTACTGCCATGGCGTGTGTGGTGGAGGGTGGGAAGGGTGGAGGAGAGCGAAGCGTGGTGGCAGCAGCAGCAGCAGCAGCAGGGAGAGGAGAGAGTTGGACCAGGTCGGCGATAGGAGGAAGGGATGAGCGTGGGGGTGAAACAGCAAAGGCTGGTGGGGAGAGTGGGAGGTGTGAGGGAGGTGAGATGAGTGCGGCATGTGAGGGGATGAAGTAGGAGAATCAGCACCACCAGCAGCAGCAGCAGCAGCAACAGGTGCAGACACAGGAGGAGCAAGCAGAAACTGAGGCATTGACAGTTGTACCATCTTCACTACTACCTCCCCTCCCTGGCCCGAACATGCCCCCACACCACGCCCCTCTCATCGGCCCACCACACCCAGTGTATTCTGAGTCAAACCATCAGACTCCCTTTCCTTGCCCCAGCATGCCCGCACACCACGCACCTCTCATCGCCCCACCACACCCGTTGTATTCTGAGTCAAACCATAAGGCTCCCCTCCCTGCTCCCAACGTGGCCCCATACAGAACCCCTCTCCTTCCCCCGCCGCACCTTCCTTTTCCCAATTTCAACTCCCTTCCTCCCGACGTGCGCTCTCTCCTCTTTCAATGCCTCGTGCCTTCGCGTGCTGCTGATGCTGCTCATGGGAATGTGCCTCTGCGCTTTCCCCCTGCAGCAGCAACCACAGCACCCCTGTCAGGCGCACCAGTACCAGCACAGGCACAAGCACGGGCACAGGCAGCAGCAGCAGTGCAAGCAGCACCGCTCTCAGGAGCGACGCAAGCAGCACCGCTCTCAGGAGCGACGCAAGCAGCACCGCTCTCAGGAGCGACGCAAGCAGCACCGCTCTCAGGAGCGATGCAAGTAGCAGCCCAAGGCGCATTGCCACCACCAAGGACAGCAGCAGCGTCTGGCATGCTAGCCATGCCATCACCACACATGCCACCACCATCCGTGCAACCACCAGCTACACTGTCCCAAGCCATCAAATCCTTAACTCGCGCTCTCCCACCCGCTTCCCTCATACCCTCCCAAGCTCCTCTCAGCCTACCCATGCACATGTCCTGGCCGCTACTCCCATCCATGCCTGGGAACACAGGTTCTACCCATCCTCCCATCACCCTCCCATACCTTCCCTTGTGCAACCCCCTCTCTGGGTTCAGCTTGCCTCCCGGTTGGAACAGGGCGGGAGAAGAGAGGAAGGTAGGATTGGGAGGGGAGAGGAAGGTGGGAGTGGTAGGGGAGAGGAGTGTAGTGGCAACGGTAGCAGCGACAACGGGGGTTGTGGCTGCTGCAGCTGCGGTGGCAGCAGCTGGTGACACCAGAGCAGCATCAGGAGCAAGGGAGCAGCAGCAGCAGCAGCAGCAGCAGCAGCAGCAGCAGCAGCAGCAGTCCTCCCTGCCGTATGCTCGTCCCCCTGCATTCAATACTGGAGTAGCAGCAACTCATGTTGCTGATGCTGCTAGTGCTCGTGGTCCTTTCACTGCTGCTGCCGCTATCTCACCTCCTCCTGCTGCTCTTTCCGCTGCTCCATCTGCCTCTCCTATTGCGTCTTCTCCGGTAGCTGCCATTGATGCCCTGCCTGCTTCTCCTGCTCCTCCCGCTCCGCCTGCCGCTGCTGCTTCTGCTCCTGCCGCTGCTGCCGATTTTTGTGTTCCTTCTGCCACCCAATCCCCTGCTGCCCCAACTTCTGTAGTTCCCCCCCCTCCCCCTCCTCCTCCTCCTTCTCGGCCTCCTCCTCTGCCTCATGTTACTCGTGCCGCCGCGCGTGCTGCTGCTGCCGCAGCTGCCGCCGCTGCTATTGCTGATGCTGCTGCCTTTGCTCCTGTTACCCGTGCGAGTGCTCGTGCTGCTGCTCGTTCTGCTGCTACTTGTTCTTCTGCGGCAGCTTCTGCAGCTACTTCTGCTGCGAGCACTGGTTTGATTCAGAAAGAACCTTTGACTGATGAAGAAGGTGGGGGTGACAAGGGAGGAGGAAGGGGGAAGGCAAGAGGGAGAGGAAGGAGTGCAAAAGGATGGGGCACGGGGCAACGGCGATCAGGTTCAAGATTAGAAGATTCTTCGGATATCGAGAGTTTGATCAAGGGAGCTCCACGGGGGAAAAGGAAAGGCGCGGGCACAGGGACAAGCACAGGCACAAGGACAGGCACAGGCACTGGCACAGGAGGCATACGACCACTCACAGGGTGTGACACACAGGAAGCAACAGTCCCTAAAACGCAGGGGGGGGTGAATGCAGGACAGGAGGAGCAGAATAATCATGGCTGTGAGAGGCTCACTGGTGGTAAGGGCGGTGGGACAAGGAGCGAAGGTGGTTGTGCGGAGGCTGCTGAGAGTGATGGTCCTGGTGATGATCCCCATGGTAGTGCAAATGCTGATGGTATAGCATGTGGTGGTGGTGGTATGGGCCATAGGGATGGTTGCGACACCCATGGTGGTGGTGGTGGGGATGGTAAAACTGAAGCTGAGGGTGAGCAGAGCAAGGGTGCACTGGCAGTTGAGGAGAGCAAGGGTGCATTGGGTGGTGTGGGGACCAAGGCAGGGAAGGCGGTGGCGCGTGGTGATTTAGTGGCAGGAGACGTTAGACTGATGGAGCTGGGGGTGACAGGGGGGGACTGCAAAGCAGCAGCGGCAGCAGCAGAAACAGCAGCGGCATCGGCAGTAGCAGCAGCAGGAACAACGACAGCAGCACTGGCAGGAGCAGCAATTGCAAGGGATGCAGGCAAAAATGATGCCCATGTGATGCTCCCTCCCCCACTTGCATCCACCCTTCCATCCGTGCCTCTTGAACCTATCTCTTCCCAGGTAAACCCTCATCCCACTCCACAAGCCATGGCATTGCCACCAACCCTACCATCCGTTTTCCTAACACCATCCGTTGTCGAAACACCACATGCCTACCAAAGTCCAACCACTCACTACCTCCCACCAGCACAGATAGCAGCCCCACCAGCACCCACCCGCACAGCACCCAACCCCACAGCACCCTACCCCACAGCACTCACCACTGCCCCTCAAACCATCACAGTTATTTCATCCCCGTGGGCGCTCAGCCCTGCAGCTGCTGCTGCTACCCCCACTTCAGCATCCGCTGCCACCCCTGCTCCTGCTTCTGCACCTGAGCCTGAGCCTGCTCCTGCACCTGTCACTACTTCTGGCCCTCCACCTCCTTCCCCACCTCTTGCCTCCCCTCCTCCTCCTCCTGCCTCCTCTCCTTCTCCTGCTTCTGCTCCAGCGGCAGCTGCCTGTGCAACCCCTGCTGCTCCCCGTACCAAGGACTGCTTTGCCTCGCCTCTTGCTGCCAAACCAAGGGGGCCTAAAGATGCTTTGGGCGTCGCATTGGTAGGTGTCAGCTTGTGGTTCATGGTGATGTGATGGCATGTGAAGCGGTGGTACGGGTATTTAGTCTCTCTGCTCATGACAGGAAGCGGCACTATCAAACACATTAGAAGAACTAGTATGACTCAGATAGCATCCTGTGCATACTTCTCACAACCCCTCCACGATTATCCCTCACCCTCCGTTATCATCCCTCCCACCCAATGACTTTCCCACACACCCGCATATGGTAATTTTCCCTCATCCACTTCATGCCATTTTCTTCTCACACTCCCTACGAATATTCCCTCTCACCCTTATCCTATCCTCTGCCCACCTTCTGTGCTGCAGGTGGGCGAGTCCCCTCCTGACATGACCAACGAGTGGCCGTCAGTCCACAGAATCACGGGGTTCTATCTGGAGGAGTGACATGTTGGCATGGCATGGCATGCTTTTGTTGGGCTGACATGGCATCGCATGACTAGTGGATGTTGTTCTATAAGCTGGTAACTGTAGTAGGCATGCCTTGGGTTGGATTGAGAGCCTAGTAGCTAACTCTCACGTCACACCTTGCATTGCACAACTGCTACTGTCGGCGTTATTTGTTGACAAGATCCTCACAGTGCCACGACCACACCACACCACAGTGACCATCTTAAATTCTGGGTGCTTCCGGTTTGCTGGTCCTGGTCAGGGCGATGGAATGCTAGTATGCTTGGTTGCAATTGACTGAAAAAACTGTCAAACAGTTGACTGGTCTGCTCACAATCTAAATCTGACTCACATAATTGCGCTTACAGCAATACCTTAGCTTTATGATCTTACTACACAGCTTCAGCTACAATCAGGAAAGGTAAAAAACAGCTCCATCGTGCGTGCCACTGTAAAAGGGGTATACCGTAGACACCACTCTCCACGGACCTGATCCCACCATAATCCACATCACCACAGCACACCAGCCTTGCCACTCCCTTCCAGCTGTGCCTCCTCACAACCCAAACCATCCTTGTTCCTGATCCATCCGCCCCACACCCCTTTTACGGCTTCTCATCCACGTGTTTCCGGAGCACCTCCACCACCGACTTGAACGCAAACCACTCTGGAATGTCCTCACCCGCCCGCAGCTTGCGCCTGAACTCCGTGCCTGACAGCTTCTTCAGGTGGTAACCCTTCTCTGTTGCCACGTCAGCAGTCACGTAACCCTCCTCCTCCGTGTACACCTGCAGTGGTGGCAGCACAGGATTGGTTGGGTGGAAGTGAGCGAACGGATGCCCGGATAGCAGTGAAGAAAGAAAGTAGATAAAGGAACAAAACGAGAGCGAGAAAGTGCATAGTGGGATATTAAATCAAGACGGATGACAAGGTAGAGATAGGATACTGGGGTACTGGGATATAGGTATCTGGGATAGTGGGATACTGGGCAAGGAAATGCGAAGAAAAGGAAAGGGGCACCAGAGGAGAAAAGCGAAGAGGGGGGGAGGAGGGGGGGGGGGGGGGTGTTGTTGGGGGAGTGGAAGGGAGGGAGGGGAAAAAGGGGTTTGAGGGGTTTGAGGGAAGAAAGAAAGTGGGAAAGAAAGGGAGAAGCAGGGAGGTGATATGGAAGGGAGAGAGCTTACCAAGTTAAGGGACGGCACGGTGTCCATTCCAAGCTCAGGCGAGTGCAGCTTCGCAAAGTCCTGCACTCACATCCAGGGGGGGCATACACAGCGTACACACAGTCAGGGACGGATTAGCCAGGTGTCGGCATCACCAGACATGTGTCCGTCACGGGTTAAAAGTTGCGGGTGTCGCAGAGTGGATTTTAAGGTGTTTTTTCACTAGGCCTTTCTTTTGAGAATTCTTAAGGGACTAAGCACTCACCACTCCCATGGATGCAATGCAACCCACGTATCCCACTTTACTCACCACAGAACCACCAACCTGCCCCAGTCACATCCCCACACCCACGCCTACGCCCCATTCCACAACACAAAACCCTCCCACGTAAACCCTCTCAAAACCCTTCCCCACCTCCCCTCCCATTTCCTCCCTCCTCTCCTCCCATTTCCTCCCACCCCCCCTGCCACCGCACCTGGGCGTCATAGGGTCCGTAGAAGTCCTCGCCAGTGCGGCTGCTCTTGGAGCCAACTTTTAAAGCACCTCAAGAACCCTTTTCCCATCTCCCCTCCCCTCCCTCCCTTTCCCCACCTGGGCGTCATAGGGCCCGTAGAAGTCGTCCCCGGTGCGGCTGCTCTTGGAGCCGGCCATGTCGCGGCCGATGATGAAGTGCGTGCACCCGTAGTTCTTGCGCAGGATCATGTGCTGAATGGCCTCGCGCGGCCCCGCCATGTGCATCGAGTACGGCAGGTACGCCCACCTGCGCGGCATCAAGTCGACGCGGGGAGGACGAGGAGGAACGCGAGACGAGAGTGGGGGGGCGGGAAAGGGAGGGGGGAAGGGGAGAAGGAGGAAAGGGAGGAGGTGGGGGAGGGGGAATGCAGGGGGCGAAGAACGGAACGGCGAGTGAAACGGGGGATGAGCCACAAAACGGGGGGAACGACATCGGGAGGCGCGAAACGAACAGGACACGTGGCAGCAGAAGCAGAAGCACAAAGTGGGTGGGCGAGTGGGCGGAACAGGTTGGAGTGCGGCACTCACTGCACGCGCGGGTCGTGCTTCTCCTCCTTGAGCACGAGGTACGTCTCGTAGCGCACGGGGCCGGGCACGTCGTCCGCTTGCGTGGGGCCGCACGTGGGATGCACGAGCACAACGCCATCCTGCACACGCACCGGGAACGGGACCAGTCACGGCCACGTGGGCGAGTGAGTGATCCACATAGGCGGGCGAGTGAGCGAGCCAGAGAACGAGAGGGAGACAGGGAGCGAAGGTGGAGAGGAGGAAGAGCAGGGGGAACGGGGGGGTGGGGTGGGGGAAGGTGGGGCAAAGGGGGGAGGGAAGGGCCAGGGAGGACGGAGCGAGGGATAGATCAGAAAGAACCTCGTGCAAAAAAAGGCGACAGACAGAAAGGAGGGTCAGGGGCGGGCAGGGGCGCACCTCGCCAACGTTTTCCGCAAAGAGCGAGCGCGAGAAGAGCTCGTAGTGCGCGCGGTGCACGGGGTTGCGGCACTGGAACGCCACCACGTCGATGTGCGGCGCGAGCTCCGCGCGCACCTCCGCGGGCGTCTTGCAGGGGAAGACGCGGCGCGGGATGGTGAAGCCCCACACCTTGCCGCCGATGTACCACGGGCCGCGCTCAGTCGCCACCATGAGCGTGCCGGGATGCTCCAGAGATGACGTGCTGGATGGAGAGAGAAAGAGAGAAAGAGATAAAGAGATAAGAGAAAGAGAGAAAGAGATAAAGAGATAAGAGAAAGAGATAAGAGTAAGAGAGATCAGAGATAAGAGAGAGATAAGAGAGAATGAGTAGAACGAGAGAGAGTACGTGGCACAGAGTTGAACGCGCGTGGCACACAAGAGTCTGTGCTACGTGGCAGGCAGGCAGGCGTACCCGTAGCACTTGAAGGTCTCCTTGACCTTGTCGGGCTGCCACTTGCTCTCCACCTCCATGACCGCGAGCACCTCGCCGTGGTAGTGCAGCGCCACGCGCTGCCCCACCTTCACGTTCGGATCGAACGTGTCCATCACCACCGGCAGCCCGAACAGCAGGTCCGAACCTGCCGATGAGGATCGGGTTGGGGAGAATGAGAGAGGGAGAGAGAGAGTTGGTGGACGGGGAGGGGGAACGCATGTTATCGACCAAGTGGTTGTACACGTCCTCGGTCACGAACCCCTTGAGCAGCGAGATTTGATCCTTTTAAGGCGCCTAAGATAAACCGTATCACGCGAGCCGGCTTACTTGGCAGGCGCATGTTCTCGACGACGTAGTTGTATACGTCCTCGGTCATGAACCCCTCGAGCGGCGAGAAGCCGCCGACAGCCAGGACCTCGACGTCGCACGACTGGCGCTCGTTGAGGTCGAGCTTGACGCCCTTGCAGCTCGCCAGCAGCTCCTCCTTCTCCTTCTGATCCGTCACCATCAGGTTCACCAGCTTCCCGCCGTGCGGCTCCTGGCGTCCGTCTGGTCCGCGCCGGGCGATCTTTCTGCGGATTTGAAGCCAGACACAGAGCGACGGAGGGGTTAAGAAAGACCAGGAAAACCAACGTCGCGATGTTGATCTCCTGATCACTACGGGAAACGAGTGGCTACCTCGTTTTCCGAATAGCAGAAGGAGATCAGAGTGACTTACGATTTGGATGCAGCTGCAGCAGAGGCGGCGAAGCCGCGCTGAGCAGTTGGTGGAACCATGGCTCCCCCAATCACCTGTATCAGGAGACGAGAATGACAAACGGTAAGGGTTGATCACTAACTAATCAAGTTCAAAAGCTACGTCTAACACGAAGTCTAGAAACCTAAGACGAAAATCTGACGAGCAATGCTTATGCTACGGACGGATCAGTGACGGATCAGTGAATGGGACTGAACAAGGGAAATCAGATTTCATGGAAGTCGACGTGTACCTTATCCATGAGGAACGGACTGGCGGCTGGAACGCACGACTCTAGTAGCGACGGCGTCGCAACCTCCCTCTGGGCGATGGCGACGGAGCTGCGAGCGGCCCTAGCAAGGAGAGCAGGCAGACGCCTTCTCAGATGCGCGGCCATGCTTTCCGAGTCGTGGAGTCGAGGCTGTCAGATCACACCAGCTTGAGTGTGAAAGAAGCTGAGCAACCAAACAACCAAAACTTCAATGAAATGAAGCTCTGGGAATGCCTGCTTGCATGCAAACCTCGAGGTGGTTCGGGGTCAAAACTGCAGCACAATAGCTGGTTCGGATGGTTCAGGATGAGTTGAAATTGGTTGAGCTACTGATGGTCTCGAGGTTGGACGGACGCTGCTGGTTGGCTGGGCTGTTGGCGGGCCGATCAACAGCTGCCTGTTGAGTGAAAGATGGAAGTGAGATCTGGATCGTCGAACAGGGAATTCAGAAATAGTGCTGTGCTGTCCCGAAGAGTACGAAATCGAGGATCGGATGAGGGGCCACGTGATTCGTGTAGGGCGTAATCACATTCAGGGCAAAGATGTTATTCCAGGTCGATCATATGCTCTCCCGAACACAGGAAAAAAACTGGTGGGGCAACGTTACCATGAAAACATTACCACTAAGTTAATGTACAGGTAATGTACATACTGTGATAAGTTCTCCATTCTTTTTGTTGCAAACGTAGCGTACAACCCCAACAATCGGAGCAGGCACAACCCGTTTTTCTCGACTCCAAGGCTACATCGTGACAGTATGTTATAGTTCTCTCAAATGTTATATATTACCTATCTTGAATGAACATTGAGGTTTAAGCTGTAAGCATATTATCGTTTTATGTATCCAGTTTCACAACAAGAGTCGTGCACGCTCCGTTCCCGCGTCGCCTGCTTTTGGCGAGTTTTCCGCCACGTCCAGCAGGGATCGTGTGCGTTTTGTAGTTTGCGACACTTCCTCGTGAACTTGTTTCGCTGCGTCTACATCATGATGTTGCGAAAAGCACCGAAAAGGTTTTGCCCTTGGCACTGTTGGCTTCGCAAACCTGCATTCCGAACAAGCTCCCCAAACCCGACTTGGGTTCCCATTTTTCCCTGCACGTCACGGCTCTACCTCCCCTTTTCCCCTGTTCCAATATCGAAAGGCAGCGCGCCAGCGTTAGAACTAGCGAAGTCTGCGCCTCTGCTTCTCTCTCAGTTCGTTTCACCGCCGCCCTCTCCCCTTTCCCCCCCTCCTTCCGCCCACCCCTCTCCAAAGGCAGTCTAAAGCAAGGCGTTTTCTGGTGAGGCGCACGGTCCCACCGCCAAACTGCCCCACCAACTCCCCCCACTTGCAGTAGCCGTCTGCGGCGGAGAGTGGAATGGCAGCGCGGCGGGGCCGTAGACTAGGGGAAAGTGGAAGGTGGTCGGTCGTGAGTTGTGGGAAGAATAGTGAACAGTGCAATAAGCGGAAATGGGGAGCGCTAGCAGTGTTCAGGGGAGGCGAGGGGAGGCGAGGGGAGGGGCAGGGAGGGAAGGAATTGCACTGCAGTGCACCCCCAGCAGCACCAGCACAGTAGCGCAGAGCACCACGCCGAATGTGGAAAAAAACGCCCCACCCACCACCCACCACCACCACCCCCCTTGACACGCTCGCTCGCTGTTCCCTCCCATCCACCCCATCCCATCTCCGTTCCCTCCCCAATCATGCCGTCCATTCACCCTGCTCGCCTCTGCTGGTCCTCACCTGGCAAGCATCGGTTTTGCCGCACCAAAAGCAAAACGTTCCTGCACAAACTGGAGGGGCGTTTGCTCCTGCCTAGGGTTCATCGAGTTGACTAGAGAGCATCTACATTGAAGCCCCTCCCTTGCCTTGCTTACACACATTGAACCTCTATCTCTCTACCTGCTAGCTCGCGAACTAGGACTACGCACACATTGAAAGCACAGCACCACTCGATAGACATACATGGAATGGAGAAGGTTCCTCGAGACCCGCCGCACCAGCCGCCGCGTTAGCTGCAGCCGTAGCGCGAGGCTGCGATGGTAGCAGACTCGTTTAGCGCCAGCGCCAGCAGCAGCAGCGCCGCCACTAGCCGCAGCAGCAGCAGCAACATGAGCTCGTCGGTGGCCCCCTGGTGGACCACTCTAGAAGTAGGCCCTTCCGGCACGTTACTATATCGCGTACTCTTCTTAGACTCGCAATACCGCGCTTTCTCCCCCTGGCACGATATTCCTCTGCACGTCTCCGAGTATCCTTCCAATGCCGCGCCTCCCTCCGCGTCCGCCGCCGCCGGTTCCGCGCACCCTCCGCCATCGGGCCTGTCGTTTCTCTGCGTGACCCCGCGGGGAACGTGGGCGACGTACGAAGTGGCGCAAGACGAGAATTTTAACCCTATTCGCCTCGCGAAGCGCAATGCCGCGCCAGCGCATTTCGCGGAAAATTGCCACTGGAACCTCGGGATTTTCACACAGACGTGGGCTGATCCCGCTTCGGCCAACGAGCACCTAAGCGGCTTGCACTACGACGCCCGCCCCCTGCACGTCCTCGATATCAGCCGCCGCGCTGCGCGCCCGGGCGACGTGTACCCCGTCAAGCCGCTCGCAGCCTTCGCTGTAGTCACCCTCGCCGCATCCGGCGCCTCAGCGTCCGCCGCGGCAGCCGCGCCGGAAGCGTCGCCGAGCGCCGGCGCTGGGCCGGGCGCGGGCGCAGGCGGTGCGGAAGCGGGGGCGCCGATGTGCGTGTCGTGGAATGTCGTCGCAGTGGCGAGCGACGATCCTCTGGCGAAGGAGCTTCAGGACGTGGCTGACGTGAGCAAGAAGCTGCCGGGAGTGCTGGAGGAGATTCGCGAGTGGCTGCGACTGTGCGAGTGTAAAGAAGCAGGTGGGATGGGAACGCGCTCTACCACGGTTGGTTTGGTTTGATCAATTGTGTGTGTGCGTTTTTTTTTCTTTTTCCTTGGCGCTGGCACCTTCGCTGATGTTTTTTTCTTTCTTTTTCGGTCATGCATGGTCTGGTATATGTGTTCTCTCCTTTCCCGGCCTTGGCCTTCGCTGACGATGCCGTCCTATAGCATCGCGGCGTAATATACGGTGCTTGCGTTTATCTTAATGCCGTTCGTTTATTCATGATTCGTGTCGTTTATCTGTAGTTAATTCTCTGCCTGCCCGCTCTTCCCATGTGTTGCGACACGCGACGTCGTTTTTTTCTAACGCCGAGCAGAGGCAGAAAATGTTTATTTTGAAAAAAGCAGGCTTCCTGCTAATGCTGAGAACGAATGCAAACAGCAAGTGATAAATATTCTTTCTGCACAGCACACGCATTAGGTTAATCAATACACGTCTTGAGAAACGAGTCACGTGGTCATCGCCCTCTCCTTCCTCCCATCGTCATTCGCGCAGCTCTGCGTGCATTTAGTCCCTTATTTGCCACCCCTCGAGTTCCCACCCCTCCAAGCTCTTATTTGCTACCCCTGCCGTTCCTTATATGCTGGCCTGCCGTCCCTTACTTGCTACCTTGCCGTCCTCTACCGCCCCTTATTTGCACCCCCCTCCCGCTTAATTTCTTCGCCCCATATGGCTACCGACTTAGTGTCCCTGCTGAACTTTATTTCTCCAGTTGCCGTCTCTGATGGCCACTCTGCCCTCCCCTGCCGCCCCTTATTTTCTACCCCTGTTCTCTGCTATTTTCTGCCGCCTTTTATTCGCTATCCCTGCGGGTTCATTTTTTTCTGCCCCTGCCGTCCCTTGTTTTCCGCCCTACCATCCCTTATCTTTTCCTACTGCTGCTCCTTATGTTCTGCCCCTGCCGTCCCGTATCTGCTATCCCCACCATCGCTTGTTTCCTACCCCAATTGCCACTTAATTGCTACCCCCTGTCCGTAATTGCTTCGCCTGCAATCCCTAATTTTATTCCTCTGGTGTCCCTATTTTTTCTACCCTTTCGGACCCTATTATTCCGCCCTTGCCGTCCTCCTGCCGTCCTTGTTTCTGCCCCGGCCGTCCCTTGTTTGCTACTCCTACCGTCCTAGTCGTTACCCCTGCCGTCCCGTGTTTTTCTGGCCCCAGCCGTTAATATTGAATACCCCTACCGTGCTTTAATTGCTGCCCCCTCCGGCGCTTATCTGTTACCCCTGCCGTCCTTTCTTGGCAATCCCCACCATCTCTTATTTGCCACCCCAACTGCCCGTTAATCCCTTCCTCGGTCGTATCTTATTTCCTGCCCCCTCCCCTTCCTTATTCGCCACGCTTGCAACCCCTAAATTCTGCCCCTGAAGTCTCTAATTTTCTGCCCCTAGCGTCCTTAATTTCTTCCGCTGCCGTCCCTTAGTCGCTCCCCGTCATTGCTCGTTTGCCCCGTCCGCCCCTTAATCGCTGCCCCTGCCGTCCCGATTTTTTTCTGCTGCGTACCTTATTTTCTGCCCCTGTCGTCCCTTTTTCTTCTCCTTCCGTCTCTTATTTCCTGTCCCTGCCATCCGTTAGTTGCTACTCCGTCCGTCTCTAATTGCTCCCATTGCCGTCCTTGTTTTCTGCCCCTGCTGTTTCTAATTTTCTGTTCCAGCCGCCTGTTATTTTTCTGCCCCCAACTGTTCCTAATTGATACCCCAACCGCCCCTGCCGTCCCTTATTTGCTACCTCTGCAGTCCCTATTTTTCTGCCCCTGTCGTCCCTTTATTTCCTTCCCCTGCCGCCCGTTTTTTTCTGCCTTGCCGTCCGCTGCCGTCCCCCTTTTTTTTCCTGCCGCCCGCCCTTTTTTTTCTGCCCGTGCCGTCCTTTATTTGCCACGCGTCGTCGGCGTCACTCGCGACCTTGGACGGCAAGTGTCGAAGCCGCCAGTGTCCCCATCCCGTTCACCGCGCCGGCCGCTTTCACCACCCAACCCACCGTTCCTGCAAGTACCAGCGCTCTCACCTCTCGTCCGTTCCCTCTCTCCTCGCCCCCCTCTCTCTCTCGCCTCTCTCCTCTCGTCCCCCCATGCGACAGGCGACGAGGGCCGCGTGTTCGGGTTCAACGACCGCGCCTTGGGGCGCAAGCACGTGGACGCGTGTATCGCGGACAGCCATGCCGCGTGGCAGCGCCTCCAGTCGACTCTGCAGAAGCCCGAGCCGTGGCTGCCGCGCGCGCAGCCGCCCAAGATCACAACCATCGAAGCCTTCTGGGCGCCATACACGGGGAAATATAGCGAGGGCGCTTGTAACGCGGACGACGGGACACCCGCGGCGATCCCGCAGTCGAACCCGAACGCGGGCGCGGTCGGCGCGGCGAGCCTGTCGCCGCTTTCCGCGGCGGCGGACTCCCCCTGGGAGACCATGCCGGTGGCCGCTGCGCGGTCGATGCTGGCGCAGCTGCGGTCGCGGAAGCACCTTGCGCGCCCCGCGTTCTTCGCGATGCGCGAGCGCCTGGAGATGGGGGACGCGGGGAAGTTGACGGCGGGCAAGGGCGCGGGGAAAGCGAGCAAGAGCAGCGGAAGGAGCAAGGGGAAGAGCGCCATGGGGGGAAGCGGCAGGCGGGATGCGAGCGGGGAGAGCGGAGGAGGATCGTTCGGGCTATTCAAGAAGGGGCATGGGCATGGGCTCGTGCACAGCCCAAGCGGGAAAGGGGGAGGAGGTGTGGCGGCGCCCATTCCGCCCAAACCAGCAACCCCCCCGCCCGTGAAGGCGGAGGTTAGCGCGCCCGCCGCAGCAGCGGTCGCGCCGGGGGCTGGCGCTTCTCCCGCTGCTCCCGCTGCTGTGGCGGCTTCCCCCGTGGCTGCCGCTGCTGCTGCGCCAGCAGTGGTGGGAGTAGCGGCCGCTGGCGCAGTGGCAGCAGCGGCAGCGGTAGCGGTAGCGGGAGCGGATGGAGCAGCAGCGGGAGTGGCCGCGGAGGGAGTGGGCGGAACTACTGGGAGTGCGGCAGCAGCGGACGCGGCGGCAGCTGAACCGACAAAAGAGCCTTCTTCGGCAGTCGCAGCAGCGGCGGCGGCGGCGGAAGGGACGGCAGGGGCAGCAGGGGCAGCAGCAGCAGCGGAAACGCAAGGCGGCGGCGGAACGTCCCCCGCGGGAGCAGGCGCGGCAGCAGGGCTTGCGCCAGTGGGGAAGGTGACTGGCGGAACCGAGGAGGAGAGGCGCAGGAGCAGCGACGGCGGAGTGACGGGAGGCGGGGCGGAGGGGGTTGGCGCGGAAGCAGAGGGCCGCGCATCCGCGGAGAAGGTAGAAGGCGGAAGCGGGGATGACGGGGAGCGGACGCCGCAGAAGGGGGAAGGTGACGGCGAAAAGGCGGGCGGAGGGGAGGCGGAGAGGGGGAGGGGGAACATGGAGGCGCGGCGAAAGTCGGACGATGGGGAGAAGGGGCGGGAGGGGACAATTGGCGAGAGGGAGGGAAGGCAGGAGAGAAGTGGGGAGGATGAGGGGAATGGGGACGATGGTGAGCGGAAGGAGAGGGGAGTCGGGGGGAGAGGAGGCAGGGAGGGGAGAGAGGGGAGGGAAGGGAGGGAAGGGAGGGAGGGGAGGGCCTCGAGTCGAGATGAGGAGGAGGGCGGGCGGCGAGAGCGTGGCACGAGCAAGGATGGGCGGATGGGGGATGGGTATGGGGACGGCGATGCGGAGGGTGAGGGCAGGAGAAGAGCGCAGGACAGGCGGGATTGGCGAGAGGGGCGCGACGGGCGCGACGGGCGCGACGGGCGGGACGGGCGGGACGTGGGGGAGAAATGGAGCGGGCGGGAAGAGGGGGAGAGGCGGACGGAGAGGGGGCGGGAGCGGGAAGGGGAGAGGGAGAGGGAGAGGGATAGAGAAGGGGAGAGGGAGAGGGGGGGTGACAGGGAGCGAGCGAGAGAAGGTGGGTACAGGGCAGAGCGGGGGAGGCAGGAACGTGAGGGGAGGCAACGGGACGAAGGGGATATCCCAGAGGAGGAAGATGGGGAGGCGGACGGGGAGGGGGAGGGGGAAGGCGAGGGGAAGGAGAAGGGGGAGAAGCAGTCAGAGGAGCGCCGGGGGGAACCTGGGGAACGAAGGGAACGGGGGGAACGGAGCGAACGAGAACGCGGGGAGCGAGGGGAGCGGGGAGAGAGGGCGGGGAGGAGCTACGGGCGCGCGGGGGAGGAGGGGGAGAGGCTGGGGCTGGTGCGGCGCGACTCAGATGACCGTGACAGTGGTGGGCGGCGGGCAGGGGGTGGCGGGGCGCGGGGGAGGGCGGCGGAAGGGGAGGAGGCGGAGGGAGAGTACAGCCGGCAGTCCACACAGGAGAAGGGCGGCCCGGGGCGACCAGCCACGGTACGTAGCAGAAATGTAGCAGAAACATGGGGTCGTTTGTTATTGCAAACTGAAAACGGTTGTGTGCAGTCTGCTTGCTTGCACAGCTGCTTGCGATCTCTTGGCTTGCGCTCTCTTGTTGCGGTCTTGTTCCTTGTGCCGTGCTGTTTTGTGCGCTCTTAACTTTTGCGTGCTTCTGCTGGTTTGCTAGCTTTTGCGCGATACACATGGGGCACGAGAGCACAGGAGCGGTGGGGAATACATGGAAGAGCAAAGAAGGAGTAGTAGTGGGTGCAGTGCAGGAGGCGGAAGCATGGGAGGGAGAACACATGGTGCAACCCAGAACAGAACAAAACAGAACAGAACAGAACAGAACAAAACAGAACAGAACAGAACAGAACAGAACAGAACCAAAGAGAAGGGAAACTCAACCACAACCATGCCATCCAACCCTCCTTGGTCCCACCGCTTAGCTCTCTCCCGGACCCCCTTTTCCTTTCCTCGTCTCTCCTTGCCTCTTGCCCGTGTTTCCACACATGCACAGTGATTCCTCCATGCCATCATGCATCCCTCCCCCCTCCTCCCCCAACACACCCCTCTGTCGCCCTCCCACCACCTCCCCTCCCCTCTGGACCCTCCTCCCCTTTTCCCTCTTCGTTCCCCCTGCACAGGAGGGTCAGAGGCGCCTTGCAAGGCCGGGGGCCACATGGGCGAAGCTCAAGTGGCAAGAGAAGGACGGCGGCGGCGCAGACAGCAACGACACCAGCACCAGCAGCCGCTCCCCCGCCTCCTCCTCCTCCACCTCGCGCTACTCCCACCACCACCACCACCAGAATGGCCGCGACGGGGGTCGCGAGGGGGGGCGGGACGGGCGGGACGGGCGGGACGGGCAGCGCAGCACCACGAGCACGAGCAGCAGCCTGATGGCGCAGCGGGAGGAGCTTCGTGCAGAGCTCTTCCAGAAGTCTCTTTCTGGGAACCGTGCGCCTCTCCCCACGCTTGTCCGTCGCGCCAGCCTGGAATCAGCTGAGCCGGGGTCCCGGGGTCCGAGGATCCGCGGGCGGCCGGGCGGGGCGCGCATGCTGCACAGAACGCTCACGGAGGAGCAGCAGGAGGAGTCGCGCGGGTCGTACGAGGAACGGAGTGCGGATGTGCGGGATAGTGCGCTGTATAGGACTCTATCCGGGCAGAGCGGTCAGCCGGAGGTGCATGGCATGACGGGGTATAGACGGGGGATCGGCGGTGGGGGTCTGGGTGTGGGTCGCGAAGGGAGCAGATGGGCGCCGGGAGGAGGAGGAGGGGGGGGGGGAGGGCTTGGGGGGACGCTGGGGCGGAGGGAGTCGGGAGAATGGTCGGATGAAGGGGGGCTGTCCGGTGGAGAGGGGTCGGGACCGGTGCTGCAGCGCACCAACACGAATGATAGTCTCAAGTCGGCGGGTGTGCGGAGCGAGGCGGGGATCAGCATTGGGCGCGCTCCGGCTTACATGACAATGCGCGACGGCGGGGGGTATATGAGAGACGGCGGGCTCGTGAGGGATAACAGCGGCGGAGGAGGCGGGGGGAACCGGCTGCTGCGCAAGCATTTGAGCGGGCAGGGGATTAACGCGTTTCACGGGGAGGAAGAGTTGGAGGAGGAGCGGGGAGGGTGGGGCCGGGGCAGACGGTACGAGCATGAGCGGGAGCGGGGAGGCGGGGAGGGCGGGCAGGGGGATATTGGGCGGGACCGCAGGGTGAGTCCGGCTCGCATGGGGGAGTATGATGGGAGGGGCGGGAGAGGTGGAGGCGGGGGGAGGCGCGGGAGGGGGGAGACAAAGGAGGGTGGGATGAGTTCAGGGAGTGTAGGAGGGGGGGGCGAGAGGGGAGGAGAGAGGGGAGGGCGGGCGGTGTCTCGCAGTCCGCGAGGGAAGAGAGGGGAGGAGGATGGAGGGGGGTGGAAGGAGAGAAGGGAGGAGGAGGAGGAGGATGAGGGGAGCCCGAATTTCAGTCCGGTGAGGGGCATGGGCAAGGCAGGGGTTGCTGCTGCTGCCAGGAGGGAAAAATGCCAGGAGTGAGGGGCAACGGGGGGGATGGGGGACGAGTGTGTGAGTGGGATGTCCGGGGAGGGGACTGAAAGAGTTGCATGAGAAGGTGAGGCAGCTCAGCTAGGTTGATGAGTAGTGGGCGGTTTCCGTTGTCTGGTGGGCATTCACTCAGCCCAACATGTTGAAGCCAGTCCGAGGTGTCATTTTGTGGTTTAATTGTGGCTGGAAGGGGTTTGGTGGAATGGAGGACCCATGTTTTAATAGTCAGGCTGATTAGGTTCTATTTGAGTAAGTCTCAGAAAGTGAATGCAACGGAATGTTTGACTTAGGAGAGCAAGGCATACAAATAGAAACCCTAAGAGTGTTGTACTCCTTAGAGTGCTACTCACTGCAGTCTACAACCAATAACAATATTTGACACACCCCCGTAGGCTAAGTGAGGGGCATCAAAGCAAGCATGGTGAACAAACAGTCACAAGACCAATCAACGCAAGAAACAAGGCAAGCTCAGGGTGGATCTCAAGGACACCACACAAATTCCGAGCGCAAGCAAGCGGCCACAAGGCCAGTTCAAGAGTTCACTAGGATATATATATGAAAACATAACAAGCAGAGCAAGCAACAAGACTACAGCAACCGAGGGCCTACCTCAACAAGCCCCAACTGCACACAAAACCTGTGGTGATCACCAAGCGCCAAGGCCTTGGTGAAGACGTCTGCAGTGTTGGCCTCTGAGGCCACAAAGTCCAGGCGTGCCTGGCCGCGTCGCTGCAGCTCTCGCAGGAGGAAGTACCTCACGTCAATATGTTTCACTCTGCTCTCCAGTCGAGGCTCTCGACACAGGAGGATCATGGCCTTGTTGTCAGCGTACAAGGTCGGTGCAGAGCGAGGCCGCTCACCAAGGTCGGCGAGCAAGAAGGTCAACCAGCGAAGCTCCTGTGCCGCCATGGCACCAGCGTAGATCTCTGCCACTGCACTGGAAGTAGCCACAGACGACGACCGTGTAGTCCTCCACGACACAGCACCAGCTCCCAGACTGAAGCAGTAACCCTGAGTCGAGCGCTGAGTCTCCACGTCGTCAGCGTAGGAAGAGTCGCAGTGACCAGTCAACGCCACTGGCTGAGTCCCTCCAAGCACAAGCCCCATGCCTGATGTAGTCGCCAGGTACTTCGCCACCCTCACAGCAGCTGTCCAGTGGACAGGACGGTGTCTCCCAGTCGCAACAAAGCGAGAGAGGACGCTGAGGGGAAAGGCGAGGTCCGGCCGAGTACAAGTCATCAGGTACATGAGGCAGCCCACCAGCTCTGCGTAGGGACCACTGGGCTCAAAAGGCTCGTCGGGAAAGGGGCCAGTGAGTCTGTGGTCAACAGCAAGAGGTGTGGGCTGTGTGGTGGAGAACTGGAAGTCGAACCGCCGAAGGACCTGCTGCACCATGTGTGACTGAGTCAGTGTGATGGTGCGAGCGGCTCTGTCCCTGGTGATCTGCAGGCCAAGGTAGCGCTGCAGTTCACCTAGGTCAGTGCACGTGTGTCTCTTCTGCAGTTCGGACTTCACCTGAGCCAGAGCTGCCCTGTCTGCTGTAGCAAAGACCAAGTCGTCGACGTACACTAGTACAAAGAAAGGAGTGGAACCAGTGCGAACAAACAGCGACGGGTCGGCAGAGGAAGGACAAAACCCAAGGTCACGAAGCGTGGAGCGAAGAGTGTCGTGCCACTCACGGGGCGACTGGCGGAGACCGTAGACTGGCCGTCTCAGGCTCCACTGGGTCCCAGGTGGGAAGGTGTCAGTGAAGCCAGGAGGGCGGCGCAGCCAGATCTCCTCGTGTAGTCGGCCCTGGAGAAACGCAGTAGAGAAGTCAAGGGAGTGCAGCTCGTAGTCTCGCTGTGCTGCTACGTGCAGTAACACCCGAAGAGTAGTCATCTTCGGGGTCGGGGCGAAGGTCTGGAAGAAGTCAACTCCCTCACGCTGACTGAAACCCCTAGCCCCGTAGCGCGCCTTGAACACAGGCGGTGAACCAGGCGGCCGCTTCACCTTGAAGAGCCACATGCCATCGACTACGTTCGCCCTGAGAGGGGGAACTGCGTCGACGTAGGTGCCTGTGGATCTCCAAGACGCTAACTCCGAGGCCATAGCCGCTTTCCACTGTGAGGTCCACGTCCCTGACACTGCCTCGCGGTAAGTGCGAGGAGTCGGTATGTCAAGGGCGTCGGGGTCTCCCTCAGGGGATAGCAGCATGGCACAGACAGAGGGAGAAGCGGCTGCCCAGTACTCCAGCTCAGACTCTCTGTCCTCTAGGACGTCACAGCCAAGGGCAAACCCACCCCCGACGGACAGAGGACGGGAGGGAGGAGCTGGCACCACACGGGTGGTGTAGTCAAGGCGACTGGCGGCAGCAAACTCAGCGACAGCGGCAGTGAGAGCCGAGACAGACGACGGAGGGAAACGAGAGTCGGTGACAAGAGTGGCGAGGACACGAGAGACAACAGGACGAACAGCGCGGTAGTAGTCAGTGACAGGAGTAGGGGGGAAAGGGAGAGAGGACGGAGGTGGACACGGGAGAACGGACTCAGAAGGAGGACGACGAAGAGACGAACAAAGGAGGGCAGTGCGGAGGTCGGTAACGGGAGACAAGTGACGAGCACGCGGAGGACAGGGACGGACACGAGAGTGCGGGACACCAGGTGGAGGAGACTGCAGTGGAGGAGAAGACCAGACCGCCGGACTGGCGTCAGGAGGAGGAAACGTGGGACCAAACGCTGGAGGGGACGGAGTGTGAACAGGAGGAGAAGAGGGAAGACCAAGGGCCCGAAGGCCACTCACGGGTGGGAACAACTGCCGCTCCAGAGGGAGCTGCTGTGGTCGCAGCTGCGGCGGCGGTGTCTGCTGCTGGTGCGGCTGCTGCTGCTGCGGCTGCTGCTGCTGCTGCTGCCGCTGCTGCTGCTGCTGCTGCTGCTGCTGCTGCTGCTGCTGCTGCTGCTGCTGCTGCTCCAGCAGGTCCAACTGCCGCAACTCCTACCGCTCCCTCTCCAACAACACCTGCTCCTCACGCTCACGCCGACGGGCCGCCTGGAGACGTGTGTCGTGGCGGTGGGGAGGCGGAGTGGACTCCGCAGAACCAGTGTCTCCTGCTCCAGTCTCCTCAGAACCAGCACCTCCAGTGCCAGCGCCTCCAGCACCAGCACCCCCAGAACCAGCACCTCCTGTGCCAGCACCTCCAGCTCCAGCACCCCCAGAACTAGTACCGCCAGTGCCAGGACCTCCAACTCCAGCACCCCCAGAACTAGCACCTCCAGTGCCAGCACCTCCAGCTCCAGCACCCCCAAAGCTAGCGCCACCTGCGCCAGCACCTCCAGCTCCAGCACCCCCAGGACTAGCACCTCCAGTGCCAGGACCTCCAGCTCCAGCACCCCCAGGGCTAGCGCCACCTGCGCCAGCACCTCCAACTCCAGCACCCCTCAAACGAGCACCCCCGGACCGAGTACCGCCAGTGGCTGCACCTCCAGCTCCAAAACCAACCGAGTCCACAGTAGCCTGTCGCGGAAGTACCGAAGGCTGCTGAGGGGACTGTGAGGAGGACTGCGGGGAGGGAGCCGCTACCTGACGCGCGACCGAGGGTAGAGGGGTAGCGTGAGACACACCTGACGGGGCAGGACCAGGGGGGGGTGGGGGTACCGGAGGAGCGAGAGCAGGGGGAAGAGAGGGTGCGAGGAAAAGGGGGGGGAGGGGAACCGGGAGACCTCGACAGGGGTACCTGGTGTAGTAGGACACTGACTCGTCGAACCGGACGTCACGGGAGTCTAGGAACTGGTGGAGGGGCGGGTGGTAAAAGGACCAGTCGGCCGAGGCTACCGGGAAACCAAGGAAGACACAGGGGACGGCGCGAGCCGAGAGCTTGTCCGCAGAGGTGTCACGGACAAGCGCAAGGCAGCCCCAGACACGAAAAGCTGACCCAACACCAGGGGACCCGGTCCAAAGACTGGTCGGTGAAGCCTCTGGCCGCGAGACGCGCGGCTGGAGGTTCAGCTGGTGAGCGGCGTAGCGAACCGCGTAGGGCCACAGAAAATGGGGCGCACGGGCATGAATCATGGACGTGCGGGCGATGTCCATGACCAAGCCAATGCGGCGCTCAGCAACCCCATTCTGCTGTGGGGACTCCGGCAGCGTCCAGGACTGTACAATGCCCTGCTCGCCGCAGAATCCGGCAAGAATGCCTGAGCGAAACTCACCCCCACGGTCAGAGTGGAGACAGGAGACACGACGACCACGAGTGCCCTCAGTGGCGAGAAGCCACCGGATCAGCGTAGAAGTCACCTCGGACTTCTTCGCGAGAGGAAACACCGTGGTGTACCTGGAGAAGTCGTCGACGACCACCAAAAAGTAGCGCTCCCTCTCAGGTCCCTGCGTAGGTGCAGGGCCCCAGACATCCAAGTGGAGTGTCTGGAAGGGAGCAGTGGCCGGACGAAGGGAGGAGGAGTGCGGAGTGGCACAAAGACGGCCGGCGACGCAAGGAGTGCACGGCGGCGCAGGCGAGGGAGGGAGCGACGGGAAGACGCGAGGGAGACCTGAGACAAGACGGTGACTAGCCATAGTGCGGAGGCGGGGGATCGACGCGTGGCCAAGACGGTGGTGCCACAAGACGGTCCGGTGGGTGAAAGACCGGCACGAGCAAGACGCAGCAACTAGACCGGACACAGCAACCTGACCGGACACAGCAACCTGACCGGACACAGCAACCGGTGGGGACGCAGTAACCTGACCGGACTCTGCTACCGGGGGGGACGAAGCAACCTGACCAGACGCAGCTACCTGCGGGGGCGGAGTGTGCAGGACGAAGAGACCTGAGTGGGGCTCTCTGGTGAACGTGGCAAGAACTGTCCCGGTGGAAGAGTCCGTACAGATCGCAGTCCTCCCGTGCGCAGGAAAAGTGACTGTGATCCCCCGGTCCTGAAGGTATCCAACACCCACCAAGTTCCGAGAGAACGAGGGGATGTAGAGACCAGTGAGGAAACCAGAGGGGACAGCTGGGCACGGGAGAGTGGTCGAGCTGCGAGCAACTGCTGGTCCTGAAGTAGGATCAGCCAGGGCAACTGGGACTGGAGCCGAAAGAGGTGTGACAGTGGTGTGGTCGCGAAAGAAGCACTGGGACGCGCCGGAGTCCAGCGTGAAGGAGAGCGACGCAACAGCAGTCGTCACGGCTGGGCTAGTGACTACACAAGCACCTACACTAAAAGCACAAGTACCTACACTAGCAACAGGCAAAGGTCCTAAGCTAGGTACACGCAAGCCAAGAGATCCGTACGTGACAGAATAAACAGCATCCATAGACATATCAAACACAGGGTAACCACTACGAAACAAACCGGGCCAGATCGGGGGAACCGACTCAGGCCCAAAACGCTCACGGTATAGGTCGTCGAGGCGACTGTAGCAGCGCGGTGCAGAGTGGTCAGGACGCCAGCAGGTAGTGCCAGCACCAGGGCCGGTCAGGATCCGGTACTGGCAGGGGCCGACGTCGCGGCCACCGCGACGAGCCCCCAAGCCGGCTGGGCCGCTGCTGCAGCCAACGCTACCCGAACCGCCAGGCCGCCACGGCTGCTGAGGGCGCCACAACTGCTGAGGGCAGAGCTGCTGCTGAGGGCGCCACTTCTGCTGCGGGTGCCACTGCTGAAACTGCCGCTGCTGCTGTCCCTGCTGCTGGAGAACCCTAGTGGACGCCATGATAAAGGCTAGGAGCGGCAGGAGCTAGGGACGGCCACGAGAACAACTAGGAGCGCGAGGTGAAACTAGGCGAGGAACGGCTGGAGCACGGAGCACACTGAGCTAGGAGCGCCAGGTGAAACTAGGCGAGGAACGACCGGTGCTGGAACGGCTGGAGCTGAAACGGCTGGAGCTAGAACAGCTGGAGCGAGAACGGCTGGAGCGAGAACGGCTGGAGCTAGGCACGGCTGGAGCTAGGAGTGGCTGGAGCTAGAACGGCTGGAGTGAGAACGGCTGGAGCTAGAGACTGTAAGTGCGGCTGTCGGCTGCCGCTAGTGGAGCCAGTGGCAGTGGAAAGTACGTGCGACAAAGGGGCTGCAGTACTGACGGCTGCGGGAGGTAGGGAACTGTGCAGGTCGTCCGGCAAGCAGGAACGCGGGCGACAGTTGCAGCCCCCCACCTTGAACCCCTTTTTTTTTTTTTTTTTTTTTTAGGGTTTAATTAATTAATTTTATTTTTTGGCGCTAAAGCGCTGCGGGGCGCGCTGCCTGCAGGGTGTGCTGCCTGCAGGGCGCGCTACCCGCGGGGCGCGCTGCCTGCGGAGCGCGCTACCCGCGGGGCGCGCTACCCGCGCGGCGCGCTGCCTGCGGGGCGCGCTACCCGCGGGGCGCGCTCCCTGCGGGGCACGATTTCTGCGGGGGGCGCGCTACCTGCGGGGCGGGGCGACGCGGCGGGCTAGGGGCAGGGCGCTCGGGCGCGCACGGGCTAGGGGCAGTGCGCACAGGCGACGTTACGGGCTGGGGCAGGGCGCATGGGCGACGTGACGGGCTGGGGCAGGGCGCACGGGCTACGCGACGGGCTAGGGCAGGGCGCACGGGCTACGCGACGGGTTAGGGCAGGGCGCACGGGCGACGCGACGGGCTGGGGCAGGGGCCACGGGTTACGCGACGGGCTGGGGCGGAGGCGCGATACGGAGGGCGTGGAGGGCGCGTAGGGGAGGGCTAGGCGCGGAGGCGCGGATGGCGCGTTACGGAGGGCGCGGAGGGCGCGTTACGGAGGGCGCGGATGGCGCGGAGGGCGCGGAGGCCGCGTTACTCGAGGCTAGGGCGCGGAGGGCGCGGAGGCCGCGTTACTCGAGGCTAGGGCGCGGAGGGCGCGGAGGCCGCGTTACTCGAGGCTAGGGCGCGGAGGGCGCTAGGGCGCGTGGAGGAGGGCGCGTAAGGCGCGGAGGCGCTCTAGAGCGTGGAGGGCGCAAGGGCGCGGAGGGTGCTAGGGCACGTGACGGAGGGCGCGTAAGGCGCGGAGACGCTCTAGGGCGTGGAGGGCGCGAGGTAGGCTAGGCTAGGCAAGGATTCTAAACCTACTCGTGATACCATCTCAGAAAGTGAATGCAACGGAATGTTTGACTTAGGAGAGCAAGGCATACAAATAGAAACCCTAAGAGTGTTGTACTCCTTAGAGTGCTACTCACTGCAGCCTACAACCAATAACAACATTTGACAGTAAGCTACTTGATTGTGCAGGAATGTGGGTTTGTTGAAGGTAGATATGGCATGTAGAGGTTTCATGCTTCTGGTGCACTTATAGACACTCTAGGCTGCTATTGTTGTGCTAGTTATGTTATGTAGTGGTGGGCCTTGGCCTCTGGTGTCTTATGAACTCATCTTGGATGATTTGTAAAGGGTAAGTGTAAGACTCAATGCAGGGTAATCAGTAGGTGTTCTTGCAGGCTATCAAAAACTTTGCTTCAATCCTCGTCACTCAAGTATGGAATCTTCGAAAAACATCAATAGCGCGGATATGCTCAGCCTCGAACCCTGGACACGTGTCAGTCTCCGCGGAAGTGGGGTCGAGTGCTGATGCTGGATTTGTCAGCGAGCAGGCGTGATTACAGCGAGATCTCTGCGACCTGGCTCCAAAATGTGCGACCGACGGCTTAGCAGACGAAAGTGTTGACTACGTTCGCAGCCTGTTCGTCGCTGGTTCGCCTGTCAGATACGGTACGCAGCAGGTCGCCTGCATCGTCGTCGTCGCCCGGCATTGCGTGTGAAGCAAGGGCACTCTCGTCGAGCTTGATTCGTCAGATTCAACTCAGCTCGAAACGAGAGATTTGGGAAACACAGTTTTCGCAACTTCGCAAGCCTATAAGCTTCGATCCGCTTCCCACATTCTCTGCCTCCCTCCCAGCTACACGAACTTCTAGAGCTTCTGTTCTTCCAGTCCAGTATCATTTTTGCTGCTTTTCCTGCGGAGCCTCGTTCAAATCTGGCCCTCGTCGTGTTTTTTTAGCGACCGGATCGCAGTTGAAGCTTGACGCCATGGCCGATTCGCTATCTGCCGAGACCGCCGTACCGGCAGCTTCTTCTCCATTGAAGGAGCGTCCTTTCGGCAGGACGAAATCAGTCAGGGAACTGCTTGGTGGCGGCAAGGGTGAGAATAACGAGTTATTTGCCAACTTTCTCAAGCAAGCATATGCACTCTGATTGCATGTTCAATCTACCTTTGCAGACCGTTTCAACGTATACATCTTAACTCAAATCCGCTTATCTCAAATCCGTGATTTTCAAACTCTGTGGCCTTCCAGCCGCGGATGTGCTTCTATGGAAGGATTGGAAGGCGAGTGCGGGAATTTTGGTATCGGTCGCGGGTCTATGGATCGTGTTCGAGCGGTCGGGGTTCACGCTGCTCACGATTCTCGCTGACGTGCTCATGATTCTTATCTCGCTCGTCTTCGCCTGGGCTCAAGTGTCCTCGCTTCTCAACAAGTACGCTCTCCGCCTACGCGCTCTGCCTTATTCTCTCTGCCGACAATCTCTATCGGCTTTAGTTCATTCAAATCGCCCTACCTTGCCGTAACTATCCGTCGCCTTTCAGTCCCGCCGTCCCACCGCTACCGCAGCAAGTCACCGTTTCGTCTTGTCTTGTTCGCCAAGATCGGCTGTAATCTCACATGCGAATCGACTGTGGCTCCCTTATCTCTCGCCGCTCCTTGGATCTGCGCAGGCCCGGTCCGCCGTTCCCCGCGCTGAGGCTATCTGAGGACGCGGTGCGGTCGACGGCGCTGCGCCTGCGCGATCACGCCAACCGGGCGCTGCTGCTCGCGCACGACGTGGCGCTGGGCAAGGACTACATGCTGCTCGTTAAGGTGGGTGGTGCAGCAGCTTACGTGTGCAACGAATCGTGTTTCCATGTATGCTGCTCGTAATGGTGGGTGAATCGCACGACGTCGCGCTGGGTAAGGACTACGTGCTGCTCGTCGAGGTACCGTAAATTTCTCTCGTAAAGGTGACAATTACTTCAAATAAGCGATGAAAAGTCTCACACATTTAATAACCGTGCGTGTGGCAACAAGCGCACGGTGTGGCGTCGGGCAAGGCTAGATGCTACTCGTACAGGTGCGTTCTTCCTCGGCCGCTCCTCCTCGCCCGCTCTTCCTCGCCCGCTCCTCCTCGCCCGCTCTTCCTCGCCCGCCTTCCCGCGCCTGCCCTTCCGCATCCCCTCTCCGGTGCCCGCCCTCTCTTGCGCCTCCTCTCTCTGCGCCCCCTCTCAGCGCGCACGTCAGTGCCTGACCTTATCGGTCCACCCCTTCCGCGTTCACTCTTTCCTATGCATCCATGTGTGTGTCTGGCAGGTTTTGAGCGGCCTGTATTTCGTCTCCGTGGTGGGAGGGTGGTTCCACTTCCTCACTCTCGTCTTCATTGGTATGTGTCCCTCACTCTCGTCTTCATTGGTATGTGTCATGTCATGCCGCCCACATGCTGCTTTCATTCCCACATGTCTGTCCCTCATTCTCCCTTCTTCAAACACATGAGAATCCACTTTGACCCTGGCCTCTCTTCACTGTCATTCATCCCCTTTGAACTCCCTCTCTCTCCTTTCCCTTCCCTCTCACCCCTCTCTCCCCCTCCCCCCGTCACCGCTCGCCAGGCGTGCTTGCAGCCTTCACAGGGCCAGTGCTGTACGACCGGTATGAGGACCAGGTGGACGAGCATTTGGGCCAAGCTCTGGCCCAGATTAAGCAGGTCAAGGGCGTGGTGGGGGACAAGCTGGGAGGGCTGCTCAACAAGCAGAAGCAGAAGAAAATGGAGTAGAAAGGGGTGTGAGGGTGGTGGAAGTGGTTGAGTTGGGTGCTGTGGTGCGGGGATGGTACCCTGTAGTGGTTCTCCTGTACAGGATGTAGAATGTTGTGGTGTATCTGTAGGAGAAATTCTGACCGTGATACACAACAGTTCTTGATTTCTAGTGTAACAGAGGGTCTGTTATTGGTACTATCGAAAGAAGTCTCAATCTGTGGTTTACCTTTTCCACAGGACAGAATCCTGGGATGTCCAAGTAATGATGGCCTGTCTGTCGTATCGTCTGAGTGGTCCACCATAATGTAACGCTTTACATTACATGGAAAGGAACAACTGACATATTCTTCACGCTTATAAATAAATTACCGTAACTCGCTACAGTCAACAGCAGTTACTGCAGTTTGCTGGGATATGCTATGCAACCTATGCTTCCCGCACAAACTCCTGAACAGCTATGCCTGTGTGGCGTGCTGCGTTCTGCTGCACTGCCAGCAGCACCTGGTCTCCCTCTCTCAGCTCACTCACTGACACTGACCCTGCTGCTGCTGCCTCCGATGCTGCAGAAGGAAGAGGAAGCAGGCCAGGTGGAAAGAGGAGTGTAGGAATGGGAAGAGGCATGGGGTGTATGTGAGGAACGGGTGTGCAGGCATGTAGTGTATGTGTGCACATGCATGGGTTTGGAGCACTGGGCAAGCAGGTAGGCAAGCACGGTGGTTTCATGCAAGATGTGGTGAGAAGGCATGGCATGGCATGGGATGCGGTAAGAGCACGGACCGGAAGGGTCTACTGGAGAGACGAGGCGAACGGTCTCGGCGTTTTGAAGGATTATGGAGAAGCTGTCTTCATGGCCTGGCACCTGCAGCAGAGCAGAGACAGAGGACGCACGGGAGAGTTGGTGCAGTGGTTGGAGCAAGCAGGGCACTGGAATTTAGAGTCGATTCCAAAGGTGCTACCGTACGTTTTGAAATGCATTGGTGGTTGATCAACAGGAAGAAGCAGCAGTGGCAGAGGTGGGCACAGCAGTGAGAGAAAAGCTAAAGGCTTGACGGCAATCTCTTGAAACTGCCCTCTGTGGCGGCAAGTACCACAATTACCCTTGCATCTGCACCTTGCAAAGTGCAGCACTTTGCAGCAGCTGTCCCACCCACCTTGGCTGTCACAAGAGTCAGTGGACGAGCCTCCACCTTCACCCGCCCCACAGTGGCCGGCCAGGTTTGTCCTGTGCGCTCCACCACCAGCACTGTGCTGCCGGCCGTTAGCTCAGATAGGTACGCTGTGCGGCCGCCCGGCACGGCAACATAGGAATGCACAGGGCCCTGAGGGAGAAGACGGGGTGGAGAGAAGAATGATAAGAGGAGAACGATACAGAGGAGGGAATATGGGCTGCAAATTTTATCCATCCCTCAGTGACCCCGTGCAGAGGGGCCGATAAGTGGTTGCAGAATGACGTGGTTGCAGAATGAAGTGGTTGCAGAAGGATGCGTGTGTGCGTGGGCGCGTGCATGTGCGTGTGTGATTGCGTGCGGGTGCGAGAGTGGAGCATACTGCGTTGACTCGGAAGGGACGTGAAGCGACGTAGTCAGACTGTAAGCACTCTGCATGCACGAGGAAAAGACCCCGCGCGAATGACCCCACCTGGTCAGCCATAGAGAGGGTGTGCGCAGGGGAGGGAGGAAGGGGATGGGAAATGAGAGAGTGTGGGAGTGTGGGAGGCAGGGAGGGGAAAGAGGGAGAGAACGGGGGGTGAAAGGCAGAATGGACAGCGCGGGTTGTGAAAAGGGAGGATAAACCAGGAAAGCAGGAAGAGGGGAGAAATGAGAAGCGAGAGGAGTGACGGAAGCCGAGAAGGGGAGGGGAGACGGGCGAGGGCAGAGATGAGAGAAACAAGAAACGGGGATAGGAAAAGCAGGGAACGGGTAATAATAAACAAGAAACCGGCAAGAGGCAATGCCAAACAGCAAGGGGATAACAACCTGTACTCCTGTGTCCTTCGCCACGATCATACAGCGTGTCCTGCTACGCGCTTGCAACGCCTTCCCTACCACTGCCCAACCCCAGGATTACCAGGAGGCCAGCACCAGGGGGCAGCAGCGAGCAGAGGTCGACACACACGCGGTGCCCCATGCCTGCCGCCGCCACTGCTGTCACTGTCGCCGTTACTAGCTCCATCTGGGATGCTGTGCGCGAGCGCTGCGATAGGTAGGCCTGCCGGAGGGTGGTGAGGGGTGGAGAGGGGTGGGGTGGGGTGGGGAGAGGTGAGAGGGGAAGGAGGGAGAAGGGGGAGAGTTGGGGGAGAGGGAAGAGAATGAAGAGAGAATGCATTGGGGGTGGGAGGGAAGAAGGTGGGAGGGAGAGGGAGGTGTGGGAAGTATGGTATGGTGCATGGTGAATGGTCGGGTTAGAAAGAGTGTGTGTGAACGGGACACGAAGGGGTGGATGGGAAGGGAGAGAGGAGGAAGGAGAACAGAGAGAGAGGGGCAGGGAGACTGCCTGGCCATCTTGGAGCCGGTGCTGGAGCTCCCTTAGACGGAGCAAGGGGGGGGGAGTAGGATATGGGGGTTAGAGGATGAATTGTATGAGATGTCTCTATCCTTTGCATGTCTGTACTTGCTTGGATCTAATACACGGACCGCTTGAGGGGCAGGGAGAGAGGAGAGTGCAGAAAGAAGAGGGCAAAGGATGGCAGAGAGAGAAAGGAGGAGAGAGAGAGCGGGGGGCAGGGAAAGAAGAGACGACGTGCCTTGAGGGCGAAGACGTGTGAGGGGTCGGAGGTGCGCAGCACAACGCCATCCAGCCCTGCTTCCAAAGACTGGCAGGCACAGCAAGCAGAGGTGCACGCATGGTAAGGCCGGCCGGGCGGGGAGAATGGTGAAGGCGAGAGGGCATGGCGATGGGAGGAGTGGAGTTGAGGGAGGGGAGCCAGGCATAGGAGAGGGGAGTTTGGAATCATGAGTGTTGGTTCTTTGATTGCATTTGGGACGGAGATGAGAGTATGGAGTGAAGCACTTAATTCAAAGCTCTTTGACTTGAAGGCACTTGCAGGTATCGAGCAACGAGGGGATGCAAGGGAGGGATGCATGCATGTGGGGCCGCAGGCAGCAGGTAACAGCAGGCAGCAGGCAGCAGGAGCAGCGGACCTCGAGCAGCACTTGGGCGTCTTGAGCGGTGGTGGCGACCCCCATGATGGACGTGCACGTGGGTGCAAAGGCCGCCACTGCATTCTCCGCTGGGATCACCTGGTGGTGCGCGGAGCGGAGAGGCAGGGGGAGGGGGAGGCGGAGGGGGAGAGGAAGGGAAATTGAGACAAGGAAGGGTAGGGGGAGGGGAATAGCGGCTGTGCGGGCCTTTTCACTACTCAGCCTCCAATGGATAGTTTTTCTGTCTCTCATCGTTCACCACCTGCAGTGCTGAATAACAATGTGAGTAAAAGCGTCCCAGCAGTGCAATCCCTGTCCTGTTGCACACAGCTGCTTGCTGCGGCTGGCATGGCATGATGCCTGCCGCTAGGCACTTGCACGTGCAGCCCACGACTTCCCATCCCACGAGCCCATGACCACAACGTCCTCCCGCCCCGCCAGTGCCTGCGCCTCTCCCACGGCGCAACACCCCACACCACGCAACCCCCCACGCCATGCAACCTTCCCCCGGACCCGCAACCCTCCCCCACGCCGCACCTTCCAGTCCGCAGCGTCCATGACCACAACGTCCTCCCGCCCCGCCAGCACATACACTCCACCCACGGCCCAGCACCCCCGCACACCCCCCCCTCCCCCTCCCCCTCTCCCCCCACCTCCCCCTCCCCCCAATAGCGCGCACCTTCCAGTCCGCGGCGTCCATGACCACAACATCCTCCCGCCCCGCCAGCGCGCACATGGCCTCCTGCTCCGCCGCGCTCGCCACGCGCACCCACGCCGCCACCCTCTCCCCCCCCGCGCCGTACACTGCCGCGCCTCTCCGCGTCACCACGCGCACGCGACCTAGTTCTGCCGCGCATCCGCGTGTGGGGAACCGGGGGTAGGGGGAGGGGCGGGGGGCGGAGGGAGAAATCGCGTTTGATGGCGCGACGGGAGCGTGAGGAGCAAAGACGGACGGGACGTCGAATGGCGGAGACGGAGGAGTGACGATGTGCGTCACGAAGAAGTTTGTGCGAGTCAAAATGCGACGAAGTGCGACGGGATGTCGTTTGCGTCGACGCAAGAGAGACAGTGTGAGACGAAAAGGGAAGTATGGAAGCAAGAGACGACTAGCATGAGGCTGCATTGCACTGCATTGCACACCGTTGTAATACTAAACAGTGGAAGAAGACGAGTGGAATGACAGTGCGAGAATGACACAGCCCACAGCACACGGCACACCATGCGAGCCCGCCGCGTCACATACTCTCGAAAGCCTCGCGATTCTCCTCCCCCGCGCTCGCACTCCCCTCCGCAATCTCCTCCCCGTCCTTCCCGCCCTTGCGCTTCCCCTTCTTCCCCGCTCCGCTCTCCCCTTCTTCCTCCGCGCCTTCCACCACCACCGTCCCCCATCCCGCCTCCAGTGCTGCCGTCACCACCTCCTTTGCTTGCGTCATCACCCACACCTCCTTCTCGCTCCCGTCGCCACTAGCTGTAGCGCTCTCTTTCGCATCAGTCGCTTTAGCTGTAACCGTCGGTCGCACGTGCGACGCCATGCGACAAGCCACCGTCTGATCGCTTGATCGTAAACTCGGATCGAAACGAGAATGTCGCCAAGTGCTCGAGCAACGAGTCTGTGGCACTGCTAAAGTGTTTGCGTGCAAGCGAGTGCTGGCTGAAATGCAGTGAACCGGAACGCGCGCACCGGCGGAGAAGGAAACGACGGAGGAAGTGAAAGGGAAGAGACGGGAAAGCGCTTGAGCTTGAAAATAACGATGTGGAAGAGCCGTGGGGATCATGGCGGAAGAGCTTGAAAGGAATTCGAGAAGAAAATGCGAGTGGGGGAGCAGGATGCGGACCTTGGGATTCAAACGAACCTCGAAATTGCATTGACGAAAAAAG